TGTTTTTTTGCGTCTCAACCTTTTTGGGATGGGATTGAATTTCTCAGATACTCTCTTCTAGCTCGTGCTCAAACTAAAATTTCCTAAATAATCTCTGCTAGCTCGTGCTCATGCTCAAATTTCCTAAAACACGTGGCTATCCAAATTTCTTTGTGTCACCCTCATGCTCAACTTGCAGCTCCCGGTCTCAATCTCGGCTATTTTGCGAAAAAAATTGGCGCTCCAAATCCAGGTTCCGGAAAAAAGTTGAAGCTCCCAAAGAATCTTTGCTAGCTGCCGCTCAGGTTTTATAATCCCAAGCCTTCGCTTCTGAATCCTTTGGTGACATTTTACAAACGATTTGAACCCAGAAACGCATCATTTATTCGGATGATCCAGACAACTCGTTCGTTCAAAAATAATGGTCCTCTTGGCATTAATGGTTGATCGCTGGCGGCCAGTGGATGGGGGCCATTCAACGGGGACGACAGCCCGGACGGTCACGCGGCAAGAAGATATCCCATTCCGGTTGGCTGACGATGATGTGGCCTGGAAAAGCAGATGATCATAACGGAGGAAGGCCTAGGCTACCGTAAGGAGGTCCGCCAACGTAATTGTTATTCCGCTTCTTCGCTTCGTGGTGGTCGGACTCGGAGGTGAGATCGTCCTGGAATAGAGAGATAGAGAGAGATAGAGAGACAGCGACAGAGAGAGAGAGCGAGAGAGAGAGAGAGGCTATAAACGCACGGCCATCTTCGGCAAGAACATCTTGACCAGCTTGAGCGGCGGCATCTGCACCGTCACGAACTCGTCATCGACCTGTAAAAAATTTTTAATTTTTTGTAGAAAAACTCCTGTCCAAAATGGAATCCAGAGAAAATTTAAATAACACGAAAATTGCATAAATGAACCAACGACAGGCCCGCAGATGGGCTTGCTCTGCTTGCAGCCCATTGCCGGGGACGAGAAATGGTCATTTTTCCTGCTAATTTTCAGGAAAGCAGCCAGACCTTTGCCGTATTGAAATTTTAATTTCATGCAAATTTGGTGATTTAAAAATCGGGCCTTTTGTAGCAAATTTTGACGGTACTGTATCGTTGGCGGGGGGGGGGGGGTAAGCAGCGGGACAACCCCCCTGCCGCTAACCAACTAGAATCAATTTCCCAAATTTCCACGATATTCCTGCGCCATTGACTCATTTCCGGTTTTCCGGTTGCCATTCCACGACACTCCTCTGCACACCTCCCAAAAGCAGAGAGATCTCTGTAATCTGCGAGGTGTCATCAAGTGCTGCTGCGTGCGGATGGTGATATGGGTCATATGACAGTCCGTCATTCCGTCTCCCATCTTTCATCGCAGCACTCTATGGCTTTTCCGCCCATTTTTGTGCTCCATGGAGGACAGGGGTGACGGAGTTGGCGGAAAGTCGGTTTCACCCCCTTGCCGCACACCCCGATGAGCATCACCGGCCCGAAAACCAAAATAGAGCACATGGCGGTGGGGGAGGGGTCGCGAAAGCTCCCGAAAATTCGAGATGAACAGATGATTTTGAGCAAGAGCTCTGAACCGATAGAGACCGAAATTGGTAAAAGTGTGGAAAGTGCAAGCCGAGTGTAAGCCTAAGCCGAAGCTTAAGCCTAAGCCTACGCCATGCGATATGAGGAAATTTTTTCCTGTAAAATTTCAAATTTTTGACACAAAGATGTGCGAACCACCAACCGGAAGTTTTCATTTTTGGAATTTTTCCTTTTAACGGTTAAACATGGAATATAAGGAAGATTATGGTGTTTTTAGCTTATAGTATTGGCCGATCTTCCTTGTCGATACCTTTACCACTACTTTTGTTTGGTCAATTGTAGCGCTGTGGCGTCGATTTCCACAGTATTGTTGTGCCATGCCGCCAATATGACTCACATCCCCCAATGGCTAACATAGGGCCTTGTCAACCGCTTTCCAAATTGTTTCTCGCCTTTTTGGGAGTATAATTTCAGCACTTTTTTTGGTTTTATACTCCCAAATTGTGGGCTTGCCAATTCAAAAATTTGACGTAGAGGCCGAACCAGCCTCATTCGTCTGTTTTTCCAAAACTCAGCTAGACGATAATTGTGCCCATTTATTTTTTAAACTTTGTGAGCTTAAATTTAGGACATTTTTTGAACGAGTTGAGAGCAAATATTTAATTTTCATGATTTTTAGAATTTAATCGTCATTAAGGGGGCTTTTCCTTCAAAGGGTGAAAATATTTTCGGAGCGGAGCCAGGCCATCAAGCTGATAAGAAGCCGCACTACCGTTTCAGCCCTGATTTCGAACCCTTTAGCCTCTGCTATTTTGGGTAGATTTTTATGCATTTTCCGAAATGACGAAATTCATAATGTGGCAATTTGAGAAAGCCGACAATTTACCAATATCGATTTTCTGGATCTTGCAATATCGATATGTCGAAATTTTTCGCATTGGATGGATGAAATTTAGAAATTCTCAAAATTTCGACATTATGGAATTCCGGTATATCAAACTTCGACATTATGATCTCGAAATCATAAAATTTCAATATTACGAATTTCGAAGTTTCGAAAATAAAGTTTGATATATTTTTTTGTATTTCTTCGAGTACCTCTCTCAAAAAACCCTTGATGACTCATTGCGCGAATCGTGAGCCCTCAACCTGCCCCCTTCGACCATTGTCTCTGCTCCCTCTCTAAATGCCCTCTCTCTCCCTCCCCCTCTCACAGTCTTCTCGATCGATCATCGACCTCTCTCAAAAGTTTCGTCTCGGTGTGTATCGAATTGTTCCCCATTCCAGCAGTGGTCCCCTGCCGATGCTTCGAATCATTTTCCGCCGCTTTCGCATTGATTGGCGGCGAACACTTTTGGGCAGACATGGCAATCGGCCGGGCCGCGCGGCTTTTTCGGCCGCAAAAATTAGAATGCGGCCGGGCCGCGCGGCTTGGCCGCACTTCCGGCGCGGCCGCGGCTTTTTTCCGTTTTGAGGCCGCACGGCGGCCAAGCCGCGCGGCTTTTGAGGCCGCATCCAAATGAGTTTTGAGTACTTCCGGCACGTAAATCAGAGATGCAATGCGTATTTAGCCTGCTAGCGAGGAATATCCATACTTGACAACCTTAATTTTCTCATTTCCATTCCGATTTGGCATGAAATTCGCGGTTTTTCGATATGTAAATGAGCCACTTCCGGTTTGCGGCTTGTGGCCGCGGCGGCCCGGCCGAGCCGCGATGAAAATGCGGCTCGGCCGCGAAGCCGCATTTCCGGAAGTAACTAATTACTGCGGCTCGTAGGGGGCCGCGTTTTTTATGGAAATTAGGCCGCCGGCCCGGCCGCGCGGCTCGGCCGATCGGAATTGCCATGTCTGCTTTTGGGGGAATTTCGACAGCACCTTCAAATTTCCACAAAAAAACACTTTAAAACGCACTACCTTTACATATTTATTTCATACATTTTTACAGACGTGTCGGTACTAGACTGCTATCGGGGGGTGGTGAAGACAATTAAAAAAAAGTGGAAAATTAGATAATTTCTGGTGATTTTTCATAATTTTTTTGACCAAAAAGCCAAAAGCATCGGAATTTTTCTCCTTTTCGTCTATTTGTACATTTCGTATTTAACCCCACCCGCTGATACTTGTGTTTTATGATTTGGTCCGTCTCTCTCTCTCTCTCTCTCTCTCTCTCTCTCTCTCTCTCTCTCTCCTTCCCGCGCTGCCCTTTTTAGGGGTAACCCAATCCTCCTCTGGGTTTGGGTTCTCTAGAATTGGGCAGGGAGCAGCGTGGTCGAATCAAAAAAATGTTCTGCCCCCGCCCTAACCGCCAAATGCCCCCTATCAATTCTAGCCTCCAAACAAGCGGCGATTGATAAGCTTCAGGCTACCCCAATTATTGCGCTCAAAAAATGTTATTGAGGTTCAGAAATAGCTTGAATTTCTATATTTTTTTTTAGTTTTACTATTCCTCTCGCCCCTCCCCCCCTCTCTCTCTCTCTCTCTCTCTCTCTCTTTCTCTCTAGCTCTCTCTCGCTCTCTTACTCACCCTCTCTCCCTTATCCTAAAAATTCGTATACATATCAAATATTCCTTCCGATCCCGGTCCCCCGCTTTAGCCACCTCAAACCCCCAAACCCTTGGCTTTCCCCGGTGCCACCCCAAAAAACCCACCGGCCAAAAAACACCTGCCCCTCTCGGTGGGTATCTCCATCCGGTCGACACCGGATTAGACCCCCGGATTAGCCGAGAGCTTATTTTTGATTAGTGCTTGGCCTCTCTATTTTTTGGAATGGCGCAATCGAGCCGGGAAGCATAAATACCCGGAAAACAGATTGACAAAATTCTATCAAAAAATAAGGAAAATAAGTTCTTCATGAGAAACTAGGAAACAAAGAAAACTGGGTAAATAGGGCAGAACCCGGTATTTATCTCGTAGCAAAATATAGTGTAGTTGTAGCGGTTTTAATTCTTACAGATTTAACGCAAACTGCACCTGCAATGGGTTGAACAAATTTTAAAAGCTCAAAAATAGCACTGAAATTAATGCGCCGCTCAGCAGATAAGGCTAGAAGAATAATACATCGGTATAAAAGTAAATAAGAAATTATTATACCTTGTTAATTGCCGAGTTTTACGCGTTTGAAACACACCACAAACTTCAGAAAACGTTATTTGTGTCCAAAATCATCACCAACACCGAGGAATCACGCGCTGGAAAATTCTAGCAATGCACACGCGCCTTAATTAGACCTGAGAAGCCATTCGGCCCGGGCCGGCCACCAAAACAGCCAGCCCGAGAACGTCAAACTTGGATTTTTTTTCTATGCACCCGGGCCCCGGGGGAAAATTGGTTGGCCTGGTGCCCATAGTGACCGCCGTCCACACGCGGACAATCCATTTGTCACCCAAAAGTGAGGAAATATTGGCTAAATCCGCCACTTTTTTAATATAACTTCATCTTCTTCTTTAAACGCTTAATAAACTAATTTTGGCATTAATTTTTCAGAAAGACCCCCGCTCTAAAAATGGCCTACAACCAGCAGCCCGGCTCGTATCCGGTAGGTCTAAAATCCCCCATTTGATGTTCCATTCAATGACTTTACCCTTAAATTTGTATATTTTCCAATTTCAGCCTCCTTATGGCCAACAGCCCGGCTACAATCCGGGGCCACCCGGCTATAATCAGGGCGGTGCTTATCCGGCCTACCCCCCACAACAGCCATATCCGCAACAAGGCGGATATCCACAGCAGGGAGGATACCCGCAGGGCCAATACGGACAGCCACAGCCCCAAGTCGTGTAAGTCGTTGAAGTAGGCAACGTCGGCTGTATTTTGGCAGAACGTTCCAAATTAATCTAAAAACCTTGCTCCCTACTTTAGTTCCATGTATTCATCCAATTTCAGGTACGTCGAACGACAAAACAATTCCGGCGGCAGCGACAAGTGTTGCTTGTACGCTTTGCTGGCGTGTTGTGCTGGTTGCTGCATAGCCGACTGCTGTGATTAGACGATATGTACGTATCGCATTCGCCGAAACGACCTTCCCCCTCACTTTACCGCGCCAATTCCGCACCAAAAAGATATCGGATAAATCTTTATTAAACGTGACTTCGCCAGCCTGTGAGATGACATAGTGTCGAAGGATTCGGGGGTGGTGGGTGGGAGTCGTTGAAAAGATATGGGAGGGTGGGGGTGGGGCCGAATTTGTGCAAAGAGATAAAGTGGAAACGATCCTATTAAAAATATATATGTAACGTTACGCGGGCGGCCGGGGGTGGGAATAGAGATTTGTATGTATGTCTGGGGGCTGGGGGCTGCCTGCTGGCTGGCTGGCTGGGGGCTGGTACAAAAGCAAAGAAGGGGGGCCTTTACAACATTTTATACATAACAACGAACAACAATAACAACGATGGGGTCGAGAAGCTAGTAAATAATATCCATTGGGTCGAAGGGGGAGATGTGTAGATAGGGGGAATATGGACAAACATGTACAAATTTCATCAAAATTATCCTTGGTAGGGAAGGCGGGCGGGGGACTTGCGGAAAATCTCTATATACATAAAGACGTGGAAAGCGGGGCTGGCCGAGATTTGGAATAGAATTTTTAGCTCTTCTGTTCGCCAATGGTAGATGATTATTCCCGCTGGGAGGGTTGTGGATTGCATAGGGAAAGAGGGGTGGCACGGCAGATACAGCAAAAGCTATGTAATGTGACAGGAGAGGGGCGGGCAGCAGCCGAGGGCATGGAATAGAAAACGGAAAGTACCAAACGATCTAGCCTACGAAAATTGTCTAATTGTCGGCGCGCCGTTACCACTCAAGCCATTATATTGCCTGGTGGTAGCGCATCGGCTGCTCCATTTGTGCTCCAAGTTTCTTTTCGATTTTCGCTAAAAAAGCATAATTAAAGATCCAGGAAAACTCCACATACCCATGATGTGCTTTCCATAATTGACCTTCTTCAACTGCTGTATGTGTGGCTTTATCGCGATCAGCATCTTTTTTCTAAAAAGGTGGATGATAAATGGCCGCCTTTTTACCTGTGGGTCGAGTCGGCCTCATCAAGCATTTTCTGGACGACGTAGTTGGCGTATTGGTCCTTCATCATCTGCATCAACGGCTGGCCTTGGCTGAAAAAAGTATATATTTCAAGGGGCTGAAAAAGGTACACAAAAGCTCCGTTAAAAAACTTACTCGGACGGCTCACAGACTTCCGCAATAAGGAGATTCTTGTGGTATTGTGAGGCGAACTGCAGAATGCGCTCGATGACGTTCGACGAGAACTTGTTCTGCGACAATGGGAAGACTTTGTCTTTGATCTAAAAAAAAATTTTCTAACACACAACAAATTAATACCGCTGCCGTGATCAAGTCCCAGTCGTACGAGTCGCCACGCTCAACGAGATGCTGGATCACATAGTTGCCGTATTGGTCGGTCAGCTGTAAAAGAAAAGTTAAGCAAATTTTTACATGTTTACAGAAATGCTCCGAAATTCAATGAAACCCACCAATCGGTCAATGTTCTTATAGAGATGACGCTTGATCGGCTCCTTCTGCGCCTTGTTGCAGTGTTCGAGAAGACGCTGGATCACACGGCAACCGTACGAATTCGTGGACAGCTCGATGACGCCGTTGTCTCGCTCGGCGATGGCGTCGAGGATGAACTGGAGTCGGGGCGGTGGCAGTTTCTCGATAATCTTCTGCATCACATGGTTTCCATTTTGATCGGTGATGAAGCGGATGACCTAAAAAAATCGATTCAAATTCAAATTTTCGTTCTTCAAACGATTCTCAAGGCTATAATAAAAACAAACCTGTCCCTTCAACTCCGCAACTACTTCTTCCTTGATCGGATCGGGGCAGGTCTCGATCGACTTCTGAATCACCCGGCAGCCGTACATCTGCAGCGCCAAGTCCTGTACGCGACCCTTGAACAGCGCGCACACGCCTGCCTTTTGCTCCTCGGTGCCGTGCTCGAAGAATTTCTACAAACAATATTTAGAAGACCACAAAATTCAACCTGAACGACGTAGTTTCCAAAGACGTCCGTCATCAACTTCAGCGAGTTCTCGCGGATAGCATCATAGACGAGCGTTTTCTCCTCGAGATCGGCACGTTCGAGCTTTTGCTGGATGAACCTGGCAACACAACATTTTTCGAAAATTCGTTTGATTTACCTCGATCCGTGCTGATCCATGGCAAACTCGCACATGCAGGAGCCAATGTCACGCAACGAGAGATTGGTTCCCCGGTTGTTCTTCAGATCTTCCAACATTGGACTGTGCTTCTGGGTGCTCATTGTGAACGTGTCGTTCTGGCGTTGTTGTCGTTTTCCGCCGTTCTGATAGTTGTCAGCAGCCAATTGGAAGGGATTCATCTGTTGGTTCATCGGGAAGCCGGGCTGCTGCATCGACAGCATGTTCGGGTTGAGTTTGAGCTGTTGGAGCAACTGGATCGGTAGTTGTTGTTGATGGGAATCTAGAGTAGCGTGTATTAACTTGAACTGTTTGATTTTCTTCTATCGCAGCCAGCGCAAAAATAAAAACCTCAGCAAACTCACTGAATTGGTTCTGGTTGTTGAGCAGCTGAGCGGCGGCCGCCTGTAGCAGCTGCTGCTGTTGTTGTTGAGCAAGAAGCTGTTGTGCTGCCATGACCAGAGCTAAAGCAAAAGGTGCCAGTCTAGAAAGATTTCATACCTGGGTTCATCAACAGTTCTTGAATGGCATTTTGCGGCAAGGGCATGGGCGGCGGAACAGCCTCAGTCTTCATTGCCATCTGACCATTGACCATGTTCGGCATGGGCGATGGGTTGGGAGGAGATGTTGAGAAGACGGACGCGTGGTAGTCGTTCGAAGGAGCTGGAAATTTGCGGAATTACTAAAATCAGGAAGAAAGACGGACGGGGAGAAAAAAAGGGATTGAAAAAAAAGGGATAAAAAGGGAGAAAGAAAGGGAAAACACAGAAAGGGAAAGGAGAGAAGGGATTGCCAAGCCCGCCCGGGCCAGAGAAAGGGATTGTTTCCAGGAGGCGGCCAGCAGGACGGGGATTGATATCCAGAAAATATATCTCGCCTACTTTTCGATTATATTTTTGATGAAAAGTTGTAACAGGGGACGTCAACTAGGGAAGTAAAATCCCAACACATCGAAAGATTAATATAACCACCAGGGAAACCCCCAACGACAGAGAAAATTTAAGATATTAAATTTGTGAATTTTGGCCCGGAAAAGGTGCAGGATACAATTTTGTTTCTAGTTATTTGTAGCCTAACCATAAATTTTTCTTTCTATTATGGTATATTTTAATACACAATTGCGTACCAAGTGTGAATTAGGTTCACCACCATAGAAAGTCAGTCCATACAATATCTTTTTCCTAATCTATCATCGGGAAAAAAGAGGAGAGACCATAAAATACTTCAGAAGTATAATGCCCCTCCTGCGGCCGCCTCCCCCTGGAAACCAATCCCCTTCTGCTGGCTATCCCCTTCTGCTGTCTTCCCCTTCTCCCCCTTCTCTGGTATCCCCTTCTCTGCCATCCCCTTCTCTGCCATTCCCCTTCTCTGGTATCCCCTTCTTTCTCCCCTTATCTACGCCGAAATTTTTACTTGGTGAAAGCGCGGAGAAGGGCATGCCGTGGGCCGGCGAGAGCTGCTGATGCGGAGGCGACACCGGGGCCTGTTGCGGCTGACCGCCCATCGGACGAGGACCCATCGTGGGCAGACCATTCCAGGTAGTGTGACCCATCGGTGTGAATGTGTTCAGGAACATCTTAAAAACAGTGGTTCCAAGGAAAACAAGGCCTCGCAAAAAGCCAAACTCGCAAAAACCCACCGGCACTTCCGGCGTTCCGGGCAGCAAATTACCGGCCTGCGGCGGATACGGCTGCGGCTGGGGAATACACACATTTTTGTGCATAAACCTAAAATTCGTGAGTCAAAAATTAACAATCAGCAATTACGGATTCTCGACAGCATGGAAGAATTCGGGCTGTTTCGGGGTGCACGGCGATCCGTGAAGGATATTCTCGACAACCTGCCGGGGCAGCGAGCCACCTCCATACGATTCGCTGCGTGGCGAAGCGATGTGCTTGCTGCCGGAATTCGTTGGGATCGGGATCGGCTTCGGTTCGTCTAAAAGGATTTCGGATTCATAGCATTGTAAATTTTATATCGTCATTGGTTCAAATTTTGATTGAAAGCCGCTCATGCAGTCCGTAAAAAAATAAGCAAAACGGACTATTACTTTTAAACGACGCTCCTAACACCCCTGAACCCTCCAAAACCAAATACTGCAAGGTATCGATACTAACCGTGTCTCCTCGGCGGCTGCCAATTCGACGTGCTATTCCAGTGCTCGGACATCTCAGCAAACCAAGTTCTGTACAGTGAAGCAAGTGAAAATATGTGCACTGGGGGAGCACCGCTTCCGGGTTACCTAAAAATAATAATAACCTGTAGAATTCGTCAATTATACACTGGCATAAAAACGCAACGTTCAGAGCAAATTAATAACGTAAAATTTTGGCGATTTAGCGACAAAAATATTGCGGAAACGCCAAAAATAGATTCAGCAGCGTTCCGTCCAATTTTTGCGGGCAATAATCATGACGTTACATTATGCATTTGATATAAATACTTACGGGCGGTAAAAAACTTTTTAGGATTGGCAAAATGCAGGGGGGTACAACCAACAAGATTCCTTGGGCCAGTACGGTGTGTGGTCCACCTTATACGAGAGGAAGGGGCAGGGGTGGCATCTGCGGGGTAGGAAAAGGCAAGCGTGAGGGGAAATGCTTGAAAAATAAGCTAAAATGAAGCCAATTAGCTTTAAAGCTATCAAATAACAACGAAGCCTAGTGAAAAGTACTAAGCAAAAGAAACACAAATCAAAAATAATTTCTGGCTCCAATACGTAGCGTACAAATTACAAAATACGTAAGGTGAAATCTAGCGGATCGGAAATATCCGGAATTTTTCGCGACACAATTGATCATCTCTTTTTCCAAATTTCGAAGAAAAAAATTTCAATAATTGCTGCCATTTTTACAGAATTCGATGGCGGGGGCACGGCTGGCAAATCTACGCACCGCCAAATCCAAGAGCCTTCAACGCGGCTCGCCCCGAAGCTCGGCGAAGAGAAAAGGAGACAAGTAGGTCCTTGTTTGCCTTCCTAAACGACTTTTTTTCATTCTAGATGGCCTGTTGCCCCCTGGATGATCGCTCTGTTCGTGTTCATCGTCTGTGGATCGCTGCTGTTCGAGATCGTACGAGGAGTCCAGACGAAGGGTCTCGGATAATGTGCCAAACCGAATTCGACTCGCATTTGTTCGTTTGATGTTCCATCTGTGCTTTGTGCTGTTCAACGGGTAGTTCTTGTTTACTGTTGTAATATGCTGCTGTTTTTTGTGTGTGGGCTTTGCTGTTTCTCGGGATAAAACATTCTGTTTCAGCTATGCGAGTTTATAAGATTTTCGGATTTTTATCGAAGTATCGGCTTTTAAAATTGTGGGGGCGGGTTGAACAATTGTTTTCGAAATTGTTCGGCCGAGGGTATTTACAGAGACGAAATTTGCGATTAGCTGCGGGTTAGGTGGGTATTCTAGGCAAGTTTGGGCAGGAGTGTATTTCGCAAAGCTTAATATAATAATTTTCGAAAATTAACTGTAGGGAAGATGAGGTCCTGTTTGCTTCTGCCGGCAGCAGCAGCACCAATTGCAGGCCAAACTGAAAAGTTATGCAGATAAGACTGCTGTGAAGTTCACTTGCCTGCAGCAGCCATAGCAAACCGCGATGATGAAGAGGAAGACTACTATGCATAAGAAGACGTAAGGTATAGGCTGCAGATGAATGCAACAATCCCCGTGACAGCAAGTGTAGTACGCGAGGTAATCCGACCTGCCTGAAAGCTGTTGTTGGTGTAAAGCGTGAATTCAGCATTTCCGGGGTAAAGACTGGTTACCAAAGCGTTTGATACATCCACTTCAGGACATACGGGTCCGCAATGTACGATGCCCGCTGACTGCAGAAGGGGCCGGCCGCGGCCGCCGCAAAATAGAAGGCCGGCCCGCCGCACCCCCCCGCCAGCGCACGCGACCCGCGGCGAGCCGACAAATGGTACCGGCACGAAACAAGGAGGTAAGCCTGAGCGAGGAACATAGAAACAACCCCTGATGGAGAAATTCCCGAAAAATGCATCCTGCGGTGCGCGGCGGCCCGCCCGCATGAAATGGGTCGGCGCGAGCATCCGGAGTAAAATACGCTCGTAGGGGCTTTTATAATCCCGCCCGCCGGCGTCGGATGCCATGTCTGGTTATTCTCATAAAACTAACACTGTTGCTGCAGATTTGGTGAACAGCCTTCCAACCGTGATTCGCGAGGCGAGAAATCGAATGCTGACGCGGATGGAACTAGAAGATTTCCTGCAAGCAACCACAATACTGGCCGGAGGCGTTGCAGACATTTCTCAAGCGACAGCGGTAGGCTTCTATGTTTCTATAATGGTTTCGTGCACAAACAGCATCACTTACCAATACGGAGATAGTAGATGCGTCCCATACTGATCGATATTCTGGCGACATACATATATATGGAGCTATACAACTGCGATGCCTTGGACAAGAAGTGAATGCATGCCTTATCAGTTGGGTGTTGTTGAATCAATCAATAGACTCCCCTTTGAGATTAGTCCGGAAGACGCTTACTCATTTTTTTTGTTAATAAAACAATCCGCCCAAAGTAGGAAAATAACAGTAAGCTGAAGAGAGATGTGTGAGGTATCCTTGTCACAAATTTTGGGGAGTACGGTGTCGTTACCTTCGACTCGGGAGCCAGGGTCTCAGTCTTATTCGCATTGTTAGATATCTATCATTAGCCACGCCCCAATTATGAAATCGTTACAGACGGGCAAAATAAAAGATAAGCCAGAATCATTGTGGCTTTCGGCATTCTAATTTTCAGGGCCGACCCCGCGCCAGCCTTTGTTCTGCGCCTGCAAATCCCGGCCAGATCGCCGATCCTCCACTGACTTGGTTAAGTTTTTGGAATTTTCGACACCTTGGTCTGCTGCGACTGTTAAAAGGGTTCCAGGATTTTTTAACGTAAGAAAATGGCAGTGACTCCTTCAATCCCTATCTGCTTCGCCCCGGTTAAATTGGGCATAAAATGCATTGACACCAGGTTGAGCGTTCGCGCTTTCAACCCTGGCCCCGTCTAGGTCATAATATGTTCATTTGATAATTCTCGCGAACCGATGACAAAAAAAAATGAAAAATCCCCCTCTGCCCATTATATAGGCTCGCGCCATTTCCGGCATATGCTAATTGATTCCTAACAAAGTGGGTGCTCCATTTCTAACAAAAACAATTTAACGTCGAAAATAGCATAATTTGCAAAATCTGATGTGTGCAGTCATCTCACGCCATTACGCACCTAATGACGTATCATACGTTGCTTAAACCTTCCTCTCGAGATACCTCCGACACTGACGGAGGCATGCAAAGTGGCACAGACCACACACGCAAAACAAGACACTATTTTTTAATAGCGTAGGTATATATATTTTTGGCATGCTGTGCCCATGGTTTGGCACAAAACATTGAAAAATCGGCCTTACGATCGCCATAATACCCAGAAAGCCTTGTTCAAGACGCCCTACAAGGATTTTCGGAGAGCCGAATATGTGCAAATTCACTTCCGGTAGTTATAACAATTTTTGTCAGCTAGCACATTACTACACATGGCTCCGATGCGTAGTGATTCGATTTCCGCCTGCCTGGTAGCGTGGACTGAAAATTTCTTTTCTTTTGCGGACAGTAAAAAGTCGTGTGTTTTGTTTACGGATGTAGCGTAACGTAGGTAGACGTAACACACCCCAAAAAATGCAACTTAATTTTATACACAGACCGGTTCCCGATGGTGCGACTGTCGAATAGCTAACCGGCAGCCTGGTGCGAAATTCTCGATGGGCTAGCTAGGCGAAAGCGCAGCGTTTTTGTATCAAATGCTCACATGCCAAAATTTTGTGTTTGATGGCAATTATTTACACCGAGTTGAAATATAGATTATTTACATAAATATATTGGCGCCCCAAAACAACAAACAACAAACAACAATTAACAATTTTCAGACGCTGACCGCCACTCGGTCGCTAGAAGTGGCCTTTTGCTATTGGCGCTTCCATTTGAGTCAACGCTGGAATAGGGCAAGAAATTCGGATTCAATTCTTGGTATAGCTTGTCGTTAGGCTTCTTAGAGAAAGCCCTGCAGCACTTGCGGATGCAGCAATATAAGAAGCCCCCAGTGCAAGCCACGAATCCCATAACAAAGACAATCATAATCACAATCCAGACAATCGGTTGGAAATGGCTGCAGCAGGATCCGTTGCAGCAGCTGTAGTAGATGAACGGGGAGGCGGCGCCTGAAACGATTTTAATAATTTTTCGACCATTAAAATTGTTTTCAACCGCATAGACAGTAATATAATCTAATTATTGCATTGTCTGCAAACTGGGCGGACTTATCAGCTGTTTTCCCCACTACCTTTCACTTTCAGCCCTGTTTCTGCCACGTACCGTCAACATATATTGCCTTGCAATGCAAAAATTGGTACTGACAACAGAACGCTCGGACCAAAAATGGTGCTAATGCACACAGGGGGGCAGTCCGGATTTTGGTTACAAAACGCTCCAAATGCCGTTTTGAAAACTCGAAGCTTCTGAAAAAGCTAAGCTAAGCCTAAGCATAGGCTTAGCTTCATACAAACGAAACCTAAGCTTAGCTTGAGCCAAGCGAAGCCCTAAATAACCCCATTTTGACGTCGTAAAGCAATTTAAATCTCAAGATAAGCTTAAGCCTACACCTAAGCTAACAAGGAGTGCTTTTTTTGAGCCATCTGCAAAACCTTACGAGACCTAGCTCATTCGATAGAGAATTCGATTCTGAACAAAACACCGTTGTTCTTTTTTGCAGAATGGCTATCCCTGATTTTATAAAATTTTAAAACTGCACCCAAAAGCCTCTCTTTTGGCTCGGAAGGCGCTCATGGTAAGAGACGGTCACTAGTCTTTTAATTGTATAAAATCAGGGATAGCCATTCTGCAAAAAAGAACAACGGGGTTTTGTTCAGAATCGAATTCTCTATCGAACGAGCTAGGTCTCGTAAGGTTTTGCCGATGACTCAAAAAAGCACTCCTTGTAAGCATAGTTAAAGCTAAGTTAAGCATAGATTTAAGCTGAAAACCAAGTAGCTTAGGCGGAGCGCCTCGTAACCCCTTACTACCAATTTCGTGCTCCCCCCCCCCCAAGGGCAATAGAACCCAAAAAAACATCGCCAGATTTTGGGGCAGAATGAAGTTTTTTTGGTTCCTCGACCATGGCACTTGATGCAAGCCTAAGGCATGGATTATGTTTTATATAGTCACCGAGTCACCGCTAGTGTGACTCGTAATCCCAGACGAAACGGCGCTTTACGGTTGACCCGAGACATACTGATATGAATTTCCCTTTGTAAAAAATGGCAAAAATCTTGATGAAACCTTTCGTAGTTTCTAAAGCTGACGAAAATGTTTGATGAAATAGCATACCGGTTATGAGCCCATGTCAAACCGGCCAGCCTTTGCTAAATTTTGTCGTAAGAAAATACAACTAACATTTCTCGGGCTCGTTGCACCCAGCCAGACTAGAATTCCGTTGCCCAAGGTTCCAGTTCAGGCTGGCTGATGCACCATTCGCGAGACAGATTACGAGGAACCAGGGCGAAGCACAGAATTTTTTGCAGGAAAATACAATTGATTCCGCGATCCGCCCTGCTGCACTTAGCTTCCATGCCTAAATATGAATCGTCATAAGCACCCTAGCAAAACTGACGTTGTTTACTTCAGACATTAGCAACTGGATTTATGGGCCCGTGGCAGTAGAAAATCTGTTGTGAAACGAAGTAAAGTCAGCCGCTCGCCACCCGCCGTCTATTTATGAACCAGCGCCGGTACAGCAAGATAAGGGTAAGGCGCCCTCCAGACTTGCACAGGTGGACAGAAAAGAGAATAAAGGGTCGAAACGGTCGCTGCCCACGCCCCGAAATCTTGGCGGTCTAAGGGCTAGGCAACGCGGCGCTCCTATCGACTCAAAAATGTATGGGGCTAAAACTTTGGAGGCTTATATCTTGAAAAATATGGCCGATCTTAAAAAACGCGAATTCCAGTCTTGTAGAAGAGAACATGGCGATTCTAATGATACTAAGCACTAACAAAACTGAATTTAAAAGTATGCTAACGAAGGCGGTTTTGGTGGGCGACTTTGTGAAAAGTGGTATTTCGGAGGGCTAACCTGCCGTCTTTGGTATCATTCGAACCGTAAAATTCTACTCTGCAATAATTGATATTGGGTTTTCATTATTAAGTCGGTTTGAAAAAGTTATAAGAGCTTAAACTTTTTGGCGCCCGCTACGTTCCGCTCCTATCGACGCTTTTGTCCCTCCCGGCACATTGCCGTTTTTGGCCTGTTTGATTGGCCGTGTGCCTACAGTACGGAGTGGGGGGGGTTCGGGCTGGTCCAAGTATTTGGAAAAAAGTTAGAGCTAATTCTTTTAACGAAAAATTTGGAAAAAGGACTTTTCGTCTCCCTCGAATCAATTACGTGCACACACTTTTGAACCCTTGTTGCCCAATAAAAGATTGTAACGGAATCATCAGAATTTACGCATCATTTACAATTAGTTCACAGATGCGCCCCACGGTATTCTGGACACAATATCAACAATTTTCCTACGAGCTGCTGGGTACCGATGGTCACAGCTCCTTCAAAATCTGCTTCCATCGGAAAATTGGGCAAAATTCGTGAAATTTGAGGGGCCTGAAGATGGAGAAGGGAAGAAAGGAGGCCCCCGGAAAAGGCGGATTATCCGCGAGGGCCCTAATCCCGCAAGTGCCCCCCTCTAGCCATCCATACATCCTCACAAACGAACTACGCCCCCATTTTTTTGCTAAACTACGTGATTTTGGGTGTTTACTAAACACCCAAAACACTGTTTAGGGACTGGGAAGTATGCCTTCCTAAGCTTTCCTATTTTGCTTTTTGCTCTGCTTGAAAATACGCGCAACCTTGTGCAAGTCAATTGAATTGTGGTTGCATTTTTGATAAGGCCGCCGGAATTCCTTGCCGTGGCACGTGCCGGAAAGGCAGTTTTTTTGATGCATTCCTTTCTCAGTAACTTGCGGTTGCCGCCCCTTAAAGGGCACGTTCAGGGACGTTTTTTTGGAAAAAGCAAGTTTTGCCGCGGCCGGGGGTCGAACCCGGCCCCCGCTCGGGAGGCGCGGATGCAACCTCAGCCACCGCAACCTGCGAGGAAGGGGCGCCCCACGCCGCAAAGGCGAGAATGCCTGCCACGCCACGGGCGGCGCGCGGTCCCAACGTCCAAGGGTGTACACGTTGGGACGAGTACACGGCCCCTCCCTGAACGTGCGCTTTAAAACTGTAGACATTTTGTTACTCACTGGTGCCTCAGTCCACCTACGTACTGCTTAGGGAGGAAGTCATAAAACTCATTGTTTATCGGGTGACACATTTGTTGTCGATAAGGTGCCAGCTCAGAAAACTGGGACAGGCCCGGAAGTTTAGCCGTGACGGGATGATTCTACTGACCCAAATTTGCTAAAGGAGGGGACGACTTTTCGCTAGTACAAGGGTGTGGAAGACCGTTAGTGTAACACTTATGTTCCGTTCGACACCTTATATCATTGCATACATAACCTACCGTATGCTCGGCACTGGGAAAACGAAGGGCTGCAGATTTAGCGCAAAAAAAAGCGAATTTGTGAGACTACAAGACACCGAAAAAATATCTGCTTATAGAATAGCGTAAATTGCCTTGGCTTGGGGGTATACTTTAATATTGGCGCCAGCAAATTCATACCTCTCCACTGAAACGTAAATTTTCGGACAATCCCTCTACCACAAGCCGGCCGTGGCAAGGCCTGGATGCTAAGCGACCGATTTCATGGGCCGGTGCGGCGACGTCCGATTCGAATTTCGGGATTTCCCTTTTCCAGGGAAGTCATACTAAATTTCTATAGCCTTGGAAAGTCGTTGTTCATTTTTGTTATAGTTATTTTCTTCTCTTTTTAAAGGTTTTTAAAATTCTCGAGATTTCTAAACTCCCAAAATTTAATTAAATTTGATGGAACACCTTGGCGAGGGCCGAGAAATCCCTTGGAAGCCTGCTAGAGTAGCGATGTGTGGCCCATTGCCCTAATCCGTTAATTGTGAGGATTCCATCATCTTTCTTTCTCTCTCTCTCTCTCGTTCGCTCCCTCTACCTGGCCATGTCCCACCTTAGGGCCCATCTCCACATCCATCCGGTGTTGGCCCGCGGGCCTCAAGGAATCCCTATGGGACTTGGCCGGCCACCACCGGCTTTCAGCGACAATCCAATTTTGGACAACCTACACCTACGCAAACTCACCGCCCGGCTCGATTTGGAGTGTTTTTGCACGAGCGTTAAAGAAACTTGAATCGATGGGTTTATTCCCTTGGCTTCCTAAATGGTCTTTGCTGCGCACGCTGAGTTTTTTAAGAGCCACCCTGTCGCAACCCTTTAATCGTACTTACCTAGTGAGTAAGCGCCCGAAAATGGTCAATAGATATGAATTCTAAGACCTTTTAGTAGGTGTCCTTATTTGCCATGATGACTAACCGCCCGTGATAGAAATAGAGGAGAGAGAGAGAGAGCGAGATAGATAGAGAGAGAACGAAAACCGTCCTACCAACAATTCGGTGATGATATTACAGGGTGAGAAGAATGGCAGCAGTCGGGCGGGGGTGTGGATGATGGCGGGATGTATGTGGCCTGAGTGTTTGTCTCTGCCTCTCTCACTCTGCCTCTCTCTCTTCTCTCTCTCTCTCTCTCTCTTCACGAAAAGGCCCACCCACTCTTGGGTCCCCGGATTCGCGCACAGTCCCCGAACCATCGATTTCCCGGAGGGGGCCCGGATCTGATCTGCCAAAACTACCATAATGATAAGCGTTCTTTGTTGTATAGCGGAACTTTTTTGAAATGCAGCGATTTTTTTACGAGCTGTTATATATAAATTATAACATTTTACGTTCTTTGCCAAGTTTTCAAATTAAAAAGTTTCAATATTGTTGCTTTTTTTCCGAGCCGCTCCTAAGAACAACCTCTTTCTTCTCAGAAGCGTTTCAAAAACGATTGTTCCCCATCAAACACCTTCCAGTCTGTCCTTCCGGCCTATTCCCATTCATTTACAGAATTCCCTCCCATCAAAAAGAAGGCCAATGAGCATTGGGTTGGTTAAAAGAAAGAGTGGCTTTTGTTTATCCACCAGCCAGACCAAGAGAGCGATTCTTGGCCCCAGGGCCACTTCGTTGATTCGATGCCCCACCCTGGCTCCAAGTAATGACCCTCAAGATTCTTGGGGAGTCCAACTTCCCTTTCAAACCCTCCAATTTTGGACTTCGAAATTTGAGGATGCATTTGAATCCTTCTTTCTTCGGATCCTGGCTTTATTACGAATTGTACGACGCAAAAAACGTTAGTCGGAGCAATTGATAGGTGGCGACGGCGTACTTGACCTAGCTGTTATCAGAAGAAACACGGCCTGGCTGCAGCGCTTGAAGATATCTTTGAGAAAAAACCTCCAAGTATACAGAAATATACAGTGGCCATTAAAAACAAAAAACACCTTTAAAACTAGCCAAAAGCTTATTTTTCATGGTTTTTATTTTAACCCCCGATTTTTTGCGCGACGGCCGCAGTTGCTAGCTTATGGGTTTTTGCGGTTTCGACCATTTTCAAAACTTTTTCGGAGCCATTTCTAAGCGGTGCAAATTTTTTGCGGCTTTTCGGACCGGCCGAACGATCAAGGATCAAGGCCGCGTCACTTGACGAAGAACTCCGGAGCTGTTCCTTCGTCTCCCAAAATTCTAAAATTATCACATTCTATTGCACGACTGCACGGACTTTCCTGTTCCATATAATTTTTGTTTTCGGCGTTGCAGAGCCGTATTATGAGAAAATTTTAGCGTCCCACATGATATCGTAATCAGCTTGCGTTCACTAAAAATACGGTTCAAATTGCAGCCCACGTGGTTCAACAGAGGACCGGCTTATGGGCTGCGGGCCTCCAGGATAGCTTTTTACCGTGTTTCGAACGCCTCTGCTCGGATCAGGTCGCCCTGATAAGGCGTTACTGGGCGGCAGTAAACAACTAGCATAAAAAAAAAAATTTTCAGTCGCAAGATATTGGGCGGAATCACGAGATAAGTGGGACCGATTTCGGATTTGAAAATGATGTGGATTTAAGGGGTTAGCACATCTTTTAGTTGGTACCGTGCGTTAATGTACAAATAAAGAAGGTCGATTAAGAATTTATAAGCGACACATTTCTCATAGGGCTCTCATTTAGGGCTGTGTCCACAGGAGTGTAACGTATTCCATCCATAAGTGTATGGGAGGGGGGATGGTTGATAAATGGTGTCGTGTCGGCTGATGGCCAGGGCAGAGAAGTGTGTCTGCCAAGCAGTCTGGTGCCTTAAGGGGACAGACAAGGCGTGGATTTAGATTTTATCAATCTTCGATTTTTTATAGACTTTGCTGATGAGCCGCGACACGCAACGCGCACGCTCTTGTACGTCTTGGAAGAGCAGTAATGCCGTACGCAACAAAATTTCTTTATTTTTACAAATTTGGAATTTTAACTTGACTTGACTCGACCTTGACTTCCCAATCCCTTTAAAAAGTTTTAAAATGTTATTAGCCATTTGGATATTGCTGTTATGGAACTAGATCTATTGCGTAAATTGCTGTATATAATTAAATAACTTTTCCCCCGAATTTTCCGCCTAAGTGTTTTCATTCTCGCCCCCGGTCTTAATGACAATAGACCCCAAAAAGGAAGAGTGGCCCGGCCAAAGCACCACCCAAGAAAAGAGGGGCCCCAACCGGAAATTGTGTCCTCAACGAGACGCCCTTGGGGCCCAGCAAGGGCCTAGAGGAGGCCAAAATGTCTGGCAGAAGAAGCGTGAGGTGAGGGTGGGCTCTTTTTGGGAGGGACTTGGACGGGATATAAGCACACGTTATGTGTTAGAGCGGTTATTATTATTTTTGTTTTTGTTCAACGCCCGGGTTAATTCCCAAGGAAACTCTGCTAGCTTGCCCGAGCAACGCGGAGGTTATTCCAAGAATTTCTTCTAGTTGACAAAAATCGTCAACAATCTCTGCTAGGTTACCTGTTTCCTAAAGGATCTCTGCTAGTTTCCCCTAGCGTCTATATTCCACCAAGAATCTCTGCTCGTTTTCGAAGGGACCGAAATTCCAAAAAGAATCTTTGCTAGCTCCCCTGCGCCTAGCCATCCGACCAGTTTCACAAAGAAGCTTTGCTAGTTTGCCTTTTTGATTTAAATTTTCCGCCTCTTTCCACAAATAGTCACTGCTAGCTAGCCCTCGCTCGATTCCACAAAGAATCGCTGCTATCCTGCCTTGTGCTAGCATAAAAAAATGCCTAAAGAATCTCGGCCAGCCCCCTCAAATTTGCATGATTCCCAAAGCTCTTTTTCAAAAATTTCAAAGCAACGATTCCATCCGTTTTCTCAAAGCTAGTAAGCCCGGAAAAAACACGCACCAAAGCAGAATCATAGACTGCTTCTCGACCGACTCGAATCAACCAGGCCGGGGGTGGAGAAGAATACCTTCGGTCAACCGGAAACAGGAACGGCCCGGAATTCCCTTCGCCTGGAGGACCTCCTCGTTTCAATTCTCGTTTTTAAAGAACCCCCAAGGATGGGTGACTAGAAAATAGACTAAAAACCGGAACTGGTTTTACTTTTAGGTCGGCAATGAGCTTTGCCAGTTTTCCTAGAGTGTAAATTGGGTTATTCATTGTATTCTGGCGTCCTATAAAACTCTCTGTCTCGCCCTTTCTCTCTCTCTCTCTCTCTCTCTTCCGAGAAAAAGTGCTCATCAATTTCCGGGCCTAATTTTCCCGGCTGGCCAATCGCATCCTCTTTGGGACAAGAGGATTTCCCAAAAGATCTTTGCTCGCCGACACTTCTCTCTCTAACTCTCTCTCTCTCACACTATCCTCTCTCTTCCACAAATTGTTATGGCCCTCTATTCGCGTCTCTTTCTGTGTATATCCGGGTGCCACCTTGGTAGTCCCTTTCTGGCGCCGCTGAGGGTAATTATTTTCTGCCCAAAAAACTCCTCCGGGGGCCCATCTGGGTGATGTGGTTCTCTTTTCTTTCGCTTGTGCATCAACTTTTTGACTCGATGCGCATGTTTTTGGATTTATCGCTGACAGAGACAGAGAGAGAGAGAGAGAGAAAGACACAGAGAGATAGAGAGAGAGAGAGAGAGACAGAGAAAGAGGGAGGGAGAGAGAGGGGGAGGCTGAAGATGAGCATTTCCGGCCTTTTCGAGAAATTCATCACAGTTTAGGTCAAAACTTTAGCGCTCTCGGCACAAGTTGTATCCACCACTCCCCATCGGCCGCAGATTTCTTCATTGGGACCATCATCAAACAAATGGCTCTCCCTCTCTCTCCCTCTTTCAATTCCCAGCTTCTCCACCCCTTCCTTCCAAGCGCAAAAAGACCCTCGGGGCATAAAATTGAGACACACACATTGCGTGTCGCGCCGTCCATTTTGTTCGTTTCTTTGGAAGGGGGGATCGGAAGGAGGGGGACAGATCGTCGCTCCCCCCAATATATACTGGGCCACTGGGCCCTAAGGCAATCTCTGCACCCCACAAGCGAATAGCCACCAAGGGCCCCAATCCCAATCTCGACACACCAAAAGACAGCGGCCACGCATTTGCCAGAAGGCTCTTTTTTTAGGAAGACTCAGTAATTAACTAAAAAAGTGTATTTCATAGCATAGAATTAACCCGAATCGCTAAAAGTGGGAGCAAGGGAACGCCAAAAACCGGGAACCAGGTACCGTAACCGTATTACAAAGCCGACTGACCGTAGTCTCACGAATACCAGACGAAAAATTTTTTTGAGGATTTTTTGCTGATTGCAGAGCTCGCAAAATCGTATATAATCGGGCAATGCGCTTTTAGCATACTGTGGACATCGTTTTGCTTCATTTTCCCCACCGTATTTCGCAATTTTTGCATTTTTCACATTGCGACGGCGAGCTTTAAATGAACCGGGAAGCCAAACAGTAGCTGGCTCTGTCTCTGTCTCTCCCTGTCTCTCTCTTTCTCTCTCTCTCTCTCTCTCTCTCTCTCTCTCGCTCTCGCTCCAAATTTCGTCAACTAAAAGCCCCTATATGAAAATATGTCATCCGATGAAATTTGAGCCCTTTTTCACGATTCCAAACGATTTTTCAACTCTTCGTAAGATTTCTCGTTTTCTCAATCTCTCAGAGATGCCTTGCCATTCTTATTCCTCTGTTTTTTTGCCGCTACCGTATTTCACATCATTTTTCCAGAATCCGGGTGTTGGATGTCATTTGACTTTGACCTCACAGCCCCGTTCATCCCCGAATTCTCTACAAAAGATCAGCATGAGCATCGGCATAAGGTTCGCCCCGTACAGGTGGGTATGGTTAATATGATTTTAAAGGGACCGGCAGCGCAGCGGAACGTTTTCTATGTACTATACCTAGGTGTTCGTCCCATCGAGTTCGGTGCCCGGAAAATTTCGGCTGAATGAAGGGGCGTTGAATACGGTGCTCGGCCACTCGTCGATAGCCAATAAAAAGGTGGGCAGTTTGAAGGGGTCACCAGCAGAGATCATTTGGGGAATTTGGAATTTTCGGTGCATTCGATCTGTTTAATCAATTTTTTGATAGTTTGTAACGTTTCAAGAAATAATTTTTCTATTTAGCGCCAAATTTTTCTGTTGCATATGAATTTAGTTTTTTTTCTAGTTACATTTTCTAATTATAAAGGGCCTCACAAGGCAAAAAATGCACTTTTTAACATTTAAAGGGGCGTGGAGGTCAAATATGGTGTCTATGAAAGATTTTAACTTGTTGCGAAGTATTCCCCGTCCATGAAGGTTTCTTGGCTTAACCTTGAACTCAACCCTAAACTATTCAAAAAGCCGGCAGATCTCTATTTTAATGCAAAAATTGTGATTCCGCACCTGAACTCCTTCCACCTTTTCGCCGTCCCCTAGCACATCGTACACCCGGCGTAATGTGTCGTAATGAGTGAATGCCATTCCCCGTCCCCTTCCCTCCCTCCTAAAGGAATTGTCGAGTTCGATCCACGACCATCATGCCCTTTTCTGTGCCCTCCACCCTCCTACCCATCCTTCGGTCGAGTGCATTTTAGATTAGTCAAGGTGAGACCATTCGCTAATGGGATCATTCGGCGAAAAATCGTGGGTTATGGCTTCGGCACGGCTCAGTACAGTCGCGGAAAGTAACGTACAGCTGGGTGCTGTTGCGTACAGTAAAGTATTCCTGCGTACAGTCGCGGAGAGTAACGTACAGCTACGTACAGTCGCGGACAGTAACGAACAGCGACCTACAGTTTCAGACAGTAATGTGCACTTGCGTATAGTTGCGTACAGTAACGTACAGAACCGTAAAGTTGTGTACGGTAACGGATCGCTCCGCATTTCACTCAATGGTACGCTCCAAAACCCCGAATTCTTGGCGTGCCATCGAAGGCTAAGCCTAAACCGAAGCACTACGCAAGACGAAGTCTGTTTCCAAGCCAGAGTCAAAGCCTCAGCTTGGGTATGAGCCTTATCCTAAGCCTATGAATTAAATTAAGGGTAAGCAGCTACGGTATGCGAGTAAGCCAAGCCTAGGCGTATTTCCAAGCCAAGAATATCTTCAAAGTTAAAGGTAAGCTAAGCCTAAGCAAGTCCAATTTTCTGCAATTTTCGAATAAATTTTCGACCCCAATAATGCGCCGGCTAAGGGGTGAACGTGAGGAGTGGGTGAAAACGGTGTTAGCTCTTCCTGCCCCCTATCCGGCTCATGCCGCCCACGGCAAAAAGCGGCAGCGGGTACCGGAAAATCGGTATCGGAAATCGAGGGGAACGGGCGCCGCGCGCTACCATCTCCCCAAAACGCGGGGAAGAAGCCCTGGGCGAAAACCGAAAAGCTGCGAGTTTCTGCTGTGGCTGGGCAAAATTGGGGGTGCTGATCATTTTTGGAATGTCTGCCATTAGTGAGTGATTGGGTGATAATGGTTAGACTTAGGCTTGGGCTTGGGTTTGGGCTAAGGATTGGGCTTAGGTCCCAAGGGCGAAATTTTCGATAATTCGAATGATTCTAAAATTGTAATTATCGGTTAAAAGTTTTTTAGGCAAATCTGGTCCCTGTTTTGAAGGGCGTAATTGATATAGAGGAAAATCTATTTTTTGAGCTTGTTTTCACCTAGCTTTCAGAGGAGAGAGAGGGCGACAGAGATAGAGAGAGACCACCAGATTTAAACCCATTCCATAATACTGTGTTGCACTTATAATTGTAGTTGAACTGTTTTGCTCCAAGAATAATTTATTCCCCTGCATGAATAGGCAGGTTGGCCACTTGAGTGACTGCTTAACGGCGGGTTCCGTCCTCGAAGAAGACTCCTCCGTCGATGGCGCAGTACTTGGGGCAGATACCCTTCTCTCCGGCCTGTCCGGGCTGGCCGGGGTGTCCGGGAGTTCCGGGGTTTCCGTCCTGTCCGGGCTCTCCGTCGGGTCCGGGGGGTCCCTTCTGTCCAGGCTCGCCGGGCTTGCCATCGGCTCCATTCTGTCCGGGGGGTCCTTGGGGTCCCTGTGGGCCGGGGGTCCTTGGGGTCCAAGGGGGTCCAGGGACGACGGGCTCGGCCTTGGCGGGCTCTCCAGGCTGTCCAGGGGCTCCGGGGTTTCCGGGGGGTCCGGGAGGTCCTGAAATGGTGAGGATTAGGGGGGGTTGGGGTTTTTTAAGTGTTTCAAGGGTCGTAAACGGTTTCTGCTAGTTGTTGAGGTGAAACTCGGATTTTAAAGGGGGTGTGACAGGTGGAGTTGGAGCTAAACCTGATGCTCAGGCTTATCTCCCTCTCACTCTCTCTCTCTCACTCTCTCTCTCTCTCTCTCTCGCTCTCCTAATTCAATCAAAACCGTACCAGGGGGTCCCTTGGGTCCAGGGGGTCCGGGGTTGGCGTCGGGTCCCTTCTCTCCGGGCTCTCCAGGCGATCCGTTGTCTCCGGGGGCTCCAGGGGGTCCGGGAGGGCCGGGGGGGTCCCTGTGGGCAGGGCTTGCATGGTGGCGGGGTGACCGGCTCGCAAGGCTGCTGTGGTGGGCGACCGGGGTTTCCGGGGAGTCCGGGGGCTCCGGGCTGAAAAGGGCTGGATTCGACGGGTTTCAGGTTATTTTGAAGTCAACGCTAAGCCGAAGCCTAAGCTTAATCCCACGCTCAATCACTCACCTTTCCGGGCTTTCCGGGCTTTCCGGGGGCTCCCTGAGGTCCGGCGGGTCCGGGCAAGCAGCATCCAGAGCACTGGTCATCGTGTCCGGCCTGACGGGCCGTCCTGTTTCCGTGGACGGGCATCTCCTTGAGGCTGTAGACGCTGTTCCAGACGTCCTTGGCGGATCCCTTGCACTGGTTCAGCTCCATGTGCATCTGGCGGCGGACGTGGTGCACGTAGTTGTACACCTGGAATTAGATGGCGTTTAGAGAACCCACCAAATTTTAATGAGTATAAAAAAAGAGTAATTTCTACAGTAAGCCTTTCTACGGTAATTTATAAGCGTTGTTTTTTAGTTTTATGTATTGAAAATTGTGTTTTTGTCATTTTTGAGGGTCCTTAAGACGTTTTAGAGGCGCTATAGGACCGCAGGAATTTTAAAATATACAAAATCACTACCGTAACCCTAAAATAACCCCAAAACCCTCCAAAAAACCAACCATCGGCAAAGTGATGCAGACGGAGAGGACGGCGACAGCCGAGAAGGTGACGGCCGCATAGCCGACGAAGCGGTAAGCCTTGATTTTCGAGTCGATCTCCATGACTAGGAGTGCCTGTCTATCCACCGTTGCCCGGCCCTTAAATACTCCCCTGACTCCGCCCCCATCACCCTAAAAGCTGCCCCCGGAGGGCATAGCCCGCCCGCGGGGGCGAACTCGAGAAAAACGAACCCAGCCGCGCTCGCTCCGAATGCCCGCCGGCAAAAACGTGCGCGGCGCAACGTGGGGGCAGATTTGAGTCGAACTGTCTCTGTCGGTACGTCTGTTTGTCTGTCTCTCTGGCGCTCTGTCGCTCTCTCTCACGCTCTCAGTCGCTCGATCTCTCTCGCTTTCTCTCGCGCCCTCTCTCTCTCGCTCTCACCCTCGCCCTCTTTCTCGCTCGCTCTCTCTGTGTCTGCCTCTCTCGCGCTCTTTCTCTCTCTGTCTGTCTTTCTCTCGCTCTCGCACGTTCTCTATCTCTCTGTCTGTCTCTCTCGCCCTTCCCTAGCGCTCTCTCTCCGGCTCTCCATCTCTCTATCTCTCATTCTCTCACTCTCTCGCTCCCGCTCTCCTTCTCATGCTCTCTCACTCCCTGTCGCACTCTCTCGCCCTCGCTCGCTCGCTCTCTCTCCCCCCTCTATCAAGCACTTCTTCAAGCAGTCCATAACCCCCATCTCTACCGTCTCGTCCTCCTCTCCTCTCTCCCTTCCCCTCACTCCTCTGAACAGGATCCCGAATTTTGGAGCGAACCAGCGCTACGCATACAAAAAGTGGCGCGCCACCCGGACCATCGTGGAACCCCCCGAATCAGCGGTCAGATGATGCGCAAATCGATTTGAGGATTGGCGGGTGAAAGTCGGCAAGAAGTTCCTTGCAAACTATGCACCAAGCTTGACGAGCTTATTGGAGAGATCCTAACCCGTTACGCAATGAAATAGTGGAGCGTGTCGCGTGTTGAGTTTTCCTTGAGTCCAAAGAATCTATGTTGTTTTAAACAACCCATTAATGCATAGACTTTCTCGAAAATTAGCGAAGTCAAGTCGAGTCGACGTCAAAGTACGATGATTCCACTTGACAACGTCGAAGCTCTGATGGCTTTTTGCCAGAATCGGTTCCGATTCACGCGGTTTTTTCTGGCATGCACCCGTTGGCAGTGAATCTTGTGCCCTTTTTGTCATCACTGAGAAATTTATCGATGAGTCGAGGTGCGTGCTGGTAGGGCGGAAGAGTGAGGACGTGCTGGAAGTCAGATGACCTCTGTTGGATTGCCTAAGCCTAAGCCTAAGCCTAAGCCTAAGGCTAAGCATAAGCCTAAGTCTACGCCTAAGTTTAAGCCTAAGCACAAGCCTGATCCTACGCGTAAGCCTAGGCCTAAGCCTAAGTTAAGCCTAAACCTAAGCCAAGCCTAAACCTAAACCTAAGCCTGAGCCTAAAACACGCCTAAGCACAAACCGGAAAAGTGTTAGAATCTCCGCCCTTTTGTCACCTAAAATGATCTCTGCTAGCCTACCCGAATTTTCCGGAATCCCAAAAGCAATAACAAAAATTCCAGGTGGTCATCATCTCAGTTGCCGGCGCATTCCGGAAAGGGAAAAGCTTCCTGCTCAACTTTTTCCTCGAATACCTCTACGCGCTGCAAAGGGCGCAACAAGTAAGGCAACGGAATTGCTTTTAAAGGGGCCGACAAGGCAAAATCCCGAGCTAATTTTGCTTCTGATCTCCAGTTGATGCTCCTTCAAAAATTGAGCTTTAGCAAGAAGCGCCGCTGGAATGGCTAGGGGACGACTGCCAGCTTCATGGATTCCACTGGAGGGCGGGCACGAAACGGTACGTTTGTAGTACAGAAAGGTAATCTTAAAGTAAACATAAGCTAAGTTAAGCGATAGCTAAGCCTAAGCCTAAGCCTAAGCCTAAGCCTAAGCCTAAGCCTAAGCCTAAGCTAGCTAAGCCAACGTAGCCAAACCTAAAACCAACTTTTCAGCGACACAGCCGGTATCTGGATGTGGGGCGAGCCGATCATGATCGAAGGAGGCACGGGCGAGAATTATGCCGTCGTACTGGTCAGTCCACTTCGATACTCCCTCCAATTATCGGGTTACGGTAGATGGACACGCAAGGCACCTTCGATAATGCATCCACATACCTTCAATGCACCACCATATTCGCGTTGTCGACCATCGTCAGCTCGGTGCAGATCTACAACGTGGTCGACAATATTCAGGTGAGAATTCGGGTAATGAGGGGAGCTGGCTAGCAGGGATTTTTGGGGAATTTGGAATAGGAGGCTTAATTCGAAAGACTACAAAATGATCGATTACGTTTTTAGATATCTTTTGGGGGATTTTCCGGGATATTTGCTTATCGTAAAGGCTAGAATCGATATCGACATTCTTATATTTGGAAAATATGGAATTTTGGCATTTCGAATGGCATGACATTTCGGCGTTCCTAATTTCGATATTCCGAATTTCGAACTTTCAATAGAAAATCGGCGTAGCATCACCTAAGCAAGAGCCTATTTTGCAGGAAGACGCACTGCAGCACTTGTCACTTTTTGTGGAATACGGTAGACTGGCCGTGCGGGACGCCCAGCAATTCGGGAGCCCATTTCAGGTAAAGTTTCAATTTTCCACATACTTTTTTACGCTTCCGTAACCCAACGTCATTTGTAGTCGCTCGTATTCTGCGTGCGCGACTTCAAGGCGCCCGAGGATTTCCCCTACGGCAAGGAGGGCGGTGTGCAATTTTTGGAGCAGGTTTTGAAGGTTGGTGCCTGTCACATTTCCTTGAAAACAAGGAATAGTCTCAAGGACGACATTTAGGTAGAAGAGGGCCAGGCGGAGGAGTTGAGAACGGTGCGCGAGCAGCTCGACTCGTGCTTCGAAAAAATCCAGTGCTTCTTGCTACCACATCCAGGCTATCGGGTGGCGGAAAGGGGGTCTTTTCGCGGCCACGTTAAAGGTACTTTGGAGAAGGGTACTGTAGAACAAGAAATTTGAAGATTTACGCCCAATATTTCGGGAGGAAATTCGAAAAATGGTTGTCGCATTGTTGGAGCCACATGTATTGAAGCCAAAGGTGAGAAAATCGAACTTCAATGGTCCATTAAAATCGATTTCTAAGAAAACTTTGATACCGTAATTTACCATCTATTACTGTAAATTTTCCATTTTTGGCGCTCATTTCGGTTTGCAGGTGATCAACGGCAAGCCGGTGACGTGCCGAAAAATGATGCAATTTTTTAAGGTTCGTCTCCTCTCTCTCTTGCTCTCTCTTTCTCTTTCTCTCATCTCTCTTTCTCTCCCTCTCTAATCCTCCCTTTCTATCGCTCAGTTAGCAACAGTATCCAGGGATTTTCTAGGCTTATGCCGCCACATTTGATGGCGGAACGCTTCCGGAACCTCGCAGCATTCTGGATGCGAACGCTCGTCTCCTGCTGATGGACGCGTGTCACGAGGCCAAACTGCAGTACTCCCGCGGAATGGATCGGGTTCGTCAATAGTCCAATTTTGACGACAATTTATTCTGTAAAATCAGGCCCGAATTAGGGCCCGTCTAGGCCAAGTTTGGTCCGAATTAAAGCCCGTTTAGCTGAATTAGGTAGTTTGTCGGGATTTTCGCTTCACCATTCGATAGAGCATCAAAAACATACTAAGGGGTTTAATTGCAGCTCCGAATAATAGAATAAAAGTTATAGCAAAAAAATATTGGGGAACTTCCGGCCGGGGTTCGCCCAGTTAGGTACAGACCAGAAATTGCTCATTTTAGTCGACGTGCGGCCCACGTATGATGCCGGAAAAGCGGCTTCTCGAGCAACACATCAAGCACGGCATCACGGCGCTGAACATCTTCGACAAGTGCCCGAAGATTGGGTCATCGGAAGTGAGGTCGGCGATGCAGTGTCGGCTCCAGGAGGATATTAATGTCAGTTTTGGGCGTAATTTCGGAGCGTATCGGAATTTTCGCGATTCGGGCTCCGCATTTCCAATAGATTTTCTCGTCATTAATTACGCTATGAAAATCCGGAGAGCGTCACGTGCGTCGCGCGTGTATGCATGGTCTAAAGATGTCTAAAAGTCCATAAAAAAATTTAGTCCATAAAATTGTCGCTACCGGCTCTCTAGTCCCTTTAAAACCCCCACTCAATTTCAGGCTGAGCTCGAGCGCTACAAGCGGTTGAACGAGGCGAAACGGGTGACGGGCTGCGTATCGGCGATGACGGCCTGTGGAGACAGCCCGTTATTGGGTGTCGGTCTGGGTGGAGCCGCTTCCGGTGAGCTCGACCAGGAGTACGGTAACTTGGTCCTCATTTAGGCGCCGTCGCCGCTACGGTAATGACGATGCAGGCGGGGCTCGTTTCGGCTGGAATCGTGGCGATACCGGTGGCGTTGGCGACGCTTTTTGTGATATGGGTAAGTTGGGTTAGTTCGAAAAATGCCGAAATCGAGCGTGTCGGCATTTTTTGCAGCTCTTTGCACTTGCGAAAAAATTAGAAATATGAAATTTCGACATTTCGAAATGTCGAAATTTGGAATTTCGACACCCTGAATTTTCTGAATTTATGAAACAAGCACATTTTTCTAGGTGTACGTCTACACGAAGCCCTACGTCGAGCAGTGCTTCAGCAAACAGGAAAAGGACGAGCTGGAGATGAAGGAATTTTAATTGTTTTACGCTTTCTAAAGTTTTTTCCTAAATTCAGGGTCCTCTCTGCCAATTTGCATATCATGTTCTCAGGTTTTCCAGCTGAAACAAAAGATGTTTATAGAAATATCGAAAAGCCAGGGTGTTTAGGTTTCTCTCTCGCTCTCTCTCGCTCCCTCTCTCTCTCTGTCGTTCTCTAACCTGTGATCGGTGCTGTATACTGTTTGTTTTTCGAGCTTCTCCCCCCTTTCCCCCACCAATAATCACTTATTCCCCCACCGCAGCCATATCATATATTCCCCTCTTCCCCCGTGCCTTCTTCCCCTCTATTTTTCTTGTATGCAATGATGCCATTCAGAAAAAAAGTAATATCATGAAGATAAATGTTTATTTCATATTTACATAACCCGAGTACCCCGATTAATTATTGCCCTTTATAGGTGGAATATCCGTAGGGGGCCAGCGTGATCGGCACGTGAAAATGGCGGGTGGCGTCGGCGATTCGGAACATTACCTGAAAGGAGGAAATACCATCTCTCTCTTTTATCTCTCTTCTTCCGACTCTCTCTTTATCTCACTCTCACCTCAACGTGCGGATAGAAACAATCGATCCCATCCCGTTCATAGTATTCCGCCGTATCAAATCGCAGCTTATACGTTGTATCATTTTTCAGCTGCACCTCCTCGGCGTCGAGCACCAACGCTGACGCGATCCGCCCGTTCTCGTCGGTCTTACTGGAATTCCGCAAGAATACAATTCCCAAAAACACCGCACCTCCTCCCGACCAGCGTCCATTCTTTATCATCCAATCGAAACGTTTCCACATTACATCCGGCGCCGGGCTTTCCCTAAAATGAGCTTCGGGTAATCTGTCGTCTGCTACGTGACACTTTGGTCCAGTTAATGTAATAAAAATGACAAAGAAATTTGGTCAACCCCAAGCCAAAGGCTAAGCGCAAGCCTAAGCCCAGGCTAAACCTAAGTCTAAGCCTGAGCCTAAGCCTAAGCCCAAGCCTAAGCCTAGGCCTACGCCTATACCGGAGCGTATAGCTAAGCCTAAGCCTAAGCCTACCGACAAGCACGATAAGCCCACGCCAACCTGTGAAATATCCAGGACATGCGTCGATAGTCCGGATGCGGAGTCGGCCGCCATTACAGTATTCGCAAAAACCGAGAGGGCAGCGAAAATTAGATGCATTTTAGAAAGGTTGGCGTGAAATCGAAAAACTAACTGAAAATGGCTGGGGGAAAGATGATTTTGACCGGCTCAAAAAGGGTCTGCTGTTGTTTGTTTTCGCCTTTGTGGCGACAATTAGAGAGAGAGAGAGTGAGAGAGAGAGAGAGCGAGAGAGAGAGCGCTATAAACACTCATCCCATCACATCAATACCCCCGTTCACGCCAAGCGCTATTGATAAGAATGTGTACACAGTAGCCGCACGTAATTTGGATAGTCTGTAGCGTCAGAATTCGACAACAAGAAGGTCATCTGATAGTTTTGAATCGTTTTTAAAGGGTTTCGAAAGTCGAGGAAATTTTTATTTTTTTTTTTTGTATTTTTTTTTGTTTTAATGCACTCAGGTGCGATGAAATGTTTATTACAATATACAAAGACCAAATATTAATAGCCGTTTTGTCTAGATACCCGATAGAGATCATGCGAAGGGAGAGAGAGCGAGAGAGAGAGAGGGAGAGAGAGAGAGAGCGAGCAAGAGTGAGATAGAGAGACTATTGCTTTTTCACCTTCACTATCCTTGGCGTAAATGAAGCCAAGGCAGGCCCTAGGATACGGTAGATCAGGTACGGGATTACGGTAACAAAAATCAAGCAAGAAATTGAGAGACAAGCGATGACGTCGAGATTACTGTGCACGATTCCCGACATCCGAGACGACGGCAGGTTGATGTAGTCGGAAAGACCCTGGAATTGTCATTTTTGAGATTTTTTGGGAAAATTGGGACCTGAATTTCAGCTATTCAAGTACAAAATGTTCTAAAAAATCTCTGTTAGCTACCAGAAAACAAGAAACCAAGTGAAAGTGAGAGAGCGAGAGAAAGAGCGACAGAGAGAGAGAGAGAGGGAGAGAGAGAGAGAGAGAGAGAGAGAGAGAAAGAGTGACAGAGAGAGAGCGAGAGAAAGAGTCACAGAGAGAGACAACGAGAGAGAGAGAGTGAGAGAGAGAGCGACAGAGAGAGAGAGAAATATTCCGATCCGCAATTCCCAAAGTACCTCTGCTAGCTCCCCATTTAAAGGACCACCAAAGGCAACAAACCTGAAAAGTTGCCGCGTACTCCACCCACTGCACAAATAGCTCCTCCGGCTGCTGCGGTTTTGATTTGAGCATCTTCGCCAGGGTGTGGCACTTTTTCGTCATTCTAAAAAGATATCCTAGATCCGCCCCAGCTACCGTACCCATGGTTTCCCAAGACTTTCTGCAGGGCGCGCACCATTCGCTTCTCGGTCACCTCGGATTTTCGGATGAGAACCGAGATTCCTCGGGATTCAGCGTTCATTGAGTTCCAGATCTGAAAATGGGTGAGTTAGAAGAAATCGAGTGAGAGAGAAGGAGTGAAGAGAGAGAGAGAGAGAGAGAGAGAGAGAGAGAGAGAGAGAGAGAAATAGAGCTCTAGATAAATCCATACCTGATCAGCAAAAATTGGGATCGAAATGGTGGGCACCCCGGCGTATGAGGCTTCCAAGTACGAGTTGAGGCCCATGTGCGAGATGAAAGCTACGGTACGAGGGTGATCTATAAAGGGGCGGGTGCAAGGAGGAAGGTCTTGTAGTCTCTCTCTCTCTCACGCTCCCTCACCTAGCATATCATTTTGGGGCAACCATTTGACCGGATAAACATTTGTAACGTTCTGGAATAACCATTCCATCTCATCGGCCGACCCGTCGAATTTCCAGATGAAATTGTATTCCGGAAATTCGGCAAAGGCCCGAACCAGTCCAATCTTGATTTCACGTGGAATTCGGGTGGTTAGAATCTAAAAAAAAATAACAATATGCCCAGAACAAATCGAAACATTGCTTAAAAAGTGTTCTGAAAAGTGTAGATCACCCACCTGCGTGCCGAACGAAAAAATGACATTTCCGGTGCGGGCCTTCCCCAGGAGGGCCTCCATTTCAGGGTCCAACTTCTGCGGCTCTCTCCTATTTATGCCGCCAATGTATTTGACTTTGTGGCTGATCGGGCGGCCCTGTTCGAGCAGTTCATTCGAATTCACGAACGTCACGGCCATGTCCCTAAAATATTGGTCTCAAAATGGGGGGGGAATGAGGGAGACAGATCGCGTGAGAGGGAGAGAGTGAGAGAAGGAGAGAGAGTGAGAGAGTGAGAGCGAGAGATAGAGAGAGAAATACAAACAGACCTGGCCAAATCGGCTGTACTCGGAAAAGACGCTCCATAGTGTTTTCTCACGACGGCGTCCTGGAACAGAATTTTGGTTTTAAAGGGACCGTGAAGGGAAGAATCTATTGAATCCCATCCGGAACTTACCGTTCTTCTAATAAAGCGCTGATGCTCGATGAGCTCGTATTTCAAGGCGAACAGCACATTTTCAGTCCTTTCCACGAAATTTAGGTTCAGGGAAGTGGAGACGGATTGGAGAATGTCTGAAAAATAGAAATGAGAGAGAGGGAGAGAGAGAGACCTACCAGTCACGTAGCTAGGGAGGCTTGGAAGTCCGATGGCGTAGCTTTGAAGCGGAAATAGCGGTGTTGGGCTGTACGAGGCGACATTTTTGATACCTAAATTTCTGGATTAAATTTCGCTCTCGCCCTCGCTCTCTCGCTCTCTCTCTCTCGCTCTCTCTCTCGCTCTCTCTCGCCCCTCACTAACCATTATGGTGAAACATGGCCAGCGGACAATAATCGTAGGCTGACATTAGTGCGAGATCGTACGTATTGTCGCGTAGCATCTCGGAAAGGCGGACGTCGCTTAGGAATACTGAAAATAAACGCCCTGAATTTTTGCAATGTTTTTTGGTGGATATCTAAAAGAATTGAGCGTAAAAACCATCTAAAATCTAATTAAAATACAGCCAAATAAAAAATCTGCCTATTATCCAAAACCCACAGTCACACATCTCAATCGTCACATCCTCAAACAAATCCATCAATCTCGGCTCGAGAAATCCGGGTCTTTTGTCGACGAATGGGTCCTGGAAGGTGAGATTTTCTGGGGTTCAGCAGCTCGGCTTACCGTAAGATGCGTGGACGCCACCCAGGGGCTGTTCTCCTCGAATCCTACAGTAATCTGACGGCGAGCCGAAGAGGTGCCGTACGTCTTCGCGTTGGTGTTCATCCGCCCGACGATCATGTCCTAAAAGAATTAATTAATAACTTAGTTAAAGGGTTCTGGAAGGTCCATGTCAATTAGCAGAAATCGGTCCTGCTCACCCTTACAGAAACGCGCTTTCTTTTCCCTTTTTCATAGCGTAAGCGGTTGTCTTTTGGTCACTAAATGTTTTTTATAGGGTAATGGGTTGACAAAATCGATCCCTTGCCTTGTTAGCCCCTTTAAAAGCCCTCACCACGTTATGTCCACGCCTTGTCAGCGATTCGACGAGCGAATTAGCAAAGTCGAGATGGCTGGGACCAACCACCTGCGAATACAGTACGATATTCAGCGCATTGGCAAAACATAGTAACGTCGATAGGAAAAGTACCGTACTCCTCATTTGGCTCTAAAAATGGTAATTTACGGCATAGAGCGAGAGAGAGGGGAGAGAGAAAGAGAGAGATAGAGGGAGAGAGCGAGAGAGAGAGAGAGGAGGAGAGAGGGGAGAGAGAAGGAGGTAGAAAGAGAGATAAATGGAGAGAGAGAGACAGGGAGAGAGAGACAGGGAGAGGAAGAGAGCGATAGAAAGGGCAACACAGCGAGCGAGAGAGAGAGTGTGAGCGAGCGGGTGAGCGAGAGATAACATGAGAGAGAGGGAGTTACAGTGTGAAGTGGGGCAAGACCGTAGCTATGTATTTTTTTTCAAGCCTTCACAATGCCTTTAAGACACAGGAATTTTTAAAAAACGGAAGATGTGACCACCCGTACAATCGAAAAGACTAGGGGTCGTAGCAGGATGTTTGGTGGCATATCTGTTCCGTCTAGCCCCCCCCGGGGGGTCAGTGTTTTTCGGGTCGGTATTAAATACTATGAAAGAAAGCCGAAACGGGAGGCGGCTTCTGAGCTGATAACGAGAAGGGGGAAGGGACATCAAACCTCAGGTTTTGAGGGTCCTCTGATGTATCGTAGTATGTGGTTCGTACCTTTGAGGTATCAATGGTATTAATGGACGAAAGAACGATAAATTTGTAGGGTTTTAATCGTAAGTATAAACCTAAGCCTAAGCCTAAGCCTAAGCCTAACCTAAGCGTAATCTTAATCCTAATTCTAAGCCTAAACCTAAGCCTAAGCCTAAACCACGCGTTGCGTATCCCGGCGCGCGCAGAACTTATTGTTAGGGTATCCGAAATAGACCCAAAAACCAAGCAAAATGCCTGATTTCCGCCCTAAAATTTGCATAATTACCTAAAAATCAATCTCCATGCTCTCCCGCTTCCTGATGTACCGTAAAATCCCGTCATTCCGTGAATGATGCACCCCTTCTGGTTGTTGTCCGTCTTGGCGGCGGTGACGTCGGGATTGGGGAATGACTCGGAAATGTGGGCCTTCTCCCCTCGTTTTGATAACGTTTAGACTGGGCCCCAACGATTTCGTGGAGACGCACCCGGATTGTGCGATCAAGATCGACCGCTGGGAGAGGTCGGAGTCTAGCGGACTTTTTTTTGATCCGGCCATTTCCAGTAGCGTTGAATTGATTGGGAATGGTACCGTGGTCGGCCTCGTCGCGCCACTCATCGATATATGGCTCGGATGCGCATATAAGGCCCAAGGTTGGGATCTGTGGCTTTTAAAGGGATTGACAAGGCATGGCTATGGGTTGATTGGCTGACTTGTTTCTATAGCCTTCTCTCTCTCTCTCTCTCTCTCTCTCTCTCTCTCTCTCTCTCTCTCTGTTATTTTCTGTTATTGGTTTCGTGTCGAAAAGCCAAATTTTTTAGGTCCTGAAAATCTCAACTTTTCTAATTTTGGCATTGTTCTGATAGCAGGGGGCTAGGCATTGTTCTGATATTGCTGATACAAAACCAGAAATCTGTTTAAGATGCTAAAAATGGTTTGGTGCCTTCCTTTTATCGGCGGGAGGTGAAATTAATTTTTATAGTTTCCTAAAAATTTGTAATAACGTAATAATAAGCATCTTAAGTGTCTTAACAGTGTTTTTTGGAAAAATTAATTAAATCTAAAGTGGAAAAATGTTTTTTAAAACTTCAAAAATTGCAGAATTTTCCAGTTTTGGTCAAAACAATGATATTTTTGTATTTTTAGCAAAAATTTGTAAGTTTTTTGGGTTTAGGAATAGCAAAAAAACGTTTATAAACACTATTTATATTGGAAAAAAACTAGAATTAAGGAAATTGGTTTCCCCTGTTTTTTTTTGCAGATTGCTCAGTGGCGTTCTGCCGCTATAAGGGCCTGTGCCGAGTGATGAATGCATATTCACCCGCCGAAATGGTAGACCATCCGGATTGGCATACTGTAACCGGGGCATCATTTAGTATGAGTGCGTGTGCGATCCGTGGTATTACGGGCTGAGATGCGAGCATGGTAAGCAATAGCTGGGGTAGCCGAATCTTAGACGCATTTTTGGTAAACTTTTGCTATAGAAAAGTAGCATTAAAATGCCAAAAGGTTTGGCATGCTTGATAAAATTGACATTTTGGAGCTCGTGCATTACCGGGGGGGCTAAGTAACCCTTTTCTCATGTCTTTTCAGAATACACAATGACGGCGTGGGCGAGTGTAACCGGTTGGGCGTGCACGCTGCTCACCGTGGCCGCCGTCGCCGGCAACGTGTTGCTGAACCGGCGACAGAGAAAAGCCGCCAAGGCCAAGGCCGCCGCGAGGAGCGAGGACTCGGCTCCGGCCCCCGCCGCTCCAGAAGCCCCTGCTGTACCCGGGGCTCCGGAGCCCAGTGCCCCAGCGACTCCGGAAGCTGCTGCTCCATCGTCGCCGGAGGCTGCTGCCCCTCCTGCTGCTCCTGCTACTCCTGCTGCTCCAGCTACTCCGGCGCCTCCAGCTACTCCTGCCACTCCTGCTCCTCCAGCTGCTCCAACTGCCCAGGACGCACCCCCGGTCCCTGATCATCGACCGCCTGTTCCTGCGCATGGTGGGAAGCTCGCTAAATGATAAGCCAAGCCCGCAGTAGTCTAAGCCAGCCATCCTGGAAACAAGCCTAAGTCTAAACCTAAGTCTAAACCTAATAAGCCTAAGCCTACGCCTAAGCCCAAGCCTAAGCCTAAGCCCAAGCCTAAGCCTAAGCCTAAGCCCAAAGCTAAGCCTAAGCTTAAGCCTAAGCCTAAGCCTAAGCCCAAGCCTAACCTAAGCCAAGCCACCTTACAAGCCTAATTTTTTAATGCTTTTTCGAAGCACTTTCAATTCCAGGTAGCCCGGCACTGCGCCAACCATCCAAGTCGGCTCCGAAATAAAATCACATGTTTGCCCTCCCTCAATACTGTTGCTCCCCTCCATATTTCTTGTGCGTGTCTCTCTCAGCATAAATACTTTATTCTACGAGATATACGAATTTTTCTAACGACAAACTACACCAAGGATACGGCAGAAAATTCGACGGTAAAATACTTCAAAAAAACATTCAAAATGCGCAATGAGACCCGTGGCTGAGAATTCGGAGCAAAATGTCGGGAAGCGGGGGAAAGGGCATGGGTTAATGGGCAGCGAATCAGGGAGTATACGGTGGGGTACGGTAGCGTAACGTAACGTACGGTACCGTACGCCGCGTATTAGAATTCGAAATCTGGATTTGATCTGGATTTGCATAATTTTAGCTACGGATTTACTCATTTATAAGTTGCGGGTGTCAGCCAGCATCGTATACGGTAGCTTACCGTAGCCTTATGGAAGCTTGGTATTTCTTGTAAAATTTGCATTTTACAGCATTTTAAAAGAAGATTTAAAAACTACGAAATTGCACAATTTTGCGAAAACTAACCGAAATCGCGTCATTTACCGTACCGTACTTTTTTACCGTATCGAATACCGTACCCCTGCGAATTTCGCGCCCGTTTGGCCCGAAAAACGTTGAAAAAGACACATATGGCAACTCGGACACGCAACAAGGCATGGGAATAAAATCACTAAAATGAACAAATGCAATCGAAAAAAAACAAAAAATGAAAACGAAAAAGGCCGGGAAACTGATCAATATGCGCTAAATATCAATAAAAAAGTTAAATTATACTGCTACAAAATAGAAAATATAAATACGCAACAAGGGCCGTTAAGACTCTCAAAATCAGGCCTCGCTCGGCCGATGCAATCGCGGGATTTCGCGCTTCGGCCGCCTTGGTAACGACTTCTTGAGCATCGGATCCGAGGGGAACACCGCGTAGCCCTGCTGAAAACGGGGGAAATGTCAAAATGCCGACAAGGAAAACAACGACAGCGGAAATACCGACGGACAAAAAACCAAAATCCCCGGGGTGCGTAAAATTAGCTTGTGACGCTTCGGGATTTTGGGTTGTCGGGATTTTAGTTGTCGGGATTTTGAACGTGGAAATTACGATACCTTCTTCGCTTTCCTGACATTGCCACTGGGGCTCGGTGGAGGTCGGTCGGTGAGTGATAGGGCTGCCCTCTGGGTTTTGGGTGAAAGGGTTGGGATTCGCGAAGCTGGCTTGGGGGATGATGAAGCTGTCCCGTTTGAGCCTTCAATGTCTGAAAATGGAATGACGTGAAAAGGGCACCATAAAAATGTGGAAATTCGCTAAATTCTCTCTCTCCTCCTCTCACTCCACTCTCTATGTCTCGCTCTCTCTATCGTCTCACTCTCTCGTTCTCTTGTTCTCTCACCCTATCTCACTCTCTCTCACTGTATCTCTCCCTCTCCCTCTCTCTCCCATTCCACCTACCACTAACTATCCGCTGCACCCTCCCATTATTCGTCGGCACCTCAGCGGGTGATGCTCTTTCCTCATCACTGCTGTTCTCCGACAGCACCCCTCCCGATTCTTCCGGACTGTCCAGCCCCGAATCAACGGATTTCCCGGATCTCGGCGAATCCTGTTGGAGGGCATCTTCTACGGCTTGTAGTGGCTGGGGAATCGTGCTCAATTCTTGGACTACCGGCTCCTCTTCATCTTCCGTCTCCTAAATTGTAATTCTGACGATACGTATCGGAAAAGAGCACTGGGAGCAAGAACTAATAACGTGAATTTGTCGAAATTCTGATTTTTTTAAGTTATTGATCGAATCGATCTATTGCTATTTTCGAAAAAAAAAGACGATTTTCGGCAAAAAAATTATCGAAAATAGGCATAAAAGCTGACCTCCTTGCCCTCCACATCCGGCTCCTCCCTAATAGGGGTTAAATGAGGAACATGTCTCTTGATCCGAATGCGCTCCTTGGCCACGTCGACCATCTTCCGGAGATCGGTGATGAACTGCTCGGCCATCGGCGGCGGGTTCGCGAGCAGGGTCGGGTCGAAGAATTCTGGAATTGACGTGAACTGATCAGGAAAAGCCGGAACAACATTTGTTTTCAGAATATGAAAATTTATAATGTCGAAATATCACCCTTTGCCTTTAAATACCTCGAAAAATGTCGACTTTATGAATTTCGGCATTTTGAAAATAAGCGAAGCCGACTGACCATTAGAGAAGTACAGCTTCCGCTTCTGCGCCGGTACCGCTTGCATGATTTGGCCCGGGGAGGAGGGGCAGAATTCTGAAAATAAATTTGCATATTAAAATTGCTCCTTTGAGCCTGTTTTCAAAGTATTTGGAGTTTTTACATTATCGGGGGGGGGTACTATCTCTAAACGTAAAAACTACAATTTTTCTGTTCAAAAAGCATAAAGTAAAGATTTTTCCACCAAAATTTTTGAATTTTTGAAAAATGTTTGGTGGAAAGTTTTTCCATTTTAAAAAAGTACTGAAAACCTTTTTTGAACCCACGCTCCCTGTAGAATTTGTACCCACCTGACTGGCTCATCGTCGGGCCGCCTGTTGCCCCATAGGGCATCTGGTTGTGCTGCTGAGCCATCGCTGCCTAAAACCGGGACTTGTTGTTGTCGCTTGGCGCTTAGATTGCCGCCTAATCCTAAGCCTAAGCCTAAGCCTAAGCCTCACCCTAAGCCCAAGCCCAAGCCTCGCTTAAGTCTCAGCTTCCACCAGCTGAAGCCCACACCTATGCGAAGCCTACGCAAATAAGCTACCCACCTTGATGGCCTCCTCTTGCTGCTTTCGGAAATGGGCGACGAATTGCATCTGGATCTCCTGGACGAGCTTGTCCTTTTTCAACCGCCAGCACACGTTCCACACCACCACCGAGCCGATTAGGCTGAAAAATTTTGAATAACAGGACTTTTAAAGGTATGGCGATGCAAAAAAATTGTGTTTTTGCACTGGAAAACATCTCACATGAGAACGATGAGTACGCAGAGGACGATGATGATGGTTAGATGGGAGCGAGAACCTGAGCCGGCTACCACCGCACGGGCTGACGGCATTTCTAAAAGTTGCTCATGCACTAATGGTAGATTAGAGGTGATGAGAAATGTGATCCATCCCCTCCCGGGATGAGTGAGAGCGAGGTAGAGAGAGAGAGAGAGAGAGAGAGAGAGAGAGAGAGAGAGAGAGAGAGGGAGAGAGAGTGAGTGAGACGAGATAGAGAGGGGAAAGCGAGCGAGAGGCAGAGAGTCAGAGAGCGATAGAGAGAGAGCGAGAGAGAGAGCGAGAGAGATAGAGAGGGAGAGAGACCAGACATCCATGGACTAAGAAGTCATTTAAGCGTTACGGCATGTAATTCAAGCTGAATTTTGACGTCCTAGCCCCTTTAAACCCGACTCACCACTCTTGCCGGCCAATCGAAACGCGACGCACGTCTGCTCGAATGCCTCGCCCGGGCAATCCAATTGAAGCTGAATGGCTGACCCTTCAAGCAGAAGCGCATCATCCCCGCTTCCAAGCCACTAAAAAGAGCGTTAGTTGTTGAGGCATTAATGATACTCTTGAAGCTCGGCCCAATTTTCATGAATTGACGCTTAAGTTAAGCTTAACCCACCTTAACATGCGTCGATTCGTGGCCCGGCTCCACCTGGAACAGCCCCTCCGATATTTGGCGCCACGCGTGCTCGACGTTGTCGCTGAACGCCGCCCTCACCACGCAACGGTTCAGCCGATTCAGGCCGGCTTCTAAACAATCATTTCGAGATTTTACATGGCAAATGGTCTCTGCTAGCTCGCCCGATTTTTGTGCTTTTGGAGTTGCTCTAGGGGGCATATAAAAATTCTTTGTACGTCTTAAAAAATTCCATAAAGGTCTCTGCTAGCTTGCCCTCCGTTTTTTTTGAGGATGTAAAATTACTATTCCTTTCAAAGTTGAAATGACGAAAAGCGATTGTTCAAAAATTCCCCGAAAATCTCTGCTAGCCTGCCCCGAATTTTTCGTATTGTTAGGGGTGCACTCCATGGCTTGGCACTTCGCTTTTAATCCCTCAAAACTGATGTGATTATCGAATAACCCCGACAGGCATGAGGTTCGTACGACAAAAATGCCGACAAGCAAAATACCGACAAGCCAAAATTCGACAAGCAAGTCCGCGGTAAACCAGAATTCCCTTTTTGGTCATAAACCGTTCTTTTTGCATGTCGGTATTTCGGTGTTTTTGTCGGTATTTTAGCTTATCAACATTTTTAACGTCGCTATTCTAAGGGTTCAGCCCCGAAATGGTTTAAATCACCCACCCTTCCACAGCAGCGCCCGCTGCGCGTTCAAAATTCCGCCGGTGGCCGGTAGACGGATGGTCGGCGGGAATACCCTACGCTCGGCTCCTCTGGACGGTGTTGTCGTCACATTTGGGGGTGTTGTCGAAGAGTCGGCATTCAGGAGAAGGATGGTGGGTGGGGTGGCAAAGTGGATCGGATGGGGGCATTCCGCTGAAAAGGGCTTCCAGTTACGTTAGGAAAAAAATTCGGTTTGTTACCATAAAATCCCGAATTTTCTGAACGTCAAACTAGAGAATTCGGTATATTCGTCAGGATTTAAAGGTATAATCAATCGACCCCTTTGTCTGCTAGATCTCGACAACTACGGTAACTCGCCAAATGGCAAGTATAAGCCTTTACGTACTTTAACGTCAAATTCGTCAATTGTCGACACCTAGTCAAAAGGAAACGTCGATTCCCGCACTTCCTAGTCCATTTAATGAGCCGATAGTTAACCCCAAGGCTCCCCCTCCCTTTCTCTGATCAGATCATGCAGCGATGGTCGGGCGCCTTGGTCCGAAATGAGAGCAAGGTCATCCTCCCCCCCCCCCCTGCCTCCACATTTTGGCCTCTTGCCCAGATCCGCGCCTAGCCATTCCACAATACAACTGTCAACGCGAGACGGGGGGGGGGTGACTAATCGGCCGAAAAATCGAATGGGAGAGGGGAGAGAGAGAGAGAGAGAGAGAGAGAGAGAGGGAGAGGGAGGAGGGAGGAGAAAGAGAGAGAAGAGGAGCAACAGGTAGCTACAGAACTGGACATGCCTAAGCCTAAGCCGAATAAGCCCAAGAAAAAGTCGAAGCTTCAAACCCACCAAAAGCCGACACACAGCCCCCATCGGTGTTCAAGAAAATTGGCGAAGTAGCCGGGCATATGCAAGCGCACTTTGCCGTTGCGGACGAGTGGGCTGGCAGGGCCCCGAAACGCTCCTAAATACGGTGAATTAGAGAAGGTTTTAGAGAAGCCTCTACAAAAAATAGTCTAAATTTCCTACCAATATTGAGGTTAAACAAGATTAAGGAAATTACTTTTCCCATTGAGAAAATCCTTCCCCCCCACCGCTAACGAACCAGCGCCTCTATACTCAACTTACATTGCATTTGGAAGGGCATAATGCCGGGTACAGCTCATCTGGCACCCCGGGGGCCCTCTCAACGGCCACCAGGGCGGGCGAGAGAGGATGTGAGAGAGTGGAGCGGGGCAAAGATAGCAACAGTAGGGCCCCACATAGGGCCCCAATATGGATAGTGGACCGGCTTTCACCCATTCGGCAGCATTTCTGCAAAAAAAAACAGCTTAACGCTATTGGTGTTACAGAGGAGCGAGAGAGAGAGAGAGAGAGAGAGAGAGAGAGAGCGGGAGAGAGAGAGAGCGAGAGAGAGGGGGAGGAGAGCGGGAGAAATAATTTGAAATTCAACTATTTTAACGACCAACCGGTGAAAAGGCGTTGTGACACGATAAGTCCATTAAAAAAGGTTGGCAAGTTGCCACGAAAAGTTGGGATCTTTGGATCAACAAATTGTTGAAATATCTTGAAGGGGAGCTGGCGGATATTTCGACGCTACGGGGGAGAACCAGGAGAGAGAGAGAGAGAGAGAGAGAGAGACACACAGACAGATTGGAGCAGATAATAATACGACGCCGAAGAAGTCTTCCCCTCCACGGCGCCCCCAGCGAACGCGCGCGCCCGGGCTCGTGCTCCCCCCTTGGAACCGGTCGGTCTCTCTCTCTCTCTCTCTCTCATCACGCTCTCGCTGAAGCGCCGAATATAATCAATCAACACTCTTTTTTGAGTTTTGAGTTTTGATCAAATTTTTGAGACCGCGTCAACCGGCGCAATAGGCTCGATTTTTGAGTCCATTATGGTTCAACGGCGAGAAATTAGCATGGGTCCTACATTAAAGGGATGGTGCCTCCGGGAATGCGAGCGAAAATCCCCAGCCGCCCGGGGGAAGCACCTAATCAATCATAAGCGCAAGCTCATCCCGGGTTTCTAGTGGTCTCTCTCACTCGCGCTCTCTCTCTCTCTCTCTCTCTCTCTCTCTTGCCCCCACTTGCCAAAACCGTTACGGATCGAAAAAAGCCGCGGCTGGTGCGAAACGATCCGTTGCTAGGGTTTGGATCAAATGATTCGTGCACGGCAGGTTTAAAGAAGTTGGGAAGGAGCGAGAGAGGTAGACAGAGAGGCAGCGAGAGAAAGAGAGACAGGGAGAGAGTGGGAGAGTGGGAGAGAGAAAAACCCCCAAAATTAAACTGGAAGCTGACCCATCCACTCAAAATCCGAAAACGACAATAAGACTTACCTCCTACAAACCACGCCAAATGACAATATTTTCCAGACGATTCCTAACGAAAAATGAGGTTTTTCCGTTGTTGGCGATTATCCGGGGCGCCTATTTTTGAGAAGAACACATGCCGACAAATAGCTACGCAAATGGGGGGTGGATGGGGGCGGATGGGGGGATTATCACTACGGATTGACGGGGCGCAACTCAACGAGACGACACACATCGGCTTCATTTTCATGATGGACGCTCCGACATCAGCCACGTTTTCTTGCCAAAAATAAGCAAACCATACTGTATCCTTGACAGCACGAAAATACAAAAGCTCTGGCAGACTCAAAACGTGGCAAATGAGAGAATATGGCAAAAAAACAGCCTTCTTTTTATATTTTTAGCTGAAACCAGCGCTTAAAAATTATTTTTCTAACGATAAACATGATTACTGTAGTTATTACAATAGGAAAATCGTATTTTCTTGTCCAATCAAACATGGATTTTCAGAATGGCAGGGAAGACAGCACAGATTGGCTTGTTGGAGAAGACGATTCGACGAGGAAAACAATCAGTTTATGCAAATTGGACAAATTTGAATACTGGAAGGTTAAGTCATGCGTTTTCAAATTTGTGTGATTTTATATCGTACAGATCGTGAAAATTGCGTTGATCAAGATTTAGCATTGAAATTGCAATATTTACAAGGTCAAAGAGGAAAGAGAGAGAAAGCGAAAGAGAAAAAGAGAGAGAGAGCGCGAGAGAGTGAGAGAGTGAGCATGAGTGAGAAGATATAGAAAGATACCGTTATGAGATCAATGAAATCAATGTGATATTCGGGGATTTGTGGCTCGGAGAAGATGCCGAAATGGGGGCACAATATCCATCGCACACCTCGCCCTCCCCACGATATCAGCCAGCCGGTCCCGCCGATCTAAACAGTGGACAGTCGGAAGGGCGAGAGAGGGAGCGAGAGAGAGAGAGAGAGAGAGAGAGAGAGAGAGAGAGGCCTGAGAGAGGGCAAAGACGCAGACAAAGACGCTATGTCTTTCAAGGACACCGGATGGGGGGTGCTGCTGCTCATTTCGAAAAGGGTACCACGATTCACACCAGGTGCCATCGCAAAAAAAACCCTCCAAAATCGCCCGAAAGGCCACCTGGCAAGCTAGCAAAGATCCTTGAGGAGTCGGACCCGAATGCTTGTTTGGTAGTTTCTTTCCTACGAAATTTTAAAGTGTGGTCCTATCATCAATTTCGGCTTGACATTTTGATTTCTGTGTAATTTTTTTGGTCTCCTCACTAATATTTATCAAGGTTACGCCTCGATCCAAGGTACGCTCGATCCGTCATTAGTAGCGACGCGGAGCTGCTGAAACTTTTCATTTAAACTATTTTGCACTCGAGCTACCGTATTGCGGTTGATTATTATTTTGCGGGCCCGTCCATTGGCTGACAACGGAACCGGGGCCGAGCGGCTCGATGTAATACGTGTACCGTATCCGCACCGGGCGCAGGATCTTACGGTAGACTGTTACCTGAAAGTGGCCTAGTTGTTGGATTCCATAAATTTTTCGATGGCAGCCTAGCAGAGAAATTTTAGGAAACGGTAACGTCTATCCAGTAATGCGGAAAACGACTTTCCATTTCCTACCTTTTCACCCTGGCAGGCTAGCAGTGAGCATTTAGGATCGACTAGCCAGCTCATTAATGCGCCGATAGCCGCTTGTTCTGCACCTTTAGTTGTGATCTTAGACCCTGGCAGGCTAGCAGAGATCATTTTGGAACCAAAACAGCCTTTCAGTAGTGCACAAACTTATGTTTTCAGCCTGAAGCGCAATTTTGCCAGTGGCAAACTAGCGAAGGCTCTTCAGGAGGCAATAGCTCTTTTTACCAAGCGAAAATCGTCATAAACAGGAAATCTGGCCCAGGGCAACCTTGCAGAGACCGTTTGGAGGGACCGCACTTTTCATTACTGCCGAAAATACCGTCTTTTCGCTTCGGGCAAGCCAGCAGAGCGCTTTTAGAAGTCAGGTTCCTCCCATTAATGTCACCTGTCGTCCATTCATCGGTCCGTGGTAGGGGACCATCGGAATTGAGGGAGGGATCGGGGTTCCGGCGGGCAGCAGCCGTGACGATATTACCCGGCTTTGACCCGTCAAAACGTACAGTGGGCTTTGATTTGTTGCTAAAACTCGTCTAAGGTATAGTTTTATATAGTATACGATATAAAGTCGCAAAAAAGCTGAAGTTTGACAGCATACTCTAATTTTTCGGCGGGCACGATAGGTATTTCAAATTAAGGCAAAATTTTTGCTTAAAATAACAATCATATTAGCAAGTCTTCCGCGCCAGAATCGCTAAAAACTCAAAGAACTCACCAGGCTGTTGATTATAATAGGAAGCACCCGTAAGATACGCATCAATCACCGCAAGCCACACTAATAGAAACAATACAGTCTTCATGGCCTCCTTCAAGTCCACCGTCAGTACTTTTCAAACGTATTTCTACTGTCTAAATAACATCCCCGACCCTTGGGCGTGGTTTAGTGCATTTTTAGGCCCTCCGTCCGTTTTTTTATGTTACGCGACGCTCCGCTGATGACGGATTGGCGGGCTGTGGAAAATTTGGAGATTGGCGAATAAGCGCTTTTTTAAGGTGCGGGCTAATCGGCAGAAGGTCATTTCTGTACGGCAATTGTACTCTTGGCAGCTACGTCAGAGGCCTATTGACGAGGCTGGAACCAGTTGCAAAAATTCCGTTATCATACGTTATGGCGTTGCGTCGCGTACCGGTTGCGTTAATTCCTCTGGTAAAACTTTGTTTTTATTTCACGTTTTCACACCGAGTAGAGAAATTTTTTCATAAAAAGCCGTAAAATATTGAAGATCAATGGCGAGGAGAATCACAATCCACGAGAAGTTTGCAGGTGTAGACTGGAGCATAGCGTCCATTCTTCAAGCGTCGACCTCGTAGCGCAGCTTCTCGAGCTCCGTGGCCGCCTCTCTCGCCCCCGGGTCCGTACACCGGTCCGTCCAACAACAACAGTACGCTGCCGAGAGGCCCTTGACGTCAGCTACGCGGCAGTCCTTTCGACAGTCCGCCTGCATGCTCACCTAAAAAAACACCTTAGGTTGCCTAGGCTAACCTAAGCCTAACCTAAGCCTAACCTAAGCCTCAGCCTAAGCCTAAGCCTAAGCTTAAGCCTATCCCTCCGACGTACCGTTTGCTGCGTCCAGCACTCGTACAGCTCCTCCCCGTCGACTGTCGCGTGGAAGCACCCGGGCACCCATTCATCATAGTTCAGGCTGGCTTGTCGTCGACATTGCGTGTGGATTGGCTAGAGAAATATGCATTAATGTGAGGACACTACAAGAGACCCCTTGCTGTCGCTGCCCCTTTAATGTTTGATTTTCTTTGTCGACCCACCTTCTTCAGTTTGACCGTCCGCCCGTTCTCTTCGATCGTATTCACAAGGCATGTGATCGATTCTGCTAGTTTCCCCGAGGCTCTAAAGCATTTTTATGAAATTTAGGGAGGGTAAACCCAAATTTTCGACAGTTAATATTTACCTACTTATTAAAACACATTTAAAAGTTTAAAGATTCGCTTCACCTACGTCAGAAATGGCTGGAGCGACTTCCGCGCCGAAGTATGCCGAGCCATCCGACGTCCACTGGATTGTCCGTAGCTCAGAGACCCTGAAGTCACACCCAACAAGCCCAACAACAGCAACGTCGCCAACAAGTTATGGGCCGCCATTTTTACCTGAAAGCAATACAGGAAATAACGATTACGGTAGGAAATCATACACCAAATGGTCATCTTGCAACACAAAAATTTCGGGGATCGACGAATCAAAATCCGCGACCACTTCCCCGAGATGGAGAAGGTCATCTTGACCCGACTGACCGATCCACTGTCTCGCGTTGCCTTACTTGCAAAAAATAGCCCCTTTGGAATGTTGGTGACGCGCCAATTTTGGTCTGAGGATTGGTCACAACCCTTGCCCCTTCTCTGCTTCCATCAGACATCATCAATCTCAACCCCACCAGCCGGGGCTAGGCGCGCGAACGGAAACCACCGACATTCAGCTGGCCGTGAAACAAGTAAACAACGAGAGAGCCGCTCGCGCGGAAGTGATAACCGGAAAGACATATCTAATCGGAATAATCTAGAGGTAACCCAGACAAGTACGCCTCTAAACTACCCGGATCCTGATCACCGGCAACATTATCAGGCCGACAACAAGATCGCGTCAAGCCCCCGGGTCTGAATGAATAAGTTGGACAATTATCCCACGGATCTGCCAATTGTCGCCCGGGTCTATGCACCACAACGGATTACGCGTCATTGGAAAATTGTCGAAAGGCGCCTAAACCAGCCATCAAGCCTAAAAAAAGGCGGTTCTGCCTTGTTAGCCGAACGCGAAACGCTACGGAAAAAATTTCAATTGGCGCTGTAAGTGCTAATAAATGAATGGGATAAGATCATTTTGCCGAAGCCAAACAATCTTAAAAATCGCAAAATATTTTAGCTTTTTTTGGTCAAAAATGCGCCGCGTCAAAATAAAAAACCCATATTTTTGAATGTTCTGAAAGTTTGTTTAAGGCTCTAATCACTCAGAACCCCCTAAAACCATATAAAACACATTCTCTTTCATTATTAGGACCCCGTAGACGAAGAATCAAAACTTGCTTTGCCCCCCCGCTAAGGTAGAAGCACCCTGAAAAGCCCAACCCTAAGCTGATTATGAGTTCTTGTCGAAACTCCTAACACCCACAAAACCCCAACCCGTACCAAGATGCGCCCATCTCCCATTGTTTCCCCACACAACGCAACAGCGGCCCCAATACCAAACCAAAACCACAAATTCGTCCTGCCACCACCTCGGCTTTTATATAACCTGAACCCGGGGATTTGCGCGCATAAAGTAAAGTGCCATCGGATTAGGCCGTTGCGACTGGATAATCCCGGCGGATCCGCTCGCTATTTTCGACCCGCGCATAGTTAGGAACGCCCCTGGGTTCTGATACCAAAAGACGACGACGCTACCACTTCCAGGATTTCCTCGGTAAAATACACAAGAGATTCCATTCCGCAACTTGGATCAAACGGCTACAAGCCGAAAATGACGATGGGATTCGGGATGATGAAGCCCTCCTTGAATTTGAGGATATGAATCTCGAAACTTTAAAACAGCTAGAAATATTAAATACGATAAAAGGGCGCGTTTCCAAATTTCCGCCGAATTTTTCGCTTGAAGCTAGCTGCCCTGAGCGCCAAAAAATTTTGAGAAGTTATCAATGTTAGAAATATCAATCCCTAAGTCGTCCAAAACAGGTGTGAAGACGCGCCAGCCTGCGAAAGACTCCGCCGACACAGCATCGAGTGATAAGCAGAACAGAAAAGTTATATCGCAATCCGCTACCGTACCCACCCCCCAAAGAGTGGCGCCTACCCAGCGGATTGACGATCCGTTCCCCTCAATCCACAACCCAGCCCCGCCCTTCCGCACTCAACTTTTTATGCAATGCCACTAGCCAGCCCAGGACATGGTTAGGGCCGCCGGTCAGCCTGAAATCCCAAAAATGACCGCCCCGCAACGCACAGCCCAAATAGCCGCAACAAATTCGGCTCAAGGCCACCCGGGCTCCCGGCGTCCAGGTGGTCCTCTTCCACACAAAAAACTGGCCACTGACGTGAAAGTGGCAACATCAAATGTTGCCAGGTGAAATTAGGGGATGTTGCGTTGGCGGGGTTGGCGCTGAAGCAAGGAAACCATTTCCGGGTAGAAAAGTGAAGGTGAACTTTAGTGTCATTTTTGTTTTTAGGGTATAACTTCAGGCGCTTGGATGCTGCACCTACCGCCAGGAAAGCATCTGCAACATCTACTAGTGAAGGCGAACAAAACCCTCGATAAGAGAAAAAAAAGATGCGTTTCATCAACAAAATCGCATTGCACGCTATGAAATAAAAGCAACTGCATAAATTAGTTTCATTCATAGACGCCAAATTTTATTTTAGTTTAAAAAATTTTAATAAAAAAAGAAAATAAAATAAACCCTGTGGATTCCGTCAAAATACTTTGAACGTTGGGCGTCACCACGCGTATCGTGTGTCCTATCGGATTTTGCAACTAAAATTTCCACATTTTCAAATTTTCACTTTTTCCGAGTATCTTTCCATGATTTTCAAAAATACCTGCCAAATCCTTACAGCCATTCTGAATCAATGGATACTCCCAGCCATGCCTTCTTGCCCGCTTTCCGCCTATTCTGGGACCAAAGCCCTGGCCCCGACGAGCACGTTGAAGATTTCATCCCAGGTACCTTTCCCATTATTTGCACCAATTCCAATTTTAGACCATGACACCCCAATCCCGATCCACCGACTGCTTGAAACGATGGAGGTAACGAGGCGTGGACCGGTTTCGCCGCACCTGACTCCAAGTATGAACATTTTTGAAATGATTTGCATTTAATTCATTTAGATTCGATCGTCAGCTACGGCAGCGGATCGCGTCCGACCTCTTCGTTGAGCAACCATTCCGATGTGTGGAGGGAAAGGGCGCCAAAGCCGCTGGCTTCCCGTAGGGCCAACAACTTTCGGGTTCGCCGAAGATGCTGCCTTGCGGGGCCGCGCGGCCAGCAGCAAGAGTCGGGTAACAGTATATCTTGGGCATGTTTATGATTTTTAGGCGGCTCGTGAACTGCTCGGACGCGTGCTGGTCAGCACCCATGTCAACTGTGAGCGTCTGACTTCCAAAGAGTTCGCCAACTACATCGTCCATCATGTCATCTCCGTGCCATTCCTCGAATACGTTAGGCACAAAGTCATCGAAGGATGCCTTCTGTAAGAAATTTCAGAAAACTTTATTTAGGTAGAACATCCTCTCCTTCTCTCAAGAGAAATATGCTTCGCATGTGACCGAGAAGTGCCTCCAACATGCTCGCCGCCGTACCTGCTCATGATGGCTGAAGAGATCTTCGAGGGCTACCAACCGCACCCCGAGACGAACGAAAAATTCGGTTCTCATGCTCGCTCTGACTTTTTGATGCTACGATAAAGTTTTTGACTAGTCCAGCTGGGTCCTGAAAAAAACGTGGCTTTGACAAGCATATTATCGTGGGTTTCGCTAACGGAACATCTTTTCCAAAATACATTCTTGTAGATAGCAATGTTACAAATATGGGACTTCATAATGGCCATCCCGCCGGTCTCGCGCACGTACCTCGGCGCTGCCACGGCCCTGATGCTCATTACTGTATGGTTTACCGGTGACCAAGTCAACTTTTTTTAGAGATTGGGTCTCGTCAATCGTTTTCAATATTATCTGAACTGGCAACTTGTTTTTAAAGAATTTCAGGTAGGGCCGCTGAATTCTCCGAAATTTATCCGGTAATTTAGATTTGGCGAATCTTCACTGCATTTATCTATGCCGGCCCAGCAAGCTTTAATTTCGTATGGACGATGCTCTTTGCTTATAGGTATTTTTGGCGACACAGTAATTCTAGAACCTAGGTACCTCGTCGCGCTGGAGGAGGGTTCTTTTCGTGGACGCCGTGCCGCTTATGTGTTATTTTTCTTCTATAGCATGGTGTTCACAGTAAGCTCGCATATCACTTCTGACCTCTTTCAGACGTTTTTTGCCTTTTTGACGCCTTCTGCTTACCCAAGCGCCTCGTTCTTGATGTGTGTCGTTTATCTGTGGTGCCGTCGAAATCGAAGCCAACGGTATCTTATCTTCCAGTTTTCGGCGTAACCGTTTTAGAGTAAATTTTATGGGATGGATTGTTGTGACCGACTACCTGCCGTGGATCATGTTTGGTATGACGGTGATTCTTGGGAATTCCTACATGGCGGACGGCATTGGTTGGTTTTATCAATTGTTTCAAACAGGACGGTAGGGATTTTGTGCGGCCACACTTACTACTTCCTGGAGGACGTTTTTCCGCGGCAACCTGGCGGCTGGCGCATTTTGAAGACTCCACGATGGCTCAAGGTACGACCGCATTTTAGAAATTAAAAATATCTTATTTCCAGTGCATATTTGACGAACGCTACCCCGTTTCTGAGGACGAGCGCCGAGATGACATGGCCGTCGGAAGAGATTAGTCCTACTAATTGCATCTATAGTAGTAGCTAACCCATGTGTAGATAAAATACTTTTTCGCCAGATGAACTCGTATTAATAAATTTGCTTATGACAATGTTGCTGCCATTGAGCTTCAAATATTACGGCTAACAGCCCGTGGTCCTATCAGGGTCTTTCTCAAGCTATTTGTGCTCTTCCGCCTGATCTTATTGTTATCAGTGTGTGCTGCTGACCCGATTAATCATCTGCGATTTTGCCCTTTGGTTCGGCTTCTAGCATTTGGGGAAGACGGGCGATTACTCTGCACACCCCGGTTGCTCGTTGCCCTTCTCGGTGCCCGCCCCCCTCTCTTCTCCTCCAGCCGCGCGAGTCGATTCGCCTGACCAACACAGACCCAACAAATTGTTTTGTTCCCACGAGTCTCGCTTGCATTTGAAGGCACGCGTAAACATAGTCGCGCGAATAAGCTCAATCCGCCGTGCTTTGACTTCTAGTTGTTTTTCGAGATGTTTTGTTGCAATCTGTGACAACTCTTGCTTCTTCTCCATTTTCAGTTTGCTTCGGCCTCAGTCATTCATCATTTTTCCTTGCATTCCCTCTATTTATGATCAGCTATCCAATTTTCCGTTTTTCAGAAGCAATGGCCGACGCGGATTTGCCCCAGTCTAGCGCTCATGAAGACCATCCGTAAGTGATCTTGTTCACTATCCGTAAATCCGGTTTAGGGACGACGTAGATCCCACCGAGTTCCTGAAGCGCCAGCCAAAGAAAAGCATCCTCAAGGTTAATTTTCGAAACTATTACACTTATTACGGTCAACGCTAGCAGAAACCATTGTTTACGGCTATTTTGCCCATTTTGTGAAACGGGTTACTGGAGCCCCGGAAGCGCAGGATTAGGGGGTCTAAGGGCCCAAAAGAACTAATCTCCCGTTTCCTCGGGTCGTTTCCGGCCCTTCATTGCTTTTTTGGGGTCGCTGTAGAAAATTGAACGGCAGGACGTGTTTTTTAACGATTCATTTAGGCTAAGCAGCAGAGCTCGCTGGACAATAAAGACGGTCGAGCCCATTTCGACGAGATGAACATCATAGCCACGCATCATCCGGCCGACAAGGACTACGGGCACATGAAGGTGTGACTTTTACGAATTTTTGGTTGAGCTTTGCTGGGGAATTTCTAGCGGCGCCGTTTTCTTTTAAGGATTTATTGCTAGCGGTGTCCTTGCTTTTTCTTCCTAGGTGGGAAAAAGATTCATCCATATTCTACGATTTTCCCTCTCCTTGCGAGTGGATTGAGTTCCGGCCAATCGAGCGCTTGTTGGTGCCGGCAGCGCCCCCTAGAATTTTGCTCTTTCCCTCTCTACCGCCCCTTTCCGCATCTTACTCCCTGATTGCGCATTCACGAAGAGGGGGAGCTGCGGGGTTAGTTGAGAGCCATGTGGTCAGAAAAGTGGTGTCTTCTAACTTGCACCTGTTCTGGCAGCTGCTATTATCGATGAAACCCTCTGTTTGTAGATCGACGAGCCAAAGACGCCATACAACTATTCGGACGGGGACCAAAGCGGTGATGAGACTGCCTCGCAGCGTGGGCAACGCCGAGTTAGTTTGGTGAGTGATGTTGGTTTTGCTTTGAACGTCTTTTCAGGGAACCGCGGTCGACCCAGAGGAGCTCCTGGCCGGCCTCTCGAAGGAGAAACCTGTCGTAGCTGATGACACAAGCGACGAAGAGGCGCTTGATGAGGAGACACGAAGTAAGTTTAGCGGTTTTACTGGCGACCACGAAAATCTGAGAGAATAGGGCTTTTGCTCTCTGTCGCTCTATTCAGTTTTGATATTTTCTCCAAGGGGTCGTATTTTCGAAGTTGCCATTTTCACGGGAGATTTTGTGTTCTTAATTCATTTTTCTTCAGAACACAAGAAAGACTTCGAGCGCAAGCGGAAAATGCATTACAACGAAGGGGCAGCTTTGAAGGTTCGCATTTCCGTTTAAATTGCATCGGAGTTATCCAGATGCACGGTTCCGCCGACGCTGCAGAAGAGGACGATGATGGCGACACCCCGATGGGCAGCCACTAAAGCCCCCGGCAAATTTTGATAGCCATTCCCTTTGACCACTGTGACTGTTTTATTGTCTGTCTTTTCCCCGTGTATTACATGTAGAACAACCACTACATCATGGCCACTTTAGTTTGTAACACTGGATTGTATCTATGCCATAAATTTATCGCCGAAATCAACAGTGACCTATAATGCACCTAATTGTCCTAGCAGTCGAGCGCTTCACTCTCCTTTTCCTCGAGTTTCCGTACGTGTCGAATGGCGCTGGCTCGCCACCACATGTCCGGGTTTTCGGCCATCACCTGGGCGACTTTGCGGTCGAATTCGCTGTGCCCACGGAGTTCCTAAATTGGAAGGGATGGTGTTGTACGAATTCCTTTTCGAGCGCAAAAGCCAAGCCTAAAAACCAACCTTCTCCAATTCATTCTTGAAGTACCAATATGCCTGATCGCCCGTCTTGTCCAGACTCAACGCAAACAGCTGGAAGACGGCCGCCAGGGAACATCTAATTTTTCGTAAACGCAAGCTTTTATAAACATACCCCGACGCGATGCCCAGCCCGATCGCCTTTGTAACACCGATAATGCCGAGCGGGAAGGCGAACACACCGCCGACTGCAGCTGAAAATAAGCAAACGTTGACGGGACCGTGTCTACCTGCGTGTAAAGCCCCTGAAACAGCACCTGAGATAAGTGGCACGTAGGCCGACGAGAATTTGGCTCGATAGGCGGACAGGTGTGTGGTCAGCCCGCTGGAAAAGGACATTTCAAGGGAGATTTCCTATGATGGGTGGCGCAGATTATACAGCTATGGTACCTCCCTTTCCAGAAACTAAATGATAGCTAGATATAAGCTCTTTACCCTTATTCTATTGATTATACTATCTTAATCCTAACGCCTCCTTTTACTACAAGGTAACGAAAACCCTTACATCACTGGCCCGGTAATAAGTGCCGCCTTGACGCCCATCTTCGCGCCAGCGATGGCAAACCGCAGGATCCCGTAATCAATTCGTCTAACCTAAAATAAAGCCATTCACGAACCTTCAAAATAAACCAACTATCGCATCCCGCATCGACAGATACCGCGTTCCAACATGTGTCTGCTCGTACACCCGTTGCGCGTCCTTGTAGCTGGCCAAGCCGCCCATCAAAAATCCGGCGGCGAATGTCCCCGTGCAAATCTGAGCAAAAATGAAGTAACCAAGGCGAACACTTACCCGCTGTAAAATACTCAGCTCCATCGAGTTTTCCGTGGTGTAGAGGCTTTTCACGCGCGCCCACCCCGCCTCGAAGCCGGGCTGGAAATTATAATTACTACACTGATATCACCGAATTTGGCAGCATTTCCACAAACTAAGAAGTGCAAAAACCAACCTCCCGGGTCCAGGGCGGGTCGTATGGCGTGGCACCTTGCGGGGGCGGCGTCTTGGCCGGTTTAGCCTGAAACAGTAAATTATCACAGCAAAAAAAGAGTACTTTTATCGTTTCATGGATGCGCTCTTGCCGTGCCCTCCACAGCTTCTCCTTGTAGCCGGTCCACAATTTGCCGAGGGCCGACTGGCCGGTGGCGCCCGGCTCGACAGCGTCCGACGTTGAAGCCTTCGGGTCCCCATTGGACATACTGAATCAAAAACCTAGTCATTATTAATGTAATAATCAATTATTGTTTATCTAGCCTCAATAATGACCGTAGTACATCCATATGAACTCCAATCTGCTCAAAATTTGCACCGCTCAACGGAATCCATAACCTTACGTGAGGTACAAAAGCAACCAATAAACGATTTATCAACAGAGATCAATGTTAAAATTTGTAAGTCATAAATACCCGCTTGCAACGATAAAGCGAAGGACAAGTGTGGGGGAAACGGTCGGATTAAAACAAAGGAGAGAGAAGAAAAGCTTAGTCTATGGTTGTGTCCATCAAGGTGCGTGCTCCCTTCTGGGCCGATTGTTGCTGGCACAGAGGCAGTGATGGAACCTAAAAAACCACTTTACTGCTATCAAAAATCACCCACATTTTCAAAGATGCACGCAAACAAGGAGATTGCATCAACGACCGGCTCAAAGTAGTGCACATTGACGAGAGCCGGTGTGGCTGGAAGAAAAATGGTAAAAATCAAGGCGGAAGCTGTAATTTACAAAAAAAAACTACTGAAATCTAGAAACTCACTGTCAAATGGTCCGGCCAGTTGATTGGTGTGCAGCGACTCCTCAGATTCCGTGATGCATCCGGAATAAACGAGAAGCTGAAAGTTCAGTTAAACTAATGGTATATCAAAATTCCCTACCTCCACGAGCGTCTCGAGACACGCCGGCTGCAAGGCGAACTGGTAGCGGAACTTCAGATCTTTCAGCTCGATCCCAGGCCGCATGATGATGGCCATCAGCAGAGATTCCAGCATCTGAAAAATTCCAATTTTCATTTTATTTATATCACCAAAGTAAGCAACCATGGCCTACGTAAACCTTAAAAACGTACCCAGCGCAAGCTCGTGGCACAGGCTTTTCCGTCGGGCATAATCCACGGCCGCGGGCAGAAGTACCGATCGCCGGCAATGACGGCCCACGATTGGACATAATTGTTCCAAACGTAGCGCCTCGTATCGACGCCGGCCTCGATGATTTGGTAGCCGGCGGTGAGGCCCTCAATACATTCCAGGATGGCCGCTCGCGACAAGCCGGTGCCCATCTGAAAGCGGTAAAACGTTAATTGGAGGGCAACCCGGGTCAGGGGCGTAATACGCGCCGCCGAGTCGGAGAATTCCGCACCTCAATATCCTCCACCGACGCGCCATAGGCCTCAGCGGCTTCAATGGCGTGAGCGACACTCCGGATTTGTTCTTTGATCTCGGCGCACAACTCGATGCTGGCCAGACATTCTTCGAGCGGTTGCGCGGGTAGGGCATCGGTCGGGATCGACTTGTCCACGCGCTCCAACAGTTGGCCAACCGTCACCCGGGCGTCACGTTGTTCTTTGGGTGACTGAAAGTTTTGGTTGTCGAAGGGCTCTATAGAGGTATTGCGCGAAAAAATTGCATACCATAAAGACATCAATCTTCTCCAGTTGCAAATCTGCCGTCTCCAGATGCCGAATTTGTTTTGTTGGGTTCTAAAAGAAAAAAATTTACCGATTTTAAAACGCGGTCGAACCTGATCTACAGAATCTTCAAACATTTGGATGATAGCTGGATCGACGCGGAATGACAGCTCAGACTAAAAATTCCGTCAACGGAAGCTCGCTGAAGCTCACCCCATCATGGAAGGAATCTGCCGCGAGCAACGCCGCACCGGCGAGATCACCGAACGGTCCCAACGTCTGATCGGTAGAGTCGGCCAGGTAGTTGAACACGTGGTTGACCTGCTCGATAAGGTCGACGTGGAAGCGATGGCTGAAGAAGTGGCGGAAACTAAAACAACAGTATTGGATTGAACTTTTGATCTTACTAGTAGCTGAGGGTAGCATGGTTCTTTTGTAGGGCCTGAGTCGGGTCGGCAGATCGAGCCCTCGACACCAGCCCGTCGGCACGAAGCACCTAAATCAAGATTAATCGAAAAAAGGTAGACCTTCGAACCTGTAGTGCCGTGTTGACAAACGTCGGATTCAACTGGTCGACCAAGTGGTCCCCAGAATCGCTGTATTCCCGCTCCGTATTCATGTGATGCAGGAAAACGCCCTAGATATTTGAAATTGCCAGAAAAGGACCCGAAGACACTGACCACCAAGACGTTGGTCACGATGCAGTGTTGTATATGCTTCAACGACCTCGGGCGCTGGGACCGCAGCGGAATCGGGGCATCGGAGCGCGACTGCTCGGCCGAGGTGATCGTCTACAGGGGGTAGATAAAGCGGGGAAAGGGGCACACACCTGTCCGTTAGAAATGAACTGCTCAAAGAATTGGTCGCTCGAGCTGGTAGAGGGAAGGTTCTGCGACTCCCTGAAGTGGAAATGTGGTCATTGAAAATTCGAAACCCACAAGAACAACAACCGATTGGCAATCCTGAACGCGTCCTTGAAAAAGTCCATCTTTTGCTCCTGGGTCTGCATCGCGGTGCTGGAGCTGAGCTCCCGGCGCATCGCGCGCATCTCCTTGAACGTGTCAAGGTTTCGGACGATACGCTGCAGGTAGGCCATCCGCTCCGGACGTGTCATCTCGCGGACACCTGAAAAGATTCTAGAAAAAGCCGGAAGCGCATACCTGCCGCCATGAGGCTCTGCACGGTCTTCGTTCGACTCTCGGGCACATATTCATGCATAATGTCCCGGACGGCCGTCGGGTTCAGCCAAAAACGGTAGACGGGGTTCAGGAAAAAGCCGACAGCCCTGATCAGGATCAACTATACGGGAAATTGGGGGTGTCGGCCGGGTAGGCGTTACCATATCCCGTTCCCGAGGCTGGAAGCGGCACCGCAAATGAAGGCGATTCTGCTGGGAGACGATGTCTATACTATCCAGCGGTCGCTTCTTGTGCTTGTGCCCCTAAAAGAGAATGGCTGGAAAGGCACGCCAGCAAACCTTGGGCAACGCCTGTAGTCGCACTTTTGGTTCCATTATCAACTGGTTCAGCGAGTGCAACATCAGATCTTGGGATCCCTAAAACCGCCGTTAGTAGTCGATAAAAACTGTTTTACCTTGACCCGCTTCTTCCTCGTCAATTCCACGTCCGTCGGCATAAATGTGCGGACTATCGAGTTCCAATCACGCTGTAGCCGTTGCACGCGCTGTTCGATGATCGGCTTCGCCCGGTCAGCTTTCCTAGAGCGGGGAAAAGCGGTTCGAAGCATTTTTGCCACTCACTTTCTGAACCAAGCCGTAAACCAGGCGGTAATATCGCCGGGCCGCGGATTCAGATCCCAATGCCGCTTCAAATGGACGTAGAGGGCCGAGTCGAAGCCTGCGCATCCGTCGGATGGAGGTAGTGGCGTCAGCGGCGTTTCCGGCTAAAAAGGACATTTCAAAATTATGAAGTTTCGACCAAATAAAATTCCGACACCACAATAGCGCGTTCTTAATTTTTACCTCAGCATGTAAATCACCTTGATAGGTGACCTGCTCCTTGTTGAACAAGCCAAACGAGTAGAGTTTGTGGCGCAGCGGGTCGAAGTTTTGCCTGTCACCTGTCTCCAGCCGATAGTTCAATTCCGTACTTTGGCCTAGGGAAAACAATTTTAAAAATTTGGAATAGCACTTACTGATAGCCCGCATATGATTCCAATAGAAGGCTATTTCCTCGTGGTCGGAGAACTCGTAGACGTACCTAAATTTACAATTTTCATAGATTTTTTTAAATCGCAAATTAATACCGTTTATAGCGATCGATGGGCTGGGTGACTTGAGAGTAGCCCTTCTCGCTGGTGCTCGTGTCATACAGAGCCGCCCTGATTTAATGGATTAAATAAGGTGAAAAGGCGTACCGTGGCGCCACATAGAAAACGGAAGTGTGTGCAGTGGTGTAGCGCTTCTCATCCGGGTTCGGGGCCAGCATCATGAGACCCATCGCGGAGAGGTGGAGGAAGGAGTGTTCGATTTGCCTGGGAAGTAGAAATATTCAAGTTGAAAGCGAATAGCTTACTTGATCAGCTTCTTGTCCCTGAGCAAAGGCTTCCGCAGTACCATTGGGAGATCGGCCAATGGGGTATGGCGGGCAATGGGATCGGTGAGAATCTTCTTCAGCTCGACACCCGGGATCGATTTCGGAATCGGTGCCACCAAGCAGAGGATGGACAATGGAAGTGCGCAGAAGAAATCCTAAAAACAATCATGGAAGCACATCAATCAATCGAGGGGGAACTTTTCTTAGTATCGAATCTTTGACTAAAAGTAAAGGAAGTTACAATAATTCTATAATATTACTACAAACTGCAAATTTTCTCCCGCAAGAATCACCCCGATTAAAAAACACACAAAAATCAAATTTTCGGAGTTTCCAAGTTTTGATTGAAATATGATAAAATTTTGCCAAAGATACAACTGAAGTTCTCGCCATTACGTTACTAGGCACAACTGGACCCATAGCCCAAAATGCCAAAGAACCGGTACTTACGTTCAGCATAAACCATCCAGGGGGCATATTCCCGAACGTGCAGGGCGGCATAAAACGATAGTGGTTGACGTCATTCTGATAAACGTGTAGCTTCTCGATCGGCGCTTCGGGGAGGGTGAGCGGGTCCAGATTGGGTGGGAACCTAAAGACATTAGTGTTCAGACGGTGTTTCAAATTCTTACTTCTCGAAGACGTCGGGCTTGGCACCCTTGTTGGCGTAGACAAAGTGCCAGACGGTATCGTGGATGATGTGGGCGCGGATGTACTTGGCTTGATAGCCGTATTCAGCGTGTGGGTCGTACAAATCCTTCTTCCGAATCAAATGGCCCAATGTCTTGGGCAGCGTCTGGTGAAAAGCATCTTCGACTCCGTCAGAGAGGACCTAAACCTCTCGTTGCTTCAAGAAAAAACCAGACAACGCACTGAGGCCGGATTCAGGGCGTAGTTATTGCAATCCATCGAATCTTCTGGGACTCCGAAAAGATCCGGGTCATCGTCTTCGACAGCCTTCTCTTCGGCGGTATTTTCTTTCTCGTCGACTCTCACCAGCTCCAAAGCCGATTGACTGAAAAGGCAACAGTTTATATCCAAACTTTTAATTTGATTCCCTTTAATTTCAATTCGTCTAGATTTGCGAGAGCTCAATGAATATGTGGAGCTTCACCCACGTTTCTTGGCACACGGATTCATCCAATCCAGAAGTATCAGCTGCCTCATCCACCTCCATAACATCTGCATCCTTCGTTTTATCCAACATTTGCGCCAGTGCCTAAAAATAAAACAATGGCTGGATTCCGGATAAAACCAACCTGATCTGCCAGCGAATTACCGCCCTGCAGCACTTGGAATTCTTTTGGCAAGATGACCTTCTGAGAATGCTGAAGTCGAAAGAGCGAGTAGCGCTGCTCGAGACCGACGCCGCCCTGAAATTTAACTTGAGGTGGATTGGAGAAAAAGGCCTTGTCCTTGAGATAACATTCTGGCAAATCCCTACCACGTAGCCACTCGAAACCAATTCTTGGGCTTCTTTCAATTGGGCCGACGACAGCGCCTCGCTGACCTCCTTGTTGAGCAGCTCGTCTCGGCGGCGTGTTGAAGTGCTTAAATTATAATTTGCCGAATTTTTTGAGGCCAACTATTTAGGTTTTAAGATTTGCATTAATAAATCGCAATTCACAACCCTGCAAAATACCGAACGGCGCACAAAGCCGCTCACTTCATTTCAATGGGTTGGCTGCGGCCTAAGGATTTGGTATGCGCTTCTGAATGCCAATCAGCCACGATTTCAGGCCAGCCGAATCGACTGGAGCGCATCAAAAATGGCCACGGATGACGACTCAAAAATTGCCAAGCCCGGACCCCGGTCAGGAGAGCCGCCCTTCCAGCTGAAGGTAGACAAAATAACACTACACTTTAGCGGCGGAGATTTCGACTTTTCTAACCCAAGTTTTGTACCCCGCCCCCGTTATTTCCCCGACTAAACTGCAATGGTTTTTTACTAATTAGACAAAGGCAAAAAAATCGGTTTATTTTACAGCCCTGTAGCACCCAGGGGAGCCGAGATACAGAAGCTAAAAACTTTTTTAATTTCATAAAAAATCTGTTTAGTGTGAGCCGGAGGACTACTTGACGATCAAATGGGAGCCCGAGATCTGCACGGCTGAGATCAAGATCGAAAACATCACTAGTAGTCGCCAGACATTCAAGGTAAGGGTCTGAGGAAAAGATGATCAATCTCTAGGTGAGGGGCACCTCGAACGGCATGTTCCGCATAAAGCCCCCGATCGGCATGCTGAACGCTGGCCAATCGGCCACCGTCCGCATCACGTGCAAATCGACCAAGATGCCGGAAAACCATCGCCACTACTTTGCCATCTACCACTTTCAAGTTGATGACGCCCGGCTGGGCCCCGAGGAAAAACCGCGAACTCTCTGGAAGACTGACTATACCGTGGATGGTGTGACGAGGATCGTCGCTCTATTTGAGACCGGTGCAAAGAAAGAGGAACCGGTAATAATTTTGGGGGAATTTCCGGTAGTATCGTCCACAACGGACGGTTTTAGACCGTTAGCGGGGGGAGGGGCAAGGTGGCCTAGACCAATCCAGAAAATTTTGATTTCGCACAGCGTATTATTTTTATAGTGTGTTTTTCTAGTTCTAGTTTCAGCTCACAAATTCTAGCTTCAGCTCACAAAAATTTTTAGACAATTCAAAGATCTGAAAATTGAAGCACGTTTGCACATTTCGCCCAAAATAGCAAATTGTCGAAGATTCTGATTTCGTGATGCACTTTCTAAACGGAAAGATGGCGTCAAAAACTAAATGGCATTTCATTATTGGAACCCTACAGGGCAATAAGCGAAAGTGGCCCCGCGCTAACAGTCAAGAACCCGGAACCAATTGCGAATCGATCCTACGCTTTCAGGAGGAAAACAAGGAAGAGAACGATGATGATAAGAACGATCACGAAAAGCAGGACTAACAAGCAGCACAGGAGACATCAAACCCGTAAATTACTGATTTCACGCACCATTTCCTGAATGCGTATTTGTAAAAATAAAGGGCTTTTTTTGACGCTGTTGCTCGACAAGCCGAAAAAACTGACCGGAATTGTCCATGCGGGAAGACACGACCCTCGGCGTGGTAATGGTCGATTGTCTTCTGAATGGCCTCCACCACCTCTGGACAACCGGGAGACGTTATGTGCGGTTGTGCGATGAGCTGTATCTTCGTATCCACATTCTCGTACATCACCGAGCAATCAAACACCCGCAGAAAGCCCTCTTTCTGGAGGGCCAGCAGGCACTTCATCATACTTTTCTTGTCTATCTAAAATAGCCATTTTACATTTTGCCCAAATGAATTCACTTGAAACTGATATCCCAGGTTGGTCTCCTTCTGATGAATGATTTTGATGACCTTATGGAGCGGCACGAGCACCACCTCGTCTCTTATCATCTAAAGCTATCAATAAAGCCATCACACAGCAACAAACCTCCAAAATATCATTCAATCTTCTCAAGCTGACGTCCGAGATCCGCAGCGTGCCTAAAGAGAAAAATTTCACTAGAAGTCTGAATCGACTTACTGAAACCAGTCCCCGGGAATTTCAATATTTGTCCCATCGTGAAAGGGCACTCGCGGCCGGTGAGCGCTTCAAACTGACGAAAGAGCTTCTTGAACGATTCGGGCTCCGACGACTGTTTCCAGAAATACCTAAAAATAGACATTTTTCTAGTGCTTCTGGCCCCACTTTATCATCCGGATTTTGCCCTCCATTTTCTGGTATTGTCCAACATGCTCTGGATGCTCCTTTTGGGCTGCCAGGATGTAGCTGCTGACCCGTCGATTTCCGGGTTTTGTCGAAGTGTCCATACCCAGAAATTTGCCAATTTCGTTACGTCCTCGTCCTGAAAATTGAGCAGTATTTTAAGTTTTGGTTTCCAGGTTTCTCAGTTTTGATTTTTATCGTTTGAAAATTAAAATCAACCTTCCGAGCCGCCCTTCTTAATTGACGATAGCGCGACGTCTCCCGGAATCCTGTACATAAACTCGGGGTGCCATTCGGGAGTCCAGCCGTAGTAATAGCCTATATGGGTTGATTATTAAACCCGCCGCCAAGCTTCTACCGTCGTTGTAGATGCCTTTCTTGCTCGCCTGCTGGCTGGGACCTTCCTGATCTTGGATGGTGTTGTCGAGTTCAGCCTAAAGACTGTCAAAACAAATTTTTATAGGACTACCTTCGGTAGTGTGAAATCCATGGCGGCTTCGGCGTCGAACTCGTGGTCATCATCTCGGACCTTAAAAAATCGTGGTGTCAATTTAAATAGATTATACTTGAGGGCTTTCCGGTACTGGGGAAGGCGGTACCAATCCCTCTTTTGACTTCCGAGAACGCTTTTTCGGAGGAGCCTTCGATGTTCCGGCCTCCATCTGATATGTCTAAAAACAAAAACGTGATTTAGTGCAAGCTAAAGTTCGAGCGCCCAAGAAACTGAAGTGGAGAGAGAGCGAATCATCGATCTTCTTCAAAATGCTACCCACTATTTATAGGATCCTGTTTATTATTGAGTCACTTCTCCACAAAAATATTACTTTTCTATGCGCTAAAGCTTCTTTTTCTTTTTCTTTTCGCCCTCTCGATTTTCATAGCGTCACGGACCTGCGGCAGGGAATTATCTACCGTATATTCCCGCACCGCAGGACCCAGGCGGGTATTGAAAGGTGAGCCTCTCCCTTTTATTTCTTTCTGCGCCTCTCTCACAGGTTTCTGCGTTTTTTACAGTAATTTTCGAATTGATTAGAGTTCATAAACCCGCCTGATTCACTGACAGTCCGGTGTTTCTAGAGCTACCCGTCTCACCCTCCGTTCTTTGCAAAGTTTCTGTTTTCGGGTTTTCGACGATGAATACTTGCTGGTATCCGCATCATTAAATTTTAGTTTACAGGTATAATGCGGCACGTCGCTGGTTATCTTCTTGCCGTACTCGGCGGAAACGAGCACCCTTCCGTCGCCGACATTGAGCACATCCTCGGTGCCGTCGGAATCGACTCTGATGCGGATAAGGCCAAGCTCGTTGTTTCCAGCCTGAAGGGCAAGTCTATTGAGGTAAGCTCTTTTCCACGTGGAATAGGCGTTTTTTTTGGGGGGCTCTGATGTTGGTTAGTGCCTACAAGCTGCAAATTGAGATAGATTTAGTGCGATTAGTCGCGCTGCTTGCCCTACTGTTATTTACGCTAAACGCACGCAAATCGGTTTTTCGCGTACTACGAGACTGAATAAGCCGAGGTGACGTCCAGCATACCTTCTGGTTGGAATTTGTGCACAACTCTAACCTTTTTTTTTGGATTTAGTGCGCTCAGAGCCTGTTCAGAAACACTGGTTGTTGCACAAAATTCGCACGGAAATTCTATCGGTTTTGCGTCCGTACTGGGGCTGTTTGGGCGCTGACTTGCAGCACTTACCACTTTATTTGAGATCACCCAGCTCTCCTAATGCTCCTTTTTCAGGAAGTCATCGCGGAAGGATCGAAGCACCTCGTCAGCGTCGCCGGTGGAGGAGGAGCTGCCGCGCCCGCTGCTGCTGCACCAGCTGCCGCCGCCGCCGCCCCAGCAGAGGACAAGAAGAAGAAGGAAGAGCCAAAGGAGGAATCTGACGACGATATGGGATTCGGACTTTTCGACTAATTTGTTGTTTTTTTGTTATAATAAATTGTAAATCCATGGAGGATTCTTATAAATCCGTTGTTGCACTCGACAAGTTTTGAACGTGTGAAAAAAGGGGGGGAGAGGGAAAAAAAAAAAAAAAAAAAAAAAAAAAAAAAAAAAAAAAAAAAAAGGAGAAAAGGGGGGGGGGAGGGGGGGGGCGGAGAAAAAACACCCCATATCAGCAAAGTTTTCCCTGATGCCACATTACGCAGACATTTTCGTTGGGTTTCCGTGCGTGAACTATCGCCATTCGCTTTATGCGCTACCAGCCGTGATCGGTTTTCGCTCTTTTCCTTTCGTCAGTCTTTTTTGGTGGTTGTTAGACCGAGTTTGTGGCATAACCCCTCTTGTTCGGGCCTAATTCCATTCACAAATTCTTTCTAGGTATGCTGGACCATTCGGACGATCAGCCAGCCGTCACGGCCGAGGATCAGCGACTGATCAATAAGTTTGCCCGTCTCCACCAGAATTTCGCGCAACTAAGGGTATCGTTCTACTTTTTGGGCATACACCTGGGATTTAGGAGGAGATGGCTGCCCTTCGAACTGACATTGAGAACATTAACGAAGCTGTTGATGAAATATTGCTATTTGGTGATGATGAGGGTCAAGCAATTCCGTACCGTATCGGCCAGACGTTCGTCCATTCCGACTCGGTTCGTATTTATTTTGGCCAACCCGGATCCTAGGGTCTTGCAAAATGAGGGGCATCGATTGAGGCGAACCTTGATTCACCATTAGTTTAGTGCGCTGAATGTTTTGAATTTTATAGGATACTCTCAACGAACAGCTCGAGAAGGACAAGGTTAAATCCGCAGCCGATTTGGAGACAAAAGAGGTATGAGCAGCGACGCCTCTGAAAATATTTTTTTTAGTCGAAGTCAAGTGAACTCAGCGAGCAGATGAGCCAACTAAAAGCAAATCTCTACGAAAAATTCGGCGATCACATTAATTTGGAGACCGAAAAGGATTGATAGTTTACATGTACGTTTTGTGTACTCTTGCCTTGGTCATGGCTGTGAATAAAATTTAATTCCTGACGTTTTTTCAAAATGCACATAACTGCGGGGATACCGAGGACTACTACCATAATTATTGTTCGCTGTGTAGTGAGGGAGACCACTTGCCGGAGGAGGAGCATCTCACCTTACCGCGAACAACAACGGTGGGGCTTGCGCCGTTGGACCCGTCCCTTCCGCAGTTTTCCCCCTCGTTTCTCACATTTATACTAGGGCGATGGTTTTCCTCGTGGTCTCATTTGGTTGTCCTCGCCTGATTTTTCCAAAATTTTGGCGATAAGGGCCTGTGGTCGCCCTTGATGCTTTTTTGGCTTCTCGGAATACAATTCGTGAGCAGGACCTGACTTATAGATAGTCACCCATTCCTGCCGACTTGGATTAGGTTTCCCTTTTGAAGACTTATAGTTTGTGCATTGTCAGCCCTTGGTCCCTTTTCAGCTGTTTCGGCATGGTCCAAACCACACGGGCTTGTTTACATTTGCAGTGACCCGTTGTTATGTGCCGCCAACTGAATTTTCTCTGCTATTTCTTTCCATTTTTTCGTTTTTCTTGCCTGAAACTAGCAATTTAGATGTCTTTGCAAGCACGACATGATGTGCGGCGCGCCTCGAAGTCCGACCCACTGCCACCGGAGATGATCTCATTTTTGAGGTTTGTATTTACCTTTGTGCAAATTAACCTCCCCGAAACGGATCGAATCGGGTTGTAATCTCCTCGAATGGCCCGCCTCTGCCGTCAAATTGGGGCACTTCCGCTAAATGGTGTCAACCCCCTGCCGCGGCTCGTGTAAACACGGCGCCGGCGAGAACTCACCCGAAAAAATCCACTGGTGACCGCCCCTCGATCGCGCATATTGTGTGCTTGTGGAGCCAGAGAACACGGGGCGCCGACGACATTGGAGCGCTAGAAAAACTCAGTCGCGGCCAATTATTCTCCCCCGGTCTAGTCTCCCCACCTTTCGCACTTGAAAGACTGTGGCCCCAGAGCGCAAATTACTGAGAAAAATGTCTGCCTCTACGGATCTCTTGAAAGCGCAGATTGCGCGCCTCGAGCAATATTTAGAAATTTTGAGGTAATGGTTTTTGATTCATAGCAGGGACCGTGGGTTTTTTTTATTTTTAAAACCTTTTTTTGGAAATAAATAGCTTTTGTATGTTGGTACAGTAGCTTATTTCTGACCACAGGCTAATTTCTTGGCCAATCACATTTGAAGAAACTGAGGGTGTAAATTTACCTCTGCTTGCCTTTGACGATTCCATCTCGATTATTCCGTTTTTTAGGGAGTCTATGCGCAACTCCGTCAAACAGGACCCACCATACGTATTTGTCGTTTTTGGAGCTTCGGTAAGCTACAATTCGCCGGTCCTTGACGAGTAATTTTGTAGGGGGACCTCGCGAAAAAGAAGATATACCCAACTCTCTGGTGGCTCTACCGCGACGAGTTGCTGCCCAAAAACGTGCACTTTGTCGGCTACGCGCGTTCCGATCTGAGCGTCGACAAGATTCGCGAGCACTTCGAGAAAAACGCAAAGGTCAGCGTATATTACAGCGATTTTTGTTGACGGGTATTTATTTACAGGTGCGCGATAACGAGAAGGAAAAATTTGAGCAGTTCCTGAAACAAAACACCTACATTCGGGTATGTGGTCGTATAGTGGTTGATGTTTGATTTTAGGGGAAATACGACACCGATGAGGGATTCAAGAAGATTCAGGAATTCAACGACGATCTGCAGAAGAAATCGGGATGTACGTTCATTTTGTGTTGTTTTCAACGAGGTTCTTTAGTACCAGTTAACCGTCTGTACTACCTTGCGTTGCCGCCGTCGGTTTTCGAGGAGGTGACGAAGCATTTGAAGACAAACTGCATGGACAAGGGGTAATTATTACTCCACTACACGGCATTTACTATTTTAGTGACTCGTGGACCAGGGTCATCATCGAAAAGCCGTTCGGCACGGATTTGGACTCTTCAATGCAGCTTTCCAAGCACATCTCTTCGCTGTTCAAGGAAGACCAGGTAATTTTAAATCTTCCAGCGCTGAATAGTTTTTTGTTTCAGGTTTATCGAATTGATCACTACCTCGGTAAAGAGATGGTCCAGAACTTGATCACATTAAGGTATTATTGGCATTAAAAAGTATTGGCATTTTCGTAGGTTCGGTAATCGTCTTTTCGGGCCTTCCTGGAACCGAGAGCACATCGCGAGCGTCGTCATCACGTTCAAGGTCTGGTGTTTAACCCCAGGAAAAGATTGTAATTTAGGAGGATTTTGGTACCCAAGGCCGAGCCGGTTATTTCGACACTTCCGGCATCATTCGTGATGTCATGCAGAACCATCTGATGCAAGTTCTCACCCTGCTGGCCATGGAAAAGCCGGTCTCGCTGAATGCCGAAGATATCCGCGACGAAAAGGTTTGCTTTGGAGCCTAGAACATAATCATTCGAATTCAGGTCAAAGTTCTGAAGTCGATGCCGGAGCTTGGGCTCGACGACGTCATTGTCGGACAGTACATTGCAAACCCAGATTCGAATCGTAAGCAAATTCCGATTACTTGGAGCTATATTTTCAGATCCTGAGGCAAAGAAGGGCTACCTCGAAGAAGAGGACGTGCCAAAGGACTCGATTACGCCAACGTATTGTATGGCGCATTTGCGGGTTCGTCGCTTAGCACATTACCAAAATTTTTCAACCTTTTCAGGTGAATAACGAGCGATGGGATGGTGTGCCATTCATCATGCGTTGCGGCAAGGGCCTGAACGAGAAGAAATCAGAAGTGCGAATCCAGTTCCGCGAGGTGCCCGGCGATATTTATTCGCCAGGCGAATTGAAGCGGTACGCGGATTCTCTAGGCTTCTAGACTGTAATTTAGCACCGAGCTCGTGATCCGGGTCGCTCCCAACGAGGCCGTCTACTTGAAGCTCATGACCAAGAAGCCCGGCATGGACTTTGGCGTCGAGGAGACGGAGCTTGATCTCTCCTACAACAGCCGTTATCATGTACTTTACGCTTTTATAGTCGTCATGTTTCTTTAGGGAATCCGTCTGCCCGAAGCCTACGAGCGGCTATTCCTGGAAGTGTTCATGGGTTCGCAGATCTCTTTCGTCCGCTCCGACGAACTGCAGCACGCGTGGCGGAGTGTTCACCCCGGTGCTGAAGCAACTCGAGGAGAAGCGCGTCAAGCCGGTCCAGTATAAATTCGGAAGGTATGTTGTTGTGGGAAAATATGAGAGTCTGGTGTCCATGTTGGCAACCCCTCATTTTAGCCGCGGCCCTGCGGAGGCTGACGAGTGGTCGAAGAAGCTCGGCTACGTCTACAGCGGCACTTACAAGTGGAAGAATCCCAACAAGCTATAATTTTTCTCGTCCCGTTCATTCCTTTCTCGATTATTTTTTGTCTCGGTGATTTTCTCATATGCCTCATTCTTGGTAGTGTTTGATAGTATTTTATAACGATTAGCATGTTGTGATGTACAGTCCGATAATAAATTTTATAGTCTGATTCTGGGAAGCGTGCTCTTCTAATTTTTAATCGTCATTTAGAATTCTTGAAGCTTCTTGAATTCGGCCCTTTGTCAATAAGCGATTTCCGTAGCTGTTTGCTTGTTATCTGTACCAGTGCAGCGGAAGAGAGCAGCAGAATTGCGGAGGAATCAGAGATGGGCACTTATAGCCAGCCAGCCGCTGCCCACTCGCACTGTCCACAGGCCAAGAATACAACCGCTACGCAAAGACGGGCAACCACCACCAAAAAAGTCCCCGGATTTCGTCGTGGGTTTATCGTCTTCGCCGATGCGCCCCACAAATGTCGAGATGCCGATGCGCTTCCAGGTTATGGTACGTTGGATAGATAACTACTAGTCTATTTATGCTAAGTTTTTCCACTTTAGAAAAATAGACGCGTCAAACGTGATAATTCGCGATGAATTCGGGCCAATATTAGGAAGGAAGCCGCCTCGTTTATCCTGCGGTGGATCCGGTTGCAAAGCTGGGCTTCCGGAAAAATAACGAAAGCTTCTCCCCCAGCACCGGACCCTCTCGAGCCTCAAATATTATTTTTTTTCTCTGTAAAACCGTAGCCCTCAGTTTCACCTGCTTTTTGTTAACATTTCCAATCAATTATCCAAGTTTTTATCGTTCGGCGCGCATCAATACTTTTTTACAGTCTCGCCGGCCCGACCTCACCCTCTGACTTTTTGGGGGTTGTGAGTTTCACCCCGCGGGTGGAGGCAACTTCCCCCGATAAGGGACTCACGGAACAAAAACACCGAATTTTGGGCCTATTTACGCCGCGCCCCCATCATTTCACGGCTTTCCAGGGGGCAGGGGGGACTGGCGGGGGATGGGGGATTATTGGATTGGCACCCGGTTATCAGTTTTCACGCTTTATGGAATGGGAAAAACATTTTATTACTCTTGCTATGATTCTAGAAACAGTTGGGGAAATTTGCCGATATTTTTCTTGTGTGAAATTTACTGCCTCCACACCCCCCCCCGTTAACGAAACAGCACCCGTTTCAGTACGGTGGCGTGATCCCAAACGTCGACCACACCAACCTCGATCCTTCCGGACGTGCAGACCTTCTGCGAACGATCGATAAAGCGAAGCAGGATGGAAATCTTGTCTTCCCCCGTCGCCCCAATGACTTTCGGGAGACGTCGAGGCTGCAGATGGACGATCGGACCCTGTCAGTCACTGGGCTTCTCGATGGTCAACTCCAACTCCGCGCCTCGCTGCACCAAGTGGCCTCGGTGGGATATGTGAGGGAGGAGAACGACGGCCATTTCACACACATCATCAATGTCAAGATTGGCGAGGTGAGCGATTGTTTTTCTTTGTTGTTCCAGGGTTCTGGTTCATTAGCGGGTGGTTCCTGATTTTTCGATATTTTCGCTGATTTTTTCGGGGCACTGTTTGTCGCGCATAAGACTTCAGTTTTCAGGTGCAAAGGAATGCCTCTTTCTTCGATCTACTGATTCTGTATTGCCGCACAAAGGTATGTATATTTTCGGCTTCATCGGCCATTGGATCTTTCAGGAAATGGCCGAGGCCCTGTGCGAATGTGCTGAGGCGCGATTTCAACAAATGTACCGGGAGACGCTCGTTTCTGTACCGCAAGCCGTTGCCTCCAGAAATCGTTGGTAATTTCGAGGCGTTTAATCCGAGCTCAAAAAAGCGTACCCAAGTGTCCTTTTAGGGCTTCGGACAGGCAGCAGAACTGCTTCATCCCCACTTGTCGACGATTTGCGGTAGGATTTTGGGCCCGAAAATCAAAGAATATCCGCATTCAGAAGCCAGGCCTCTCCTCGACGAGCCCCATCTACTTCCACCTCTTCTACGGTCAATACCTCGGCGGCAAATGAATATATGGAAGAGGTGGGCTTGGAAAAATCGAGCTGTTCAAAACCCATTTTGCAAATTTTTAACGGGTAACCCTTATTTCCGTTAATGTCGTAAAGAGGATAAAGCCGGCCTTTCCGAGACCAAAAGGAATTTTTCGCCAATTTCCTAGCGCCCAAACGGTCTCATTTCTTGCGGGATTCCTCATTTCCCCCGGGGCCAAAGACGCGCCGCGTCCAGTTTCCGGTTCGGCCAGGCGAGGGCTTCTGGGCGTGGATAGTCGCCTAATGGACTTGGCTCGCCTAATGGACCCGCGAGGAGCAATAAATACAAAATCAGCGCCCCTCGCCCAGATTTTTGTCCGAGTTTTTTCTAACATTAGAAGTGGCGGCGGGCTAGACTTTTGCAATATTCTGGGTGTTGCCTGCAACCACAAAACCGGCCGTTCAACGCCCCGAGAAAAACGTACGAAACGTATGAAAGGGGGGCAGTCGGCAAATAGATTTTCGCAGGTATTCGGAATTGAAGATCATGTTTTCGTGGTCAAAAGAAGTGGGGAACCCGTACCTGCTTTCCAAAATTCGGAAGCGGCAAAACGGCGGCCAGTTTTTTTGGCTAGCGTATCGAGTTTCCGCTTGTTCTCCCCGCTCTTTTGGGCTTCGTTCCGGGGTGTTCTTGGTTGTCTAGTGGAATGTTGAAGCCTGGGGTCCCGATAAGTAAAAATTGGCCCGAAAAGTGAGCGAACGCTCAGCTCGCCAATAAATAATTTGGTGTCAAGCAGTATGTCGAAGAAAATATGGATGGGCGATGGGATGGCGGTCTTGAGTAGGCGTGTCTCGTTCTCTCTCTCTCTCTCTCTCTCTCTCTCTCAATTTCAACCCAGGAACGAACACACACACGCAAATGCCATTTCCCGGCCCTTTCCTTTTCATCTCACTCGGCGCGCCACCCTAAAAAAACGCGCAAAAAAACAGAGGAGGACCGCGATTGGCCGAGCACGAACCTGGGCATCTCTCACTCTCTCTGTATCTCTCTCTCTCTCTCTCTCTCTCTCTCTCTCTCGCCCAGCCATAGAATATTTGAATGGATTGGCTGACGCGGGGGAGGACAAACTTTTTCCACTTCTTTCTCGCCGGCCCTCTTTCCCAGGCTTAACCTGAATTTCCTCACCGAGCCGCCCGGCCATTTCCTGTTTGCCGGGCGGGCCCCTCGGGGTGGTTGTAGCCTGTAGCCCTTCCCCCGACCGCCCGCTTTATCCGACGTTTTGACTTGTTTCTTTGACTTTTCAGCGGCTTCGTTTATGGATTTTTCTGGTATTTTCTTCTCGTTATTTTTTTTCGGTATTCATTGTATTTATTCTTGGGCTGGTATACCCTAACATTTGCGCCCTAATAGGTAGCAAAAATTAACTGAAATTTTGCGGTAGAAGGTTTTTGGTAAAATAAAATAGGGGGTGGCTATTATTGTAATATGATTTTTCGAATTTTCAGAACCAATAACCTTCAAAAAAGCTCAATTTTCCATTTTATAAGCGCTTTTTGGTGCATTTTCATTTTCGAGCCAAGGCGTAGTTCCCCAAGCACTTAGATTTTTTATAATAATAATAATTTATTCAACGCTGGACAGTTCAAAGTACAACTTGTTTCCTTAAACTCATCTATCTTCTTTTTTCGTTAGAAATTCAATTATTCGAAAATTAAACTTATTTTTTACTGTAGTTTCAAGGAAAGTACAAAGTACAAAAAGTACAATGCGTGTTTTTTAGAGATTTGCTTGTAAAATTTTTGAGCGAAGGTTTCATGGAAGTACAAAGTACACCGTTACCCATTTGGCGTTTTCCTATAACATTAGCTCAAAATCCACTTATTTTACTGCCCATCGATTTTTCGTGGCACTTCAAAATGCTATTTTCCCCTTTCCCCCCTCCGACAATCGGTGGATGGTGCCTTTTTAATTACAACACGGTGTATCCGGGCTCCTGTAGATAGATCCCTTTCCTGTCTTCCCTCCTTTTTTCTTCCTTTCACCCCTTCTATTCGCCCCGCAACCAGTTATTTTGACGCTTTGATCGTGATCTCGACCGACAGCACCCACCTAGCGATGTCACGCATTTTCAGGGCCATTGTTTTTGGGGGGTTTTCAAGGTGTTTAGGGTATTCACAGTAGCGTTCTGCGCTTTTTCTATGCATTCAGACATCGTTTCACGATCTTTTTGCAACTAGAAAATAATTTTCAGTTAGGACCGGGTGCCACTATGGTCTAGTGGCTAGTCTGCTAGCCTGTCAGGAAATTGGCAGGGGCTCAAACCTCATCTGGACCCAAAGTTTTTTTTTCCGGAGGGTTTAACCTGGACGACTGAAATTGGTTCGTTTAGGCGGAATTTCCATATTTGACTTGTGTAGGCGGAACAATATTATTTTCTTTGCCTATCTCTCTTGCCACTCGTTCTCTCTCTCTCTCTCTCTCTCTCTCTCTCTCTCTCTCTCTCTCTCGCTCTCTCTCTTTCTCTCAAAGTTCCAGGCGATTAGCGTCGCTAATCGATGTTTGGGGATGTTGACGCAATCCCCTTTTTCGGTTACTTTCCGGATGAAAAAATTTAAAGGGGGATGCCTGTGTAACGCTCTCCCTCACGGGCGGGTTTTTAGCCCTCGGACGTAACGAGTCACGAACGCGTCACACCACTTTACACCGCGTAATTGATTGCCCAAACCTAGTTATTTGTGACAAATAATCTTGTAAAGGTTATTCTAACTCTAGAAACAAAAGAAAGATAGTTGTAAAACATATATGGAGGTGAAAGGGGCATCTTCTTGCGTGTTTCGATCAGATTGACGATTTTGCTGGTTCACCACACATGACTAACTAGCAAGAATCCTTATACCAATACTGATTCAATCATGAGCCGACTGCCATTATAAGTAAGTGTTACGCCATGCACTTTGCTTTTTGACCGTCTACAAAACCAACCGAACTTCGTCGAGAGCATTTAAACGATGAGGATGAAACCTAATGATGTGACGCGCGAGCATGCGCGCAAAACGCTGGTGATGATAGGGACATTGTAAAGCGCTTGTCTGATTTGCTTTTTACCGCTACCATTGCTCCTTCGAGTTCAGCCCATCTAGCCTCTTCTAAGTCTTAGCCTACGGATCAGTTATGCTGTGATATTTGGGTAATTCACAAAAGATTCTTGCATTGCGAACATTGTGTGTACAATGTTTGCTAACGATAATTGCTCGCGAAAATGGAGAACAACGTGGGGGTGACTATAGAATAAGCTTCTTCGTGTTAGAACAGGCTCTCGTATTCGTACTGGTGTGCAATGAACCAGAAAAATCGTCAATCTACTCGAAACGCGCGAGATTATGCCCCTTTCACGTCCAAATCTGTTTTACAACTTGCTTCTTTACAACTATCTTTTTGTTTCTAGCGTCAGAATAACCTTTACAAGATTATTTGTCACAAATAACTAGGTTTGGGCAATCAATTACGCGGTGTAAAGTGGTGTGACGCGTTCGTGACTCGTTACGTCCGAGGGCTAAAAACCCGCCCGTCTCTCCCTCTCCCCCCCCCTCTCTCTCTCTCTCGCGCGGGCGCGCTATTTCCCTCTTTCACACTTGTGAGCCTTTAGAAATTCGCTACGCCTTATTTTAACTCCGTGTCTTGACAATACCACCATTCTTTAGGCTAGTTAGCCTCATTCTTTCCTTAACAAATCCCTTCAAAACCACTCAGTTTTTTCGATGGTGTATGGAGGGTTGTTGTGTACAGGCTCCTCAAAAACGAACACACTCGCAGTCAGTGACTGTTTCCGCTCTTTCTACTATCCCTGTCAAGAGTTGTTGACCGTCCCTTACCCCCAGTTCTTTCCCTCCTCTCCTCTTTTTGTCGATTTTTTGATGCGTATTTTCTCGTGTCCCCGTCCGCTTCGGTGTTTGGGTTGTTTCTCTGGCCGGGGTCGACCCCCGGGTTATTAGGGTGCCATATAGAAATTTTGGGGGCTGCCTGGCATTTCCCGCCTTCTTTTTTGGGTGCTCGCGGACCGGGGGTCTTCTACAGTAGTTCGCTGTACACCTGTTACCGCTTGTCTGTTGGGATTTTCGTCCGGAAATTGGGGAAATTGCCTTGGGCGCTGATATTTGTCGTTTGGACCACTGTAGCATGCAAAGTTTTCTTTCACTTTAGCTCTCTCTCTCTCTCTCTCTCTCTCTCTCTCTCTCTTCTCTTTCCCTTGAGTTTTCACCCTTCAATTTCCAGTCCATCCCCCTCCCTTCCTCCAAACGCCCCTTCGAAATTCACCCATCAATTCTTGCCGTTTCCAATGTTTGCCGAGAGTGCCCATTTCAGCCCCGCCCCCCCCCATTTTTGGCGCTTCACTTTGCCGAGGGTATCCCCCGGGGAAATCCACCGCTTTTTCGCGATAACCCCTGCAAAAACCTAAAAACCCAGTGAAATCACCTCTCCCCGAGGAGCGCTCATTTGCGAACCGAAAGGGCGTGAATGGAAATTTTGAGCCGAGAATTTAGGGTGTACTGTACAGTACGCTCGAAGAGCTAGTCATTACAGTACCGAATTCAATGCTAAGGTGACAAAAATTAGAAGTTTTACCTTTTTCCGATTCTCAAAAAAATCCACGATGTCGCGCAAACTACGCGATACAACCCCTTATGGTAGTGAAATCGTGGCGTATGCTACCCTAAAAAAATTCTAAATTTTGAACGACGCAAAATTGGATTCGGATAGCATACACCGTAGGCGGGGATCCACTACAAAACAGGACCGTTTACGGTATGTAAAATAGAGTTTAAAAGCCATAAAAATAGAGAATTTGCGCGCTTAAATTACCCTTTTACAAGTTTTGGCGGTTTGCCAGTGGACCAATGGCTACGAGTTAATTAGTAAGTACCCACCAAAAACTACCCAAAAATAAGCCCCTCCGACCGTGGCGGCCTTGAATTTACGACATCGACCTTGACCGCCACAGCAAAACGAAATATTTCAGCATCAATTGATAGAAGCCCTCTCTTACTTAAATGTTTCTTTAAAGCCAAATTAATTTTGACTTTTCCAGCCTTCTTTTACTCCGTTTTTTTCCAGCTATCCGCCTGCCTGAGCGCCGATGAACTGCGCGAGTTTGCCGAACTGCTTGGAAGGTACGTCGTCTGTGTGTGTGCATGGTATTATTTCGGAAAAGGCAAGAGGGGAGGTGGACATGGGTGATGGAAGACGAAAGTCTATACCAGCATCAATAGGGAAACGAAATGGAACGCTTGGGGGTGGTTTTAAAGGGGCAGGGAAGTGCGAGAATTGACCTTATCGTGTCAACTGGTGTTGCGTAAGCCAGAGCCTAAGCCTAAGCCTGAGCCTAAACCTAAGCTACCTAAACTCAGCCTAAGCCTAAGCCTAAGCTTTTGATGAATTTCTTAAAAAACACCAAAACCATACGTCTACACCCATTCCAGATGGCAAGTGGGTGAGCTGCCCCTCCCCGAGTTGGCGCTCAAACTGCTCGAGCTCTACGGCACACAACGTGGTCGTCTCCTGACAAGCAAGTTTTTCAGCATAATCAAGCTTCCCAAAATTCTCGACTTTTCTGGCTCTCCATTTTCCCCCAATTTCCCCCGGCATTTTTATGGTCTTTTCTGCCGTCCGGGGGTGCTGCCTGGACATCCCATTCGGGGGTCGTTTCCCCGCGTCTCAAAAAAGGCCCATTTTGAAGGGGGCCGGTGATGGGCCACTGGCAAAGGACCCTCTAGACTCGATCTCATCCCCCCCCCCCTGCTTCACTGGCTTTCTGGGGGGCATTCTAAAGGGAACGTGCCATCTGTCTGGAAGCGTCAACACCAAGGAGTTCAGCGACATTCCCCACCTTTTCTAGTCGGGTTCTTTTGCACTAACAGGGGCGGTAGGGGAGTGGTAATTTTTGTTAGAACTCAAGGAAACTTAAAAAACCTGTTAAAACATTGAAAATTCGGTCGAAATTCACACAGTTTTGGTCAAAAAATTTGTATTTTCGTGTTTTTTAATACAAATTTGTAAAATTTCTGTGTTTTTAGGAACACTTTGTCAGAACCTAGACGAATTAAATTAATTTCTATCGGGAAAACAGATCCTAAGGAACAACTTGCCGCCCCCCGATAATGCCAAAGAACCCCGTTAAACAGCCTAAACTACGACACATTCGCGTAAAAAATCAAACGACATTGGCCGTATCGTAACCCCCAAAAATAGCAAGACTCCAAGAAGCCCCCACGATGCAGCTGTTCCAATCATTTTCCGCCCTCATTTTTCTCGGCGCCCTCACAGTTCAAGAGACCAACGCCGTTTTAGAAGAATTGGCCCGCCGACGGCGTTTAGTCGGCCTTTTTCACGCGCTGCAAGAGAGAGACCCACTGCAGAAAGCTTAGAATAATTGGCGGGTGGCCCCCATCCACACACACACCGATGGCTAATGATCTCCGCCTCCTCCGTGCGCACATCCTCCTCCCTACACCTTCTTTTTCTTTGCCTGGCCAGCTAATGCCCGATAGCCAATTTCCACTTCTCCACACACACATCACTATGATCTCTAGGTTATGCTATTCAAGAAAGAGCTACGCCGGTTCTGGTTCGTTAGCGGGGGGGGGGGGATTTCTTGTCAATAGCTTGTCAAACTTAAATTACATTATTTTATTGTGCTCAAACTCATATTCCAAATTTTTGTGATGCTCTATCGAATAGCGTTAACAGAATGTCGAAAAATATCGAAAATCGCGAAAAAATTACTGACCAATCCCATTTACAGGGTTATTGTCGAAAACTTTGCTTTGCCAGAATTTTCTTAAATTATAGTGTTTCGATCTAGAATTAAAACTCTTAGTATGTATATTTTTTTGACGCACTACCGGGTCGCGATGATGTAACCCCAAAAAACAATGAAATTGGCAAAAATCTACGACCTTAAACCCCACCGTGCCAACGAACCAGTAGCTTTTGACCTCCTAAAGAGTGCGCAATTACGGCATTCGAAAAAAACACAAAAAAATTTTCGAGCTTTATTTGGGAAACAATACAAAACTTTTCGAAATGCCGGCTGGGGGTAAAGTAGTCTTACCAAAACCAAAGCACCCACGTCAAGCCCCCCTCAGAACGCTTTATTCCAACCTCTAAACACTCCCTAACTACCGAACACGCCACCAAAAAACCCTCATAGAAAAACCGGCGCGCTTTGATACATCACCCTGGTGGTGGTGGCATAAAGACAAATGCCCCCGCCCCGCGGCGCCATTCATAGATGTAGGTGTTGTGCGTGTCTCTCGGCGTTGTGTGTGTATGTGTGAGATGGCTTTTCTGCTTCTTCTCCCTTCCTCAAAAAGGACTAGAGGCCACTAGAGGCCCTTGGCCCCGGGGGCAAAAAGGCCCCCGGCTGGCCAGCCGTGTGTGTGCCCCGTTTGGCCCCTTTTTGGGCCCTTCGCCTTTTTTCGCCGAAGGCACCGCCGTCCAAATTGAGTTGGCGCACCGCCCGATGGTTCGGCCCTTCGCCCCGACCCCTGAGAACCCCCGCGCTCCAACACAACGGCTTACGTTGCCCGTTTCCAGCATTTCTTTCTGCTCTGACGACGTCAAGAGCTTTACTTTTCTTTTATTCCTACAGTTTATTGTATAGACAAAAGGGGTTACATAAAAAATCCACAGTATCATTTTCTAAAGCTTTTTAATAAGCTTATAGTGCTAAAAATGAAACCGTGGAGCCGATGGACACCTTTTCGCTTACGAAAATGACCTTTATTCTGTCTTGAAGCTTTATTATTTAACAAAAAACACTGAGAGAACCCGAGAAATACCTTGAAAACGGCGATAAAATCTGTTGAATCCAAAAACAAGTTTTTTTCTTTATAAAGCTTCTTTTCCATTAGAAAATAACTAGCAAACATCTACAAAAACTTGTTTTTAAAAGCTTCTAAAAACGGCTATAAGGTTTATAAGGCCATTTTGGCTTTTATACAACGACGGCATCAAACCTAAAAAAAACGCCGATCTTCCAGAACTCGGCATGCTGATGACCGACGAGGAACAAGAGGAATTTTACGCCTTCCTCGCACGCAACGGTCTACAAGCGGACGGCACAGTGTAGGTTGAAGCCCATTTCTTAAATATGGCCTTCAAAAACTTTTGAATCCTTAAAAGTCCATTAAAACATTATAACAACCCAATTACTATAAAAATATAGCGCATTATCCACTCAAACGCGTAATCCCCATCTGCCCCACCTGCAAAAGTGCACCAAATTGGCGGCGGGGATTAATCGGATTTGCGCGAGGGTTACGTGTATAAGGTATTGGGGCAAGAAATTTCTACCCGTCGTCGTCGGCCCTCCCTTTTAGTTGCCCTGGAGATTCGGCCGGGGAGCAGGCTTTTCCCTCGAGGAGAAGTGCCTTTCCACTCGGTCATCTCCAACATTTATCCTCGATTATCAGGGCGGGTGCCGGCTCGGGCTTTCGGGGCCGCTCGGGGTCTTGTTTATTTCTAAGAAAAGATGCTATCGGATGGGAATATGAGTCATTCAATTCACCCGGGAATCTTTGGCATTCAAGAAAAAGAAAGAAACATATTTTGTTTTTATTGGAAGCTATTCCGTAGCGCTCCACAGTCCGTTTTGACGCAATTAGTCCTCACGCGGACTCGACTTTTTGATGTCGTAATGCAAAATTTGCGATTTTCCGAAATTTGTTTTTCTTTTATTCCTTTGTTTTAGTTATATTCCCGATTTGAAGTCGATTTAGCGAAACGCTAGCTTTGCTTTCTTCGAAATTTGGATAGATTTTGCAACCTGCTCGCTCCAAAAACTTTTCCTTAGCTTTCATCGCCATTTTTTGTAGTTAGCCACTTGCTAGTAGCACGATCCCCCGGATGGATCCCCCCATCTCCCAGTCAGGTCATGATAACCAGGGGGCAACAAGGCCGCCGGCGGGTGTAGACGTTGGTGGCGTTCGGTGGAGACAATTCGTATCAGTGTCCATCCCGAGATCCCCCTGTGCCTCTTTTGCCCCCCAAATGAGCTTTCGTCTTTTCAGCCAAACCACTGGAGCGCGAGGAGAACGCCGGTGAGCCTTCCGGTGGCCCGCCGATATCCACCGCACAAACGGCTCATTTCCGCATCGCCCGGCGGCTGTGTCATTTAATTAGACGGGCCGTATAGCCCAGGTTTCGCCATGTTTGTGGTGGCGATGCCTTCATTTTGGGTCACAAGACGTTTGCCAACTTTCCGTACTTTGCTACTACCGGGGCAGACTTTATCTGCGGATAATGTACAAAAGCGCAAATAGCAAATGTTGCACGATTCGAACGCTTTTTGTAATGCAGTAATTATAGGCAATTAAAAGCGAAAAAATGTCGCTTTTGACGTATCAATTAGGCTCCGATTGCTATTTACGTTGTATTGTTTCGTCATACAATGCTAAATGAAAAAAGCCTGCGTGCCTTACCACATTTGCTAATTGCCTTTAGAAGCACATAATTTTCATCCCTTGGCGGCGTTTCCGCTTCTTCTCTGCATTCCATTACCCATTTTTTATAGTACCTAGTCCTGTACCTTTTTCTGTAGAAACAATATCAGAAACTTGCACATAAACCGTCCATCCCGCTCCATTTATTTTCCAAAATATATTATTATCTGTTGCGATCTGTCCCCCTCCCATGTCACCGGGTGGCGCGCTTCGCTCGCTCGCTTTGGCCTATCCCCCCAACCGCGGCCGATGTTTCTCCCATTTTTTGTGTGCTCCTCTGCAAAAATAAATACTTGCAGCACATTCAATCGATTCCTTGTGGCGCCACCGTCATCCTCTCGGTGATTTATCTCCATTTTTTTATGTGCCCGGTTTTCGTTATGTGTTCTCGTCCTTGAACGCGTTTTTTTAGTTGCTAACCTCCAATTTCAGGGATGTCCAATAGTGCCCGTCCGGCCTCGGGCGGTGGTGGCATCCGGGGCTTCTTCTCCAAGCTGCGCAAGCCCTCCGATCTCACCATGAACGGCCAGGTGCGTTTTTATCTTTTTTTTTAAACGGGGTGACATAGATTATAGCTGATTTTGAGGAGGAGCTAGCCTGGTTTTCGGCTCGTGAAATCCCATGCTCTATTGTAATTAGGTCTAGGCGAACTGATGGAATTTTCCAAAAATTCGTTTTCTCCTAAACTAATTTTTCCCAAAAAAGTGGCTGGTCCGAAAAGCCGAAACAATTAAATGGCAATAATTTCGAAAAGTTTCAAAAAAAAATTTAGAGAAATTAGCCTAATTTTTCTAAAGTATGATTATTTTTGTTGAACTAGATGGTGGAAGGTTTATAAATTTGAGAATTCAGTCTCCTGGTAGCAATCTGATCGCGCTAACAGTCGACCTATTTGTCCAATTTTTATCGCTCTTCCCCTACTGGTCAGTCAGTCATTTGTCTCCCTGCTCCTCATTTATTGGCCGCCGTGTTGATCTAGAGCAATCCCTCCCCCGGGTGGATGGCCCGTGTAGTGGCGCCCGGGAAAATTTAATGATTGGCCTGTTGGTGGCCGAGACTAGTACTGATTAGCCTGTCCACCGGCGGGAAATAACACAGAGTGTGTGTATATGTGTGCAGCAGCAGCAGCCAAAAAGGCCCCCGGCTCGCGTCTCGTCGTGCAAGTGTGGACCCCCGAGAGTGGTGATGCGTTGTGTGGCTGCAGCGCCTCTCCGCCCATCTCGCTGTCCCCTCCCCATTCCCTGCTCCCTCTGCGTCTTTGTTCCGCCACATTCGGGTTCTCTTCTCCGGGTCCGGGACGGCTAGCTGAAAGGCCGCCACACACACTGCCCCCCTCGGGTTGAAGCCAACACACACCACCGGGCCCAGCGGCAAAACCTAGAATTTTTTTGGAAGGCGTTGCTGGATTTGGGTTCTTGGGGTGTCTGCTGTATTCTTGGCACACCCAGGTTCCTAGGCCATGTTTGGCCGCGGCCATCACAACGAGGTGGGGCCTTGATTTTTTCTCTTATTTTTAGTATCCACGTCCAATGTCGGCTAGGCTCGAATTGACCTTTGTAGAGCTCCTCGCCTAGCAGTGCTTTGATTGCGATGAGCTGGATTTCGTGTTATTATCCAAATTTCGCACTAAAAAAGATTTGGGAAGATAGAGCTATGATACCTGTTTGGTGGGCATCAAAAATGTTTCTAGGGCATTTGACTATTTTGACTGTTAATAGTATCATCGAGCTCTTACGATGATAGATAGGGCGTACCTTACTTACCTGTGCTTGAAAATTGGATCCTGAATCCACTGGCTGACGCATTTAATTTTTTACGCTTAATTTGCTTTTCGTGAGTTTTTTTTCGCAAGTTTCGGTATATCGCTATAATTGTGGACTGTAAGAACCAATCCCAGCACCTGACATTTTCCTACCAATTTCGGGGTACAAGTATAGGCACAATTCGGCTCGATCTAGGTTGCCCAACGGGACCCCCTCATTAGCTTGCCCCAGACGGCTTCGCCACTTCTGGGCTGGGCAGACGCGCCCTACAATTATCATGTGTGCGATACGAACCGCCGTTTCATCCCCCCCCCACGGGTCCAGGGCGCTTGTTTTTGTTGTCTGGCTTGGTATTGGTTGTATAGCTTTCAAAATTGTCCCGCGGGTCCGTTTACATTTTTAGCACCGAAAAAGCAATTTCGCGATTTTTTTAAGAATCTAGGGATTTCCAGGCTTTGCTGTAGGCTATGGTATCCCAGCTTATGCTCTTCGCCTCCTGCCAACCTCGGCAGTTTTCGGCTTTATTGGCCATGAATGGGCTAAGTTATGGACCGGGCGCTAGATCAATAGGGCTCTTGGGCTTCACCGGCGGGTCTCACGCCGTTCCGTTTCCCATCAACCGCCGGCCTATTCACCGGGCACTTTTTGATTCTCATTGGCTGGGGCAGGTGGGCCCGGCGTATGCTCGACACGAGGCTTATCAGTGTCCCCCCACCCAACCCCCTTGCCCGATCGTGTAGCGGTTCCGCAATGCCCTTCGCTTGCTTCTCCCGACCGCCGGCCACTGTTTGTTTCGGGATATAACCTCGACACCGGGGCGGAATGCTCCCCGGGAAATCGGTTTTCCAGCGTTTTACGGCCTGCGCGGAACAGAGTACTTTCACAGCAGCCGCTCTGTAAAAGGGCGACTCGCCCGAAATTTCCGCGGGGAGAATTACCCTAGTTGAAAATTTTCGGAATTCTTTAGGCGCCCCACCGGGCAGTCGCTTCCTTGTTCTCGTGTTGCCAGGCATAATTGGGGGCCCTCTTTGTCGTCGATGGGGCTGCCTGATTCCGAGGCCTTAGCAAGGCTTGAAACCGGGACAGCTGAAAAAAACCCTGAACTTAGTCCGTACCCCATGACTTCCGTTTAACTAAATAGGAGAGGGTGAAAAGAATAAATCATGACGTTACTCCAGAATTTAAGGGTAGGAGAGTTCACCAAATTGGATTTACCCGGGAACGGAACCTGTAGATTATTACCATTTCCAGGTCCAGATTGGGGATCGGACGTACGATGCGCAGGAGTTGCAGAAGCTCGTTCCCCAGCTCGAGGTTCGTTCAGCGTTTCTTTTCCAATATACTTTTCTAGGAAGCCGTCGAGAAGCGTGATCGGCAGCTCAGACAGCAGCAGAATGTCGTCGACTCTCACCTGAAACGGATCGCCGAGTTAGAGGGCGAAGTCACCACCCTGCAGGTGAATATAGAACCAAGCCCCCACGCCCGTTTTTTGGGCGAAAAAATGCGGTTGTACTGATGCGCTAGCGAAATTAGTGCTCCAGAAGCTTCCCCGAAACTCAAAGCTCGTTTTAACCTGCTTCGGTTCCCCTTCTTCTCCCTCTGCGCGTAACTCTTAATGTCGAAATTCAATCAAAGCTGATGCAGCCCGGAAATCCGTTTGCCCGCCGGGCCCTTCCCAAGGGTACCCTAGGTAATTTTATTGGATTTTTTGGCCGGCGGGTTGCACGCGCGCTGTCCCACTTCACTTTGCCCATACCCCCGTCTTAATGGATTTGCGAAGGGAAGGGGGTGGGCATCGAAAAATTTAATTTCCCCCTTCTGAAGGGCCGGGATTATGAACACGGGGCAATAATGAAGAAGCGGGAAACCTCGGAATGTCGAACTTGGGCAATATCTTGTTGTTTCAGAGAGAATGCGACAAGCTACGATCAGTCCTCGAACAAAAGGCCACCTCTGCTGCCAGTCCGGCCCCGGCGGGCCCGAATTCTCCAAAGGAAAACGACACCGAGATCCAGCCATCGGTAGATTTTTGCTGAATTTTCCATTGCCAAAATTAAAATGCTATTTTTATGGAGATGTTTTTAGGAAGGGATGTTCCGCGAGGAGAGCAGCGCCGGACGTGCCAAGAAGATGGCCGTGTCGGCCGAGCCGTCGTCGAACAAGGCCGACCAGCATAAGACCACCCTTCAACACCACAGCAAGACTGCCGGGTACTGCGCGCTTTTATTCTATCTTTTTGGGGCTCAAAATCGGCTTCGTTTTTCCTCGGGTTGGCTTTTCTTTCTTCCGGGTTTGCGAACGGGTGATAAGCGGGGTAATCTGATGCCAATGCGTAGTAAAAATTGGGAAGAAAAAAAATCAGGGATATAATAAAACAATATCAGGGATACGAAAGCCTGAAGATTTTTATAATGTGAACATGAAAGTGTTTTTAGGCTTTTTTTGTTCCAGAAACCACGACTAGGTGAATTTTCATAAAAAAAGTTGAAAATCCCTGGATGTTCCGACAAAAATTTCAAATTGTTTATAATTTTTCCAAGTTTTCTAGATAGTTGAACATTGAAAATGTTACTAGATTTTATCCAAAGGGCTGCTAAGTTACTTGATAGGAAAATTGGACATATAAGAAAAATTCCGCCCCCCCGTATTGCAAAAGCTCCAATAATAATAGTAAAATACGCTTTTCCCCTTGAAACCATTCGCTGTCACACGATATTTCGACGCGTCTTCCGTGCGATCTGGGGGCATTGGACCGTCTCGTTGACTGGTTAATCCGCGACACTTTGACCCGGTTGATTAGCACGTCTCCTCGGCGGGGGCCACGTGAACATGCTTATGCTCCACGCCGTCTAAGGCGCCGAGCCGCGCCGCCCCGATTAGCGTTTCCAGCCATTTTTCACGCGCCTCCCAGGCCAAATTTGATAACACTCCTCCGCCATTTCGAGTCCCCCGGGTCGCTATGCTAATATTACCGCAACAGAACACCGGCTTTGATTTGAATCAGGCCCAATGCTCGACGGCAGCGCCACGAAAATTTGTGGGGAAATTTCCGGGGAGCTTTTGGTGAGCAGAAAGCTGAGCGCGATATCTGAGCCACTTCGATGCCTTTTCCCATTTCATTAAAAATTTTCAGCTCGAAACAGCTGATCCGCGACTCTGTGCAGAAGAACGACTTCCTGAAGCAGTTGGCCAAGGAGCAGATCATCGAGCTCGTGGAATGTATGTACGAGATGAGGGCCCGCGCCGGCCAATGGGTCATCCAGGAAGGCGAGCCCGGAGATCGGCTCTTTGTTGTGGCTGGTGAGTCATTTTGCATATGTTTTTGGCCTAACCAGGGGCAAGAATCGTATGGGGTGACTGGGTGATTCAACTACGATCTTGGAACGTCTCGTTGTTTATCGTTGTAAATGGAGAAAAATAAAAAAGCAAATGTATGAGCAAATCAGGGAAATTGAAATTGCCTCAAGCCATAATACATCTGCTTTTTTGTTTCATCAACATTTCCCGACCAATTACATCATCATCTTAGCAGCATGGAGGTTTTCGTTGGGTTATAGAAAGCCCTAGAATCCTCCAGACCTTTCTCCCATGGTTGATCTTTTGACCTGACCATTCGTGACACCCCTGTACCCCGTTGATCTTTGATCTTGGGGTACCCGTGGCCCGCCATCTGCCCCTCCCCTATAAAAGGACACACCATTTCCAGAGGGCCAGCTACAAGTCTCACGCGAAGGCCAGCCGCTCGGTCTGATGGGTGCCGGCAGCGTGATGGGCGAATTGGCTATTCTCTACAATTGCACCAGGTATCTTTTTGATATGCCACCCTTCCCTATCTATTGAAAAGATTTTTATCATTTCATGCTAATTAACCTTTCCAAATTATCATTTCACCGAATTTCAACTCACCAGGTCCCATCTTTAAAAATCTGACGATCTGTCGAATTTCAACTCACGGAAAAAATATTGATGGTTGCCTCTTTGTTAGATTTAAAAAGTTAAAAATAGGTAAGAGAATTCGAATAAATGATACCTCGATGCACTTAAATTCGCTCCGATCAGATTTCGTAAGATGAAAATATCCCCCTTGCATCCTTTCTTCCTCCCGTGGAATTCTGAATTTTCAGTCCATACTCAATTTTTCAGAACGGCCTCGGTTCAAGCCGTGTCCGACGTGGTGCTATGGGTGCTCGATCGGTCCGTATTCCAGATGATCACGATGCGGCTGGGGATGGAGAGGCACCAACAGCTGATGCACTTCCTCGAGAGGGTATTTTTTTGTCGTTCAAAGCTTTTACTCATTTTTTTAGGTCTCCATCTTCTCCAAGCTCGACCAGGATCGTCTGTCCAAAATCGCCGACGTGCTCGACCAGGACTACTACGCCGGAGGGCACCATATTATTCGACAGGTTAGGACTAGTTTTTTATTGTTTTTATGAAGTAAAATTGTACGATTGTTACGTCTGTCTTGCCCAAACTCTACCGCCCCCATCACAATCAAACTAAATTTTGATCTTGTTATGCCGTGGCTAACTTGTTTATCAACGCCACCAACGCCCTATCTTTCCGTCATCGCTGGTTCACGTGCGCGTCCCGAAATGTCGTTGATCGTGGGTTGGCCGTCAAAAGGTCATTTCCACGGGAAATTTCCGACTTGCCTCCCAAAATTCAACGCTACTATATTCTGGAAGCGGGCTCTGGGGTCGGGCTGAGCGATTTGAAGAGCCGCGCTTTCCCCAGGGATGCCCATAGTGTGCCGTGTCTCACGTCTTTGGATACGGTAGCCGAATTATGATAATTTTACAAATAAAACCGGTTTTATACCAATTAACATGGGGCTTCTTGTTCCCTTTAACTAATTGGAAAAACGACCAAATTATCGTGCTTGCATTCCGCTTTTTCCTAGCCCTAGTTAATATTCAACATTTCAGGGCGAAAAAGGCGATGCCTTCTTCATCATCAATTCCGGCCAAGTCAAGGTGACGCAACATATCGAAGGCGAGGCCGAGCCCCGCCAAATTCGGGTTCTCAATCAGGTATGAAAACCCTCAAAGCATTTGATTTTGAATTTTTAGGGAGACTTCTTCGGCGAGCGTGCCTTGCTGGGAGATGAGATTCGCACGGCCAACGTGATTGCCATGTCCCCGGGCGTAGAAGTGCTGACGCTGGACCGGGAAGCCTTCGGCAAACTCATCGGCGACATCGATGCCGTCAAGAAGGACTATGGGGACAAGGAACGCCTCGCCCAAGTCACCCCACAAGAACCACCAAGCCCCACGAAGACATCGGCAGAACGGGCGCTGATCAACGAAGAGTTCGCGAATGTCACCCTCAAGTCCCTGAAGCGCATCGCCACCCTCGGTGTCGGGGGTTTCGGACGTGTCGAGCTGGTGTGTATTAATGGGGATAAGACCCGCACCCATGCCCTGAAGGCCCTCAAGAAGAAGCACATCGTTGACACCAGGCAACAGGAACACATCTTTGCCGAGAGGAACATCATGCAGGAGACGAACTCGGACTGGGTTGTCAAGTAAGGAAAATTTCTTTGATTTAAATAATTTTTCTGAATTTGATTCCTAAAAGCTATTAACTAAAAATATTTTTAACAAGAAAGGAAATATAATAATTACCTTTTGAAGATTTTCCCTTTTTTAGGCTGTTCAAGACGTTCCGCGACACGAAATACGTCTACATGCTGTTGGAGGTGTGCCTTGGCGGTGAGCTGTGGACGACGCTGCGAGATCGCGGACATTTTGACGACTACACGGCTAGGTAGGGATTGTAATCTTCTACTGATCTTATGTGGAATTTTAGATTCTACGTGGCTTGCGTTTTGGAAGGTTTGGAATACCTGCACCGCAAGAGCATCGTCTACCGCGATCTGAAGCCGGAAAACTGTTTGCTTACGAACAACGGATACTTGAAACTGGTAAGTGACGACAACTGCTAGTTTTTTATTTTGTGACTTGGCGCTATTATATATTTACTTTGTAGGTCGACTTCGGATTTGCCAAGAAACTGGCGTCGGGGCGTAAGACGTGGACCTTCTGCGGTACACCCGAATACGTCTCACCCGAAATCATCCTCAACAAGGGCCACGATCAGGCTGCAGATTACTGGGCTCTCGGTACGTCTTTAGAAAACGATGATTTATTTGTTTATTTATTTACTTCCTACAATCCTATTTTTAGGAATCTACATTTGCGAGTTAATGCTCGGCCGACCGCCATTCCAAGCCTCGGATCCGATGAAGACCTACACGCTGATCCTGAAAGGCGTCGACGCGCTCGAGATTCCGAATCGCCGCATCGGGAAGACGGCCACCGCGCTCGTCAAGAAACTGTGCCGCGACAACCCGGCCGAACGTCTCGGAAGCGGAAGTGGTGGTGTCAACGACATCCGGAAGCACCGATGGTTTATGGGCTTTGACTGGGAAGGCCTGCGCTCCCGCTCGCTCAAGGCACCCATCGTTCCCAAGGTAATTTTTTGGTTGCGATCGAATTTTTATTAAAAACATCACTGTCACGTTTCGAAACGTATCACTAATTATTTTCCATTTCTAGGTGAGCAACCCTGCTGACGTGACCAACTTTGACAACTACCCACCGGATCAAGACGTGCCCCCAGATGAGTTCTCCGGATGGGACGAGGGCTTCTAGATGTTCTACCGAAATCCTAGTAAATCTTTTGCTTTTCAACCCCCTTCCCCCATTGATTTTCGGGTATCTCTTTTTGTCAATTCCCACTCGCCGTGAGTTCCCCCTTCCCCTCCATCCAGGCTTGTTGTTTTGCCGTTGGCCCACCCCCACTTTTTTTGCTGTGAATCTAGGTATGCGCCTTTTCTTTGCCAAATTGTTGAGAATGCGGTCGTTGTGGTTGGTAGATGTGGTTGTTGTGTGCTTTTTGCCCGATTCTCGCTACCCCGACTGCCCCCCTCGTCTCAAATCATCCCGAACTAATCTCCCCTCGCTGTGAAACGGTTAAAGGACGGCTGAAGGCTGAAATTGGGAGATCTGTGGATTTCTATCAGAATGTCGAAATTCTATCTCGTCGAAAATTCCCTTATCTGAAATTGGGCATTTTGATTTTCGACACCAAATTCTGCGCTCCCAATCTTCAGCGGTTCGGCCGGCCTTTGGAGAGGCGTGTCGCTTCCGCTTTTATACCGCCACATACTAGCCCGGTTTGCTATTCGAATACTCCTCGCGATTGCCACGCGCAGAGCAGCTACGACCCTCCCGTTACTGTCACCACCGCTGTCTCATTTCTATCATTCATGTATATGAAATTCCCCGTAATACTACTCGTCGGTAGCGGCCATCTATGTTTTTATACTACCCGGTGTGTTTGTATGTGTTTGCGCGTGTCTGTGTGATTTTGAGCTTGCCGAGAGAACGAGAGAATATTTTGCCAGATTTCTTCCCCTCCCCTCCCCTCCCTAACAGCCCTTTTCTCCCTCACTCCTTTTTCCGATGCGTTTATGTCTTGTTTTTATACATATACATCCACCCCGCCCGCCGTCTATCTCTCTAGCTCTCTCATATTCCAACGTTCCCATTGACATTATCGACATTCTGTGAAGTACGAAATGACATGGCATTCTCTCAACTCTCCACACGACCCCTCCCTCATTTTTCTTGTACTTAAATAAAAGGATTAAATTCATATGTTTATACGTTCGTTTCCTACATTTGCCAACGCATCAAAACAGTATCGCGCAGGTTTTCGCCGCGCTTTTTGGCGAGCATTTGAAGGCGCTCCGGAAGCTGGACAGCCTTTGCAACAGCTTCAGTCGGATCACGCCAGCCGGGTGCTCTTCGTTCAGATTCTAGAGTTTGGATTATTTTGGTTTTGATTATTTATTAGATTAGAGGTAATACGGTACTTACATTTTGTAAATTCGGCCTTGGGACAAACCCCTCGACGGCCAACGTCTTCCCCCCCCCCCCCCGCAGAGCGCCGTGGCGGGCGGGCGCCCGGAATTTTGGGCTTTTTATTTAACGGCTATTTTTACTTTCTACCATCCATCGATTCGTTTGAGGACGGAAAAGTTCGTTTAATTGACGCGACGGGGAACCCTCCAAAAGCCAGTTTTTTGAAAGGAAATGGGGAAACCTTAAATTTAGTGAGAAACCATTCAAAGCCTTGATATAGCGTGGGCGTAAGGAAAAAAATAACGGTTTATGTGCAATAAAGGAAAAGGGCTGTAGGGTTTTTTTAGATTTAAATTTAAAGTATTCCTATTGGGATTGCGGAAGCCCAGGAATTGCCCCCGCCGCCCCGTTTCGCTCCAGGGTCCCCCCCCAGCGCCCGGGGTTGGGGCGTTCCTTTGGCGTATTTATTTTTTTTCTTTTTTTTTGCGGTGGGTTTTTCGGAGGTGAAGTTGCCGGCGACATGGCGGTCGTATATGAAAAAGCTGAATTTTTCTTTTTTTTTCCTGTTTTTTTCTCCCTCCCCCTCCCCCCCCCCCCCCCCCCCCCCCCCCCTCCCCCCCCCTCTCTCTCTTTCTCCCTCCCTTTTTTTCGGTCCTTTTCCTTAATCATGGCGTGATGGGGCTGGAGAAATTCTCTCCGCGGGTAGATGTCGTCCTTCCCTTTTTTTCAATTTATCCCCGGAACCCCACCCCCCCCCCCCCCCCCCCCCCCCCCCCCCCCCCCCCCCCCCCCTCCCCCCCTCTCCAATTCCCCCCCTTCTCACCCCCCTTTTCTCCTCATTCCACCTTATCCAGGGGGGGAAAAATTTTTTACGGAAAATATAACGAGGGGATTATAAACGGGGTTCCCCTGTAATTTTAAAAATTTAAAAAAAAACTCATAAGAGGATATGGTGGGTCCGCACCGTGGGGGGGCGAAAAACAAAAAGAAGGCCGGGAAAAAACCAAGACCCAAAAAAAGGCGGCTCCCCCCGCGGGCCGGGGTTGAATTGTTTGTGTCGGGTGGTAGAGATGTTGGAGTTGTTTGTCGTAGTAGCGGTACAGTAGATAGTCCTGAAGTGGAGAGAAACTGAGAGAGAGAGAGTGAGAGGGAGAGGAAGGGAGGGAGAGAGAGAGAGAGAGAGGGCGGGAGAGAAGGAGAGAGGGCGACAAAGCGTCAGAGACTTCTTAACCTTGATAACCTCGATCGGATATTCCGGCAACTCCCGTATGACATGGATCAGAAAATGGCTGTTGTCGATTTGAATCCTAAACGCTGTCATGAATACCGTATCCCTAGCCTTCACAACCCTTTAGAAGCACTGGGGTATTACCGGGGCGAGGGAAAACCATCCAAAATTCGACAAATTTTTAGAACTAAAAACTATACGTTTTTCGAAAAAAATAGGATACTAAGGCAAAATGTTGGTCCCCCCGATAATGCCCAAGAACCAAAGCACCCACATCGTCTTCTCAAAATCACTTTCCGGGAATAGCACCCTCAAATAGCGGCTCATATTGAAGCGAACATGCGAGAATTTGTCACCAAACTAAATAAATATATTTAATGGGTTATTTCAGGTGTAAAACGTAGCTAAACGTAGCCAAACGTACCCCACCTCTTCCAAGGTATAATTAAAGGGCATTCGCGGTTCCATCGAAATGACGAACGGTTCGCCGAGCATGTAGAGGGCGGACTCGAGCTGGAATTGGATTTTTGAAGGGAATGATGTCGTGCTTACGCTAAAAAAGTACGAAAAATCCGTGGTGAACTCATCGGGCAGCGATTGTCGATACTTTTCAAAGCGCTGCGAGGCTTGGAAGACGTAGATGACGTCTTGCTCCTCGTAGCCCTCGTCGGCCCGCCGGTAGTACAACTCGGAGGAGTGGATGTAGGCAGGGGCCTGAATAAAAGATGCTCCTACCGTTTTCCTAAAAAGTCTCTGCTAGCTTGCTTTTCCAGAAATCGCGGCTAGCATGCATTTCCCCAAAAAACTCTGCTTGTTGGCTTGACTCGAAAAATCACGGAAATCGATTTTCCACCAAAACCACCGCTATAGAATGTCTTTCCGCAAAAATCTCTGCTAGCCTATTTTTCTCTAAAAAACCCTGATCCATTGCCTTTCCCAAAGAATCCCTGCCGCGCGGCCGTTCCTCAAGATCCCTGGTAGCTCGCCCTTACTCAACAAACCTCCCCCGGCCTTTTCTCGTCAACACCAAACTGACCGGCTTCACTTCGACAATGTCCGTCTCCATCCCGAGTCGCAACACGTGGAAACCAGCAAATACCGAGTGGTCAGCTGCGGCACGGCCGAGGAGTTCTTCAAGCGGGGTGGACGCATCGCCCCAGCTTTTCCACACGCCCGACAGATGCGCGCGCAGGGCAGCGGGTGGAATCGAAAAACCGAGGCATGCCTGGAAAAAGGGGCCAACTAGCGGAGATTTTTGAGGACTAGCGGTGCTCTGACGACAAAAACATCAAACTACAGTATACTTTCTATTATGAATTTCCACATTTTCACAACAAAACGATTACCGTATGATAATTGGCAGCCGCTTCCAGCCATGGCTCTCGATGCTGATTCTCCAGAAGCCGTGTGAATTCCCGGGCAAAAGCCTCGGCGCGCGCGTCGAGTTGGTCCGCCTCCAACGTTCGGTTTACTGTAATAGATTCCGTTAGGCGCCTATTAGCGCTTCAATAGCCCGTTAAAATGAAACCACTCACTCTTGATGCCACAGACAAATTGCCGGAAATCGATGCACGGGTCGGCAGACGTGTCCATGGCTCGCATCAGATAATCGGCTGTCTCCAGACATTCCTGAAAATTCCGAGTCGTAAAAGGGATTTAGGGATGCGGGCTAGCAGAGATTTTTGAGGAATCATCCTTGCATCTTAAAGCAGAGACGGGTAGGCTATCAGAGATCTTTGAGGACGGCTGGCGCGTTTTAAAGGGTTGGTGACTGCGAGATAGGCACGCTAGCAAAGTCTTTTTTCTGGCTTTCAGGAAAAATATGATCTGTGCATTTTAAAGCGACCTTTTCATGGACTACTACTTGCAACCCGGGCGGCCGAGAAGTCACTTTAAATCGCCGTACGCGTTGCGTGTCGCGGCGCGGGTTCTAGCGGAAAAATCCATTTTCTGGGACTCACTTCAGTATGGCATACGGTGGGCCCTCCTTCGACCGTGGCCAAGACAGTAGTTAAGAGTGCCCAGAGCAGCAGACGGACCATGATTTGGGGCCAAATGGACCCAAATGGTTAAGTCCACCCCGGGGAGGGGAGACCGACATCGAACTCCCTGCCTGCTGTTAACCAGCGCAAAAACGGGAAGTTCAGCTGTCCGCTGAGGAATGGGAGGGTGGGGATCTTAAAAAAATGCCCACCCAACGGCCTTGCGCTGAGAAATTGAGCCGGGTGATCGAGGAGCTTAAAGGTGCTGGGAACCACCAAAATCTACCCTAGTTATCGACCTTATAAATCTCTGTTTTTTTTAGGTATAAGTCAGAAGAAAACGGCCAACAAAGCCAAGCTATGCCCTCTGGAAGTGCTCAAAAATGGATGAGCAGCCGTTTGGGGGTGGGTGGAGGGGCGGCCCGCTACTTTGCAGCCGAGCCTCGTCCTTTTAAAGATCGCTGCTGCAGGTTTTTTTCCTTTAAGGTACATGATTGCCAAACATAAGCCCAAGCCTAAGTCTGTAGCTAAGCATAAGCCTAATCCCAAGCCGTAGCCGAAGCCTAAGCCTA